TGGGAATGCCGCGCATGGGTAGCAGCTGTGTCTCCGCCGCTGTTGCGCCCGTCCTATCGACGGGCCCGCTGGCTCCTCGCAGCTCCAAATCCCCGCCCTCGTCACCTCCAGAACAGCAGCGCCTAGGCAAATCCCCCAACGCTGGTAACGGAGCTTCCCTTTCTACAACGCCCTCCGGCAAGAAGGTAGGTACGGATTGGTAGCCGGTACACGGGAAGAGTCCCGCTGCTGTAAGATGTGGTGCTACTAGCGCCGCACGTGTCAGTTGTTAGACCATGGAGTGCAGGGAGTGAGGTCGTACAGGATGTACAGCAACCTTCGTATACTGAAACTTCCAACCGTGCACTTGATTGCTGCAAGACGCGCCAGTAGCTCAATCCACGGTGAATTCAAGGTCAAAGCTGCCCATCTTGTTCAGAGAACGCAGCTATTGAACAGCTGTACCCCGCTCCTCTCAACCCCCGCTCCAAACCTTTCCAACCCGCCTTACTTCCCATCCATGCAGACATCGCAAGGCAGCATCGATTGCCAGCAGGAACCACGTAACAGTAACGGCCGCGGCGTACCGAAGATGTCCCTGTCCGGATCCCCCGCCAGCACCACCATCTCCCGCATGCTGCGCTTCATGGCTCCACAAAGGTCAGCCACCGAAGAAGGCAACGCCGCCTTTGATGTCGCACCTGCCACCGGTGTGTTTGCAGCCGCCGCCGCCAATGCCATCATTGCAACGGAGGGTGAGGACCCAGCCACCCCAGCCCGCCCACGCGGCTGGGCTGGCTTAACGCGCTCAGTGACCCGGCCGGTAACGCCACCAAAGCCGCTGGAGCCGGTCCTGACAAGCAGCAGCGTCAAGGTTCGATCCGGGGATCTGGCCGCTGCAATGAAGGAAGCCGCAGCAGCCCGGCCACAGAAAACACTGACAGAGCGCCCAACGCCCCGACAAGCTCTGGCGCTCGGACTGCCACTGCCGCCCACGGACGTCCCGCTCGCCCCCTCTCGCTCGAGGGCCAGGTCCAGTGCGGCCGGTTTCACTCGGTCGCCGCAAGCAAGCATCCTTATCATGCCCGTGCCGAGCGGACCTGTTTGGCCAGTACGGCGTCGAGTTCGGGGTGGAAGTACAATGGACGAGGATGACCCGCAGGACCCCCAGCAGCGGCAGCTGCAAGTTAACCCCGGCGGCGGCAGCAGCAGCAGCGGCGGCGGCGGCGGTGGTCCCGTGGCTGAGGCCCAGGAGGAGGGCATGGACGCGAGCGAAGATCCTGCTCGCATTTGGGACACGCCACACAGCCCCAACATGCTGCAAGGCGGCGCAGGGCCCGCTGCTTCTCGTGGATTCAGCAGCGACAGGGGCAGCGGCAGCGGCGCCAGCCGCCGCACACTCATTATGAACTACAACCCCCTCGCACCGCCGGTGTCGCCCTGCACGCCCATTGCTGATGCTGCGCCCTGCGGCACGTACGGACCGCAGTACAGCCCTCGCTCCCGCGGACTTCGCCCAGAGAGTCCTCTAAAGGTCAGCCCCCGCGCGGTATCAGCAGGAAGCCGCTGTGGGGCGGGCACAGCCGGTGGCGGTGGCTCGGGCAACTTTTCGTCACAGCAACTGCCGCTGTCGCCGCTGGGCATGGGGGCTAACTCCGAGCCCGGGATGCGGTCCTGGGCGCTGGCCGAAGGCCATGATGCTGACAAGATGCTGGCGGCCGAGCTCGCCCCGGAGGAGGACATGAAGGGTGCGGTTCCTGATGTGGTGGACAAGCGCCTGCTGCCCTTGTATCCAGGTGTGTGTGGGGAAAGGGTGCGGGGTGTGTTAGATGTATGCTGGCCACGGGGTACTTATGCATGCATGCATGGGTGCATGGGTGCGAGCCGGTAATCCGTAGACCTATGTGAGAGTTGGGTAACTAACGGAACGGCTGTTGTACGATAAAACACTTGCTGCCCGGCGTTCTCCTGCTGTGAACAGGCAAGGAGATTGCTATGTACCAGCTACACTACAAGCCCGGTTGCTGGCCCTTGGCGTTGCACATCGCACCCCCCATCCACTTCCTGGCGCGTTTCGAGTTCCTTTTCGAAGACGCCGTCGGGGTAAGAAGGAGCATGTGTGTGTGTCTCCGCAACCTCTTGTAGCAATCTCTAGCAGCTCTGTGACAGGGAAAGACGGCTCTGTGACGGCTCCGGACGGACGTGCCGGGCGTGTTATGCCAGCTTTAGGTGGATAAAGCACGGAGAATCCAGCGGGGCCCCCATTCAAAACGCATGATGAGGTTCCTCCACTTCTACCGACCAACTGTGGTGTTTCTCGAATCCAATCTTCATGCCGTACAGGATCGCAAGCAGCAGGAGGGCCGTGAAACCAAGCCTGTCATCTCCGCCACTGCTGCCAACTTCACGCACAAGGTCCTCTGCGCCGTTGCCTTTGGCTACTTCGGCCTGCTTACACGCAGCGTCGCCCAAATGGGCATGCTGGTCGGCCTGCAGGTAATCATGCTGGGCTACCTCGCGGTGTGGCGGCCGTACGTGGAACGGCATTACATGGCAGTTGAGCTGGGGTGCCATGCACTGGAGTTGGCCATGTTTGTCTGCGCCATGGCACTTCTCAACTCAAAGCCGGTCACCAGGACACCCACAACTTGGGTCATGATAGGTGAGCGGCTGCGCAGGTGTAACACCTTGCGATGATGAGCGGTGGCTGGCGCCCCAGTGTGCTACCACCGCCGGGCAGGGCGGCAATTGAACGCTGTGGAAAGCCCTGGAAGGGAGGGGGCTAGGCTTCGTGTACGATGCGGACCGGTGTGCGGAAGTAAGGTTGGGTTTTCCCTGGTCGTGCAGCTTGCTTCGTATACTCTCATTTTGTCACATACACGCAGCACTACTACCTCCGCCACCCCGCCATTGACACGTTGCCCCATTGCCCCCCATGGTTGCTCCGCACCAACCCCCCCACAGCCTGCTTCTTCGGGGTCGCTGTCTTGGTCATTTACTGCGAAATCCATCACATGTGGCTTGTCATTAAGGGCGCATGGGAGATGCTGCGCAAGCGAAGACAGCAAGCACGCCGCGCTAGCCATGCCTTGATTGAAGCCATGGAGGGAGGCGCGGCCCTGGATGCCGCCGATGGAGGAGGAGGAGGAGGAGGGGGGCTACAATTCGGCAGTCCCACACGAGTCGGCCAACCTAATGGAACGGATGGCGCTACTGCTGCTGCGTACGCCTTTCCATCCCCCTCATCAGCAACTACGACGGCTCCTGCAGCACCTGCGTCTCCCACATTGCATGAGGTTCGGCCCTCCAACGTCACACTCTTGCAGCAGCTAGAACTGCTAGGAGCGGCGGCTGGCGGGAACGCCGGTGGTGGGGTGCCCTCAGCAGCAGCAGCAGCACCACCACAACTGGTAGGACCCACGGTGCAGCAGGCGGAGCAGCTAGCAGCGGAGGAAAGCCAGCTGGCTGTCACACGCCAGCGCGCCAGCAGGCCCAGCCGCCCCAGCCGCCCTAGCCGCCCTAGTGCGGTTGCGGAGGCGGTGAAGCAGGGGAGGAGGTCGCGGAGCAGCAGCACGAGCTTAGCGGCGGTTGCCGGGGCTGCCTCGTTACAAGGAGAGGTGGCTGAGACTGGGACTGCAGCTGCCTCGGCAACACCGCCACCGGAAGTTGGCGGATCCATTGCATCGGCTACACAGCAGGGGGCTGAGGCTGACGTAGGAGGTGCAGTGAGGCGGCTGCAGCAGCCGCAGCCGCAGCCGCAGCAGGAGGCAGGGCAGGAGGCGTTGGTCGTGCCGCTGCTGGAGACGCCTACTCATCGCGCAAACATGCTGCCTCCTCTTGCTGCTCTAACGCCAGCATGATAATAAGAAACGGTGGTGGCGGCGGGTGATTCTGCTTTGCACATAATGATGCGTAGCCCTGAAGAGCCCTGCTTGACTGCGGTAGTCCGAACTGTTGTACGGTGCAGCGCTGCGTCAAAGAGTCTTGCAACAGGTCTCCTTCCAAGGGACGTGTGGTTGGTCCGGTGGTACAAAGGGGTGCTGCACAGGGAGTGGGATACGGAATGTGCTCTGGAAGGGAGCCTGGCATGCGCGGATAGGTAGGGCGTTAACACACCGTAACCGGTGAGTGTCTGAGTAAATGTACGAGTGCGAGCGTTTTTCTCCTACCTCGTGTAGATGGGTCCATGCGGAGCTGCAACGGGCTTTATTTGTATGTACGGCACTGCCAGCCTTTCATACGCCGTACAGCTGCAAATGCCGTACTGCAATGTACGGCAGCAGTACGGCACATGATAGGGTACAACATGTGTAAATATGCGTGTGTTTGGTGCTATGTGACTAATGCAGCTGTCTGCTTACATGAGATCTGAGAGCTAACGTGTTGTGCTGGTGGATATTGTTGTGTGTATGTTTCCTTGGGCAGCGCTGAGGATTGATTTCATGTACTGCTGGCACTTTATACGTCAGTGGAAATCGTCGAGAAGCTGACGGGGATTAGAACGGCGCCTTTGGGCTGCGGATGCATGCAGCAGGAGGGGAAGAGGAGGTGTACATGAGTGGGCACATACAGTCCTCAAACGTGAGGGGGACTACCGTAGTCCCACATGTCTGAGTCGCACAGTTGTATGCCGCGGGCGTGCAAGCACCCAGTAGGCCGCGCTGCGTTTGTTTGGAGGAAATTTATGAAAGATATGGAAGCAGCAAGGGGATTGGAGAGGTATACGTACACTGCACATTATTGTTCTACAGGTTCGTACGGCATGTTGGACATGCGACATGCCGTACGTCCATTGCTTACTTTTGATGCCGAGTCCCGCTTGTGCTACACCTGTGTGTTGTAAAGTGCTGCTAGATATGTACAGTTCCGTACGAAGCGCGTGTTTGTTGGGTGTTGGACGTATTGTGACATGTTGATTAGAGTTTGACCAGGACCATTTCTTATACATCGTCCCAAGCTCCCATTAGGAGGTCCAGGCACCCTAGCGAGTTGCCCTAGGACTCATCTGACGAGAAGTAATGCCCCAGTTAACCTCCGTGGCAATCTAACAATGGTGGAATCCCCCGCGTACCACGTAATAATGCGCCTAAACCTTAATCGGATGACTTGCGTGGTGCTGTGACCCGTGGGTCGGAACATGCCTACCTCATCCACGCTGCCTTCTGGTCGTACGGTTCGTTGGTGTCACGAACTTCTGGTTCATCCTCTCACACTGTTGAGAGGATGCTCTGGTTAACCAGCTCTGGTTCAATTTCAGGATGTTTCTTTTCTTGAGCATAATATCCACAGCAGCTGAACGTACCGGCATCGAGTCAATGGTTCTTTCTCACGCCCACCTTCATCAAGCGTAGGGCTCTTCCTCACGCCCACCTTCATCGAGCCTAGGGTTCTTCCTCACGCCCACCCTCATCGAGCCTAGGGCTCTTCCTCACGCCCACCTTTGCCCCGTCCGTTCCTCTCACATCACTGCATTGCATGCACCAGAGCAAAGCTCCGTCCCAACCCTTTCGACGGTTAGCCAGCAGGCCAGCAAACCGCTTATGACCCATCACCGCAGCTTCTCACAAAAGCAGGATAGTGCAGCCTAGAGCAGCACCTCCCATCTGGTGTGCATTCCGAATCCATTCACCACAGCAGCTCAGCGACTTGTCAGCAACCTTTACATGCCTCTGCCAACACCGGTTTGGACTGCCTTCAGGCCCTGTCGTACAACGTCTAAACATCGCAACAAGCCGTGGAGCCGGGAGCTTTGTTTCTCAGATCCTGGGAATCCAGTGACTCCATACACGACTAAGCAGGCTGTTCGACTTTGTGGAATCTCTTAATCGCACACAAAACCCTAATCTCATACACCTCTGATCTTCGGATCTTGGATCTTCCCCCCTTGCATCAATAGATTTTGTCGTACCGCGCATCAGCACGCTTCCTCGCCCAACGACCCCGCCACCACCCCGCCGCAACCCATAACGCCAAGCTGCCCAGAGGCGGCCACAACAGCCCAATGTACGGCATATACGGCAGCAGCCAGTGGCTGATGAAACGGGATGATGCCGACCCATGGGTCACCAGCGGCGCCGCACTGCAATCCAGTTTGGCTAGCAGCGTGGATTGCAGCTGAGCTGCGACGTGCTCTATGGCCGCGGCGTCTGGGGACATCTGGAGGGCTATGCGTAGGGCATCTGTGTTAGGGGGGGGGGCAGGGGCGAGAGGGAGATGAAGAGGGGGGATACCGGGTTGTAGGCATGTGGGAAGAGAGGAGCGGCCGAGGAACCAGAACACCGAAACCCTAACTATCATCAGTACCTTCACAACAGCCCGAGGTTCAAAAGTCCCCACAAACAAATACACCAACACTTATCGGAGAGCTTTCCTCCCTAACCCCACGCCCTCCCACCATTGCTCCCTCCCCCACTGCCTCCCTCCCCCTCCGCACCTGCGTTGCGCCCCTGTCCCAGCGCCGCCGCCGCCATTCCCAGCTTTAGCGCCGCCACATTGACTCTCGCCGCCAATCGCTGTCGCTGCGGCGCGGAGGGCAGTGCGGCGCGCCAGTCGCCTCCCCCGCCGCCGTGCTTTCCCGGGGCGAGATGCAACAGACCCTGCAGACGTGCGCATGGGAGGGGGTATTAAAGCTTCATGGCGTCAGGGGGTAATAAACTCTGGAGCTCATGCGGAATTAAGACGGACACACACACAAGGAAATACACACACAACCGCATCACAAGGACAGCCCCCCATCCCCTGAACACAAGGACACATGGCACCCCCACATCCCCACACACAGACGCTTCTCGGTGGGGACTCCATCCTCCAATCCAACAATCACAGCGAGTACGTTACTATTCTTCGCGGCCAGTTTTCTCAAACCCCCCCCCCCTTCTCTCCCCCCCCACCCCCTGGCGGTTTGGTCGGGAAACACACACACAGACACCATTTTTTTTCGCGTCCAGTTTTCCTAACACACGCACACACGTTCCCACGTCACCCACCCTCAGCACCGCCGCCACCCTGCCCGCCTGCCTCTCCGCCTCCGCCAGCGCCAGGTTGCGAACCGCCGCCGCCGCCAGCGGCCGGGAGAGCTGCGTAGCCGCCGACAGCGGCGCGAAGGGGGTGGCGCCCAGCGTCCACAGGTAATCCCAGCCGGCGCCGGAGGAGGGGTGGTAGCGCTGGGCGGTGTGGGGCAGGGCGAAGGCTGTGGGCGCGGAGGAGGGGGGTTGAGGCAGGGTGAGGGAGAGAGGTGGGGGAGAGGGTGAGGGCGAATGAGAGGAGAGCAGGGACAAGCATGTTTTGTCTTCTGACACAGCGCCCGCCCGCCCGCCTGCCTGCCAGTCGACTGCGATACCCTTTCCATGCCCTTTCCATACCCGCACATGAGGGAAGGTGCAGGATTCTTAGCGCACTCTTACCCCCCCTTCCCCATGCCTTCAGCGCTCCCCCCTCCACCTGACTGCAGCAGGTCAGTTGCCCTACAGGTTCCCTGCCTACAGCTCGTCAGTTGCTTCGTCAGTGTCTCATTATCTTGTTTTACCCCACCTGACTGCAGCACCGCCCCCAGCACGCCCCGAGTCACGTCCTCCGGCTGCAAGTTGCGCGACATGTGGCCGCAGCTGGTGCGGGTGCGGGCCGGGGGCGCCAACGAGGCAACCGCTAGGACCATGTCGGGGAAAGCGGCGGCCTGGTTGTGGGGTCATGTAGGGTGGGGAGAGGGGTGGGGTGGGGTGGGATACTGGGTGGTTGGGTGGGTTGCATGGATTCGGTTTGCGGCTCAGTTAAAACACACAGTACGTCCTTACTCGCGGCCCGTTTTTACATAATCCACACGTACGTACGTTTCGCCTCGCGGCCAGTTTTCTTAACACACACATACACACACGCACTTCCTCTTTCGGCAATCCCAGTACGTTCCGACTTGCGGCCAGTTTTCTTCACACCCTCCTCCCTCTTCCCCCCCTCTCCCGCCACCTTCCCCCCCTCTCTCTCCCCACACACACACCCATACACACACACGGCCATACACACACGCACCTGCAGCTCCCCATCCAGCAGCAGCGCCTCCTCCCGCAGCGACAGGTCGAACACAAACACCGGCAGCACACCCGACGTGTCGTGCACGCCAGAGTAGGCCAGGACGACCTGTGGGCAGCAGGCAGCAGGGGGCAGGGGTCAGGGTGCAGGGTGCAGGGTGCAGGGTGCAGGGGGCAGGGAACGTTGCGGGAAGGTGCGAGGGGAGGCATGGTACGGTAAGGAAGGTAAGGAGGATAGCAAGCAAGGTGGAAGAAGGGCAGACACAGAAAGCTCCCCCCACACACACACACCCCAGCCTCCCATCCCCCTACCCCCCCCACACACACACCTCGTCGTACTCCCTCATGCTGCGCCGTACGACACCCCTGCCCCCGAACCTCCCTCCAAAACACGAACACACACACACACACACACATCTTCACCTCGTCGTACTCCCTCATGCTGCGGTGCAGTACCAATCTGTCTAGCACCTGCCCCGCCGCCGCCGTCACGCTGCTGCCCTCCTGCCGCCGGGTGCGCACGCGGAGGGCGCTGGGGGGTGGGGGGTAATATGGATGAAGATTCCGCATTAGCTGGATTTTAGGATTGCGCATAGGGGGGTGGGGGGTCAAAGACCAGGTACCAAACCATAGGAGACCACAGGTTAGGGCAAAGCAATGGGGGAAGGAGACGGCAGGCTGCCACAAGACAGAGTGTTGTTGGGTGGGTGGGGGGAGGGAGAAGGCCCAAGGGGAGGAAGAGGACGGGGGAGGCATTCCACGGCATACCAACCACTCCGTTTCCCCTCAATACCCCTCATCATCATCGCCATCTTCGTTACCAACGGAGTCTTCTCCTCCCTCCCGCAATCTCGCCCAAAGGGGCGATCGCGACAGGGTATGAACACAGAAACCTAAACCAAAACACACACGTACACATACACACACGCACGCGCCCCTACCTGCTGTACGCGCTCACGCAGAGGTCGCACATGGAGAAGCTCAAGTACGACTCTCGGACCTCCACTCGTACGGCACTGCCGTACAGCGCGGCGTCCAGCTCGGCCTGCAGTACATCCAGCTTGACGCTGCGGGGCGGGATGGCCAGCGTGTCGTGTATGTGCACCACCTGACACCCACCGGGGGAAGGCGGGGGGGGGAGAGGGAGGGGAAAAGAGAGAATTGGAGGGGTGGAGAAAGAGGAGGGAGTGATAGGATAGGGGTGAACATGTGGTTTTCAATGTTTGAAACACACAGCAGCAGACAGGAGAAAGGAGAAGAAACGCAGGCCATACAAACACACATGAATCCCGCACCGACCCCTCTTCTCCCTTTGTTCACGAGCAGTGTTTCACCTCACCGCGGCTCAGCTCAATACCCTACCACGGTACCCTCTAAAACCCCCAACCCTCCCTATGTCACCACCACCACCTCCCCCACCACCACCACTACCACCACCACCAACAACAACAGTCCGCTATCACCCCGCCAACCAAACACGCTCTGCCCCACTCCGCACCTGCACCACAAGCGTGCCTTGCCCCCCTGCTCCTGCTCCCGCTCCTTCCCCGCCCTTCTTTTTGTACGGCATAACGTCAGCTAGCGCCGCCCCCAGCTGCCGCTGCCCAGGCACGTGCTGTAGCGGCGGCCACACGAGGTGTCGTACGGCGGAGGCTGCTAGAGCCGCAAGCTCGGGCAGCATTGCCGTACTGACGTGGTCGGGTTGGAAAGAGGTGGCATGTGGCAGGCTGTGGGGGAAAACCTGGGGGTGAGGGGTGGGGAAGGGGGGAGAAATAACCGGCCAGTTTGATCTTTCTCCTCCTCCTCCTCCTCCTCCTCCTCCTCCTGCGGACATGGCATGCACGGTGCTTGCTGCACCCCACCACTCCACTCCCGCACCCGTCCGTCTCGAACCCATGTAAAGAAACCTTCGTTGGCTCATGCATATGTTTTCCGAATCCTCCAAACCTCTTGTAACCCCTTTGCGCCCTCCCCTGCCCCCGCCCCCCCCACTTGCCCCTGCTCCCCCCCCCACCATGTTGACGCCTTATCCCTCAGTCAGTTAGTTGTTTCCTGTTTACCCCCCCCCCCACCTGTCCCTGCCCGCCCCACCTGCCCCCGCCCCCGGCCCCCTCACCTGCCCCTGCCCGCCCCTCAGCGGCCCGTACGCGTGCGGAGCGGCCCCCAGGTCCACCCACGCGAAACCCGCACCACCGCCGCTGACACCCCCGCCGCTGCCGCTGCTGCCCCCACCGACCCCCGAGGAGGAGGAAGCGGAGGTGGAGGAGGGCGACACGAACACTGCGCCCGGACAGCTGCGGAACTCCGACCTGGGGGGGATGGGGTATGGAGAGGGAAAGAATCACACCACACATTGGAATGCCTTCTTCCTCCCCCCTCCCTCCCCCGCTGCACTTATCAATTATCGTTTTCCTCCCTCCCCCTCCTCCTCACCAGTTCCCCGCCGCCACCAGCTCCGGCGCCTCCCAGTACGTGTACAGGTAGTCAGTCCCGCTGGGCGGCTCCAAGTTCAACACGTACAGCGTGAAGAGAGGCGCAGCAGCTGCCGTACTGCTACTGCTGGTGGTGCTGCTGTCGGTGCTGGTGGTGGCGGTGGTGGTGGTACCGGAAGGAGCAGTGGAGGAGGAGGAGGAGGCATGTGCAGCTGCTGCTGCTGCTCGCTCCTCCTCCACAAGGACGTCGTTGACGAGGGTGTGCGGCAGGTAGAGGGTGCCGTGCGGGGAGAGGCTGGCTGCAGGGGAGGGGGGGGAAGGAGGGGAGGGGAGAGGAGGAGGGAACGGAGGGCCGGAGGCAGCGGGGGCACAGCGGTTAAGCACCCGTCCTAGCAGTCCACCGGCTCATCACGAGGAGCCGGGTCACTGGGCATGTGTGGAGGGCGGCTGTTGTAGCGCCGGCCCCCCCTTGCCGCCTCGCTCTGACTACAAACCATCCAGCAGCCGCAAACAGCCCCCCCCCCGCGCTTTCCTTTCCCCTTCCTCCTTCCCCCTTCCCTCCGCCCTCACCCACCACCCCTCACCTCGCTTCCCCTCACCCACCACCCCTCACCCACCACCCCTCACCCACCACCCCTCACCCACCACCCCTCACCTCGCTTCCCCTCAAACACCGCTGACAGCAGCACACCCGCCAGCTTCTGGGTGAGACTGGGGGGAGCCTTGGTCACGCGGAAGTGCACGCGGGGGCGAACCGACTGCAAAACACACACGCACACACACACACACCCGGGGTCACAGGTTTTGCGGTTAGTGGACATTGAACACAAGCATGGGGAAGGGCAGCAAAAAGGGGGGTGGCAAAATTAAATGGTAAGTGCAAATGATGTGATGTGACGTGGGTGGAGGTGCGGGTGGGAGCGGTATCTCTTGTAAACCCGCAACCCCCCCCAACCCCTTGGGACTCGTTGTTTCACATATTTAATTTTTCCCCCCAACCCCCCAACCCCACCACACCCCCGACACGCACCAGGTGTGTTTCCTGCGGCTCCAGAACCGCGGTGGGCAGCAGCGAGTCCAGTTGCAGGGACCGCAGGTGGCGCAGCAGCTCCGCATCCGAGAGCCGCGCGCGGTTGATGCTGCGTGTGCCGGGCGCAGGAGCGGTCAGACAGGGAAGGTAAGAAACGTTGGGGGCAGCATGGGGCAGCTAGTGGGGCATTGTGCGAGGATTACTAGCCCACGCAGTGATGACACTGATGATTAGCGGAGTGGGCGGTTGTGTGAAGAAGGAGCGGTGGGAGAAGCATAAGCTTGAAGATGGGCGGAATAGTCGATCCAAGATGGATGGTAGGGTTGGTTAGGTGGGCAGGATGGCTTGGAGGGAGGCTTCGGTCCCAGCCCCAAACGTACCCGTCGCCATCGAATGCAATGAGCTTCACAGCCACCACGACATCCACCGGGATGTCGCTGAAGTGCTGTAGCGTTTCGTTGATGCTGCGTCCATCGTCATGCTCCCAGAGGTGCCGCTGCACTTTGGGAACATGTGCATACACGTCTCTGTCTGGAGGTGAGTTTGCAATTTCCTGCAAGGAAATGACAGCGCGCCTTGCTCCTTAACATGGCAAGACGAAGAAAGACGCTGAAAGTTCGCTTGCATAGCCCAAGCAACGACTGACCTCAGCCAACAACAGCTTTGCAGTGTGTCGGCTGTCTGCTATTGCGCATGCCGTAGGCAGCAAAAGGGGAACAAGCAAGAATAGCATGCTAACTATTGTCAACCGCATGCCCTGTTGATCACAATCAGAAAATGAGTACTATGAATGGCGTTCGTTGTATGCTGCAATGAGAGCTTCCAAGTGTGGTCGGGGTGGGAATAAGGGCAACATGATCGAGCCGGCAAGAGCCCAAGCGAACGAGTTTATCTTGTATGGGGAAGTCACTCAGTTATCCTTTTTTAGACACACAGACATACAGTCAAAGACGCAACGATTAGCAAGGCGCAGTTCAGCTCATGCAACATGCTATACGGCAGCCAACCGGCATGTTTTACACACGCTATCGGAACCTGACTTACGACAGAGCTTGTATCACATAACCAAAGGGCTGTAGCCCCGCTCTGTCCTGTCCAGTTGCTTTAGGAGCTAATTGTAACTGTTCTGATACGGTGTCCCAAACAACATTGGAAAACACTTTCGTTCCATTGATTGCTTATCATTTCGACAAGGTTACAATATTGTACAAAGCAGGCCTGCAAAGCCTCGCTTAGATGGCTACGCCTCACTGGCTGTTGGCCTTGGCTATCTCATGGGTGTTAGCAAACGTCCATGCTGTGCAAGAGGAGAAGCTTATTGGCTGGAAGGGCGAGACGTACAACGTGGAGGCTATGTGGGACCCCTTGAAGCAAAAGCCCATGGATGACATCCCACTCCCAGGTGCGGACATTTGTGGCCCCACACCGACATGTGTCAGCTCCGCAGCGCGCCTTCATCGTAGTCTCAGCCACTGTTTCCCTACCTTGACATCATCAAAAATTCAACCCAATACCCTTACTGCACCCCGACCCTGCTGTCTTGTCATCCATCCCTGCTCGACATCCTCCTTACTACAGCATTTCCGCCTAACTCTTTTCTGTCCATATTTCTTTTGCCGTACGTAGCTTCTAAATCCTGGATTGAGCACGTGGCCTGGCAGCCGCGTGTGTTCATCTATCACAACTTCATAACCGACATGGAGGCCGAGCACCTCATAGAGCTAGCAGCGCCGCAGGTGGGGGTCACAAAGATACCGAACCGATTCAGAGGAAGCACAATTGCAGTGCGGCCCGGCTCGCGATCATTTATCTCAACACACACGCTCACGCCACAGTAACAGCCTCGAATGCAACTCTCCTAGGTGGACACCTAGGGTCAGTACCGATGCGCGGCTCATCTTCATCATACACACAGCCCCCCTCCCCACACCCCCAAACACCCCCCACACGCGCTTGCTCCCCCAGATGAAGCGGTCCACGGTGGTGGGTGCGGGCGGCAAGAGCGTGGAGGACAATTACCGTACGGTGAGTACGGCAGGCAGCAGGGGGGCAGCCGTACGGCAGGCGGCAGGGCAGCAGCCGTACTATTGTCATCCTCCCGTTGCCGCCGCCCAGCGTCTCCTTTGCCCATACCTCCTTACCTCCTTACCTTTGCCCCCACCCACTTTTCCCTGCCGGCCCCCTGCCACACGTTGCTTCAGAGCTATGGCACCTTCCTCAAACGGTGGGTTCGGGATGCGGGTGCGGGTGCGGGTGTTTCGCCGGGCCTGAGCCGAGAGCGGAGGTGCATGGATGCATGGGGAAGTTACAAGACCAGCTACCGGTACTCCAAAACTCACCAAACCCAAGGACAGCACCCATGCAACGACCAACAGAACCAAGCAGCAACCGCCGACACAACCACCGCCTTATATACCCACTTGCTGTGCCGCATTTCAGGTACCAAGATGCGGTGCTGGAGCGTATTGAAAACCGAGTGGCCGCCTGGACACAGATCCCCGTAGAGCATCAGGAGGATATGCAGGTTGGTTGTTAGCGGTTGCTCTGTGGTAGGAGGGAGGAGGAGGCGGAAGGGATTCCTGCAATGTGCGCGTTTCACCGGTCTCGCAAAAACGAAGAGGAAACGTCGTATCCCAGGCGCCGTCATGACCTGTCATGCCAACCGTGCTGCCGTACTCGCACAGCTTGTAACCTCTCACCTTCTGCAACAATTCCCTCTACACTCTCCGTCTACTGCCTCCCTCCGTCTCTGTACGGCAGATCCTGCGGTACGGCCTTGGCCAGCAGTACAAGGTGCACTCGGACACGCTGCGGGACGAGCAGGCGGGCTTGCGGGTGGCAACGGTGGGTGTGCTCGTGCACTTATTAGGGTTCGGTTCGTGTCGGGTTGTTAGAATTTAAAACAGGTAGCCTTTGCATGTCCTCTGCCTATGCAATTAAATAAGTAGTGGCTCTCCCGTCTATGACCCCCTCGAGTAGATGACCCGTGGGTCGGCCACGTCCCTCACTCCCCTCAGGTGCTCATCTACCTGAATGAGCCCGAGGCGGGCGGCGAGACGGCCTTCCCCACCAGCCGCTGGGTGCACCCCTCCCTAACGCAGAGGTGTGTTAAAATAACTGGCCGCGAGGCGAAACGTACTGTGATTGCCGAAAGATGGAGTCCTCCCACCGAAAACGCCACAGGTGAAGTGAAGTCCGTTGGCTATGTTGTAATAGAGCTATCGAGTAGTATCGGAAGCAGTGTAAAGCAGTAATAGCAAGGTGTGTGCATGCGTGTATGTTAAGAAACATGCCGAGAGTAGGAACGTACTGAATTTCAGCAGATGATTTACCCACCAAAACGCCACAGGAGACGAGGAAGAGGTCGTCGCATGTAGATACATACATCCAATCCTGGTGCTGGGAGCCGCAGAAACCCCAACAATTAGACCCAATGGACACGACGTATACCATTTTCTGGTACCGTACATGTTTGTTGTTTTGCATGCCGGGGCTGCAGGCTGGGAGCCAACTTCTCCGATTGTGCTCGAGGTCACGTGGCCTTCGCGCCCAAGCGAGGTGACGCGCTGCTGTTCTGGAGCATCAACCCAGACGGCAGCTCGGAGGACACACATGCGGCACACACCGGCTGCCCCGTACTGGCAGGTACGGCAGTACGGCAATACGCCAGTACGTGAATGAGAGATCTTTCGCCCGTGTGACATACATGCATCGGTGTGCTGATGTCTGCTTTGCGTATTACCGTCCGCTGCCGTTTATAGCACACGCACACATACGCGTTTCGCCTCGCGGCCAGTTATTTTAACATACGCGTAAACATATGACGCTCGCATATCGTACACCCATGCACACATGTCGTACATGTGTCGAACACGCATGCAAAGGTGTCAAATGGACGGCGACCAAGTGGATCCACGCGCGGCCCTTCCGGCCGGAGGAGATGCAGCTGCCGTCGGGGACGCCGCGGGAGCCCTACGTGCGCGACCCAGGGGTCTGTTACGACGAGCGACGCGAGTGCGCGCAATGGGCGGCGCGAGGCGACTGTGAGAAGGTAGGCGGGGCACAAGGGGCCCATGGGTGTGGTGGTTGGAGTCATGGGCGGTGGCCGCCTGGCCGGGTTAGGTACGGCTTTTAGGTACGGCAGACGTTGGCCAGGGTTTTAGCTGGGGAGGGAGGTGGGGAAATGCTGGTTTAAGTTGAGGGTTTGGGATGGTGCATGTTGTGCCTCCATGCCTCCCCCACCTCCCCCACCCTACCCGCACCCGCCTTCTGTCAACCACCAGAACTACGACTTCATGGTGGTGAGCTCGGTGGCGCCTGGCGCCTGTCGCAAGTCCTGTGGCGCGTGCCGGGTGTGCGAGGGTGACCCACGGGTCGATGACGAGTGCTACCAGGAGAACCGCCGTCGGGTGGGCTTCCTGCAGTACAATGCCTCTGAGTTGGCGCCCTTTAGGGACATGGTGTGAGGTGGGTAGGAGGTGTTTGTAGGAGGTGCTTTGAGGAGGTGCAACTGTCCGAGTCGGTGGTGGTGTAATAGCAGCCGCAGGAACCGCTGGCTGGCTGTTTTACGGCTAAAGTGTAGATGTTTATGGCGATGTGGGCGCTTATGGGGGCTGCTGCTGCTGCTGTCTTGTCACACACCAGGCTTCCACGTGTACCGGCAATCTGAATAGCTACGCTGTGGCTGCTATAGCCTTATGGCTGTACGAAGGGGGCTGCGTGTAGGTATTAGTACGACAAATAGCCAGATGTGACGAAGGAATCAATGTGTGCATTGCACATGGCTCCTCGCAAAGGGCCGCAAGGCCTAAGGGTTGTTAAGGCGGTTAAGGTGAGCTTACGGCGCTCTATGGGCTCGACGAGCAGGAGCGGGAAGGAAGGAGCGAGGAGGGGCGACTGAGAGGGTGTACGACAGCCTTCTAAGGAACGGAAGTCGGGGAGCGGTGCTAATGGTTGGGAGGTAGGGTCTCCTCCTGCTTGGAATACTAAGCGCCAACGAACCTGCTGGTCCTGTTGACTAGTCTTTCTTGCGCTGTCGGTAAGGAGATTGGTAAAGCCCGGCAGGATGGTTTGGTCGGGAGGCTCGCCCGGCGGCATGGCCTAGAACAATTGATTAGATGGCGAGTGTTGAAACATTGTATAGTCCGTGGCACCACGTTCCACCGGGACGTCCGGGAGCTTAGGACGGAGTGCCCTGCTGTACCGTAGGTCCGTAGGGGGATTCCCCGGCCGGCCGTCAGGGCCATGGATCCAGGGCCATGCTGGGCTTATACGACAAGGATCGCTACAATTGCAAGCGCCCTGTAAATTTAGGATGGTTTAGATGTTCTTTTTTACGCTGCAGTTAAGGCTATCGCACAGCTGCAATGGCTGTTCTTTGCGCTAACGTGAATGCTGCACAGCTAAAGAGTTTTCGCACGCCATTTTAGCGAAGCTTCTACCTGCGAATGCCCGGAAATTTATCATGAAAGCTCTCACAGCAACGCAGTGATGCTAAACAGCTTTTTCTTGCACAACCGAGGAGGTAACGAGCGATAAAGGAAACACGGAAGGCGGGCGTTTTCCTGTTTGCACTACCTTTGTCGTATAAGCCCAGCATGGCCCTGGATCCATGGCCCTGACGGCCGGGCGGGGGGGATTCTGCCCTCTGTGAACTGAAATGAGTACGTCCCGCATCACGCACGTGACACGCTAATGTTGTAATTATTGGCTTACCAGTATGTTGCAACCATTGAAGAGGACAGCAAGCACACAACCGTTAAAATGCTTTGCAGTTTGCCGATGAGCCTTTCCATTTTACTAACTCTCATGTACTTCATGCGTTCTTTATGAATCCCACGCCGGGTAATTTAGCTTGGGACTATGTTGTTGGTAATGGCGTAACCATACCCGTTACAGCTGTATGCTCAACGCAAGCAGTACAGTACTGCAACATGGCGAAGGGCGTATCGGTACCACTTACGTGTGCTAAAAGGATGCATGATTGTGCAGGGATCGGCCATCCCTGAGCCGCGCACAATTCCACGGGTTCCCGACCTAGATTTCTACCAAGCCACCTGACGACATTAGCGCAGCCTTCCCTCATCGGCAGCCCCTTCGGAATAAGCCAAGACAATCTACATGGATGGTAGCAAGAGTGCGACAGACAGTGACGATGGCAAATTGGCAATACAGTCAGGAGCATCCGTACACGACCCATATTACAAACAAACAGGAGAAGATCATGTCGCAGAATGGAATGTTCCGCCTCTTACACGCAGTAGCACACCAAAAAGTGCGAGTTCCGGAATATCAGCCGCTGAAAGTGTACTTTGACGGGGCCTTATATCGTCTTTCTACGGACCATTAGGAGGTCAATTTTTACGCAGCATTTTAATCCAGGAGGAAAATGCCAAAACTAAAACCCTCAATCTTAGCGTGCTTCTGTGGAGCATCCACCACCACAGAAGCCGAGCAAGTAATACCAGTATCCGAACCATGCACATCGGCTCCTTACCCGACCCCGCCAGAGCCCTCCCCTACTCCGCCGCTTTCATTTCTGCGTTCAACTTCCGTTCCGGACCCCTCCGTGGGGCATCAGCAGGCGGTGCGTTGAGCTTATGGATGTTACTTTGCTTCCGGACGGGTTTCAGTAGCAGTAACAGCCTTCTGCAATACAGGATGTGGAAGCGCTCTCCTTGCTGCAGCTACAAAGCGAGCTCGGTGGGTTGGAAGGAAGCTGGCTTGCACGAACGCGCGCGGCGCTTGCAGCCATCGCTCTTGCAGTCGGCGCGAGTGAAGTGCGGTAAGTACTAAAGGACAGGTGTTCAGCATTGAAACAAGAAGCGATGCACTTGCAGGAGCAGTAGTCTCTGTCCAATCCCACTCCAATCTCAGTCCAACTCCACTTTATCCCAATTCGGTTCTTGTTACTTGCCTTTATACTACTCGCCTTCTCACCTCCCTTTCCATTTCCTAGGCTGTACGGCACTTTAGCGCTCCCTGCTGACGTCGCCACCAGCAAGGCACAACAACCCAGCGAGCCGCCCCAACCTCGCTCCTTCATCCTCATGGCTGTCCTTAACACAGCCCATGCAGCAGCCAGCAACACTGCCGCTAACATCGAGCCGCCCACAGCCACAGCCGTCACCGCTACCACAGGTGTTAGAAGCATCCTAAGCCGCAGCCAAGCCCAAGAAAGCACCAGCGCAGCTGCCCCCGCATCGGCTGGAATCCCGGGCCCTATCCTCAGCCTTGCGCCCTGGAACGAGGACAACGAAACTGCCTGGGATGGCGAAGCGGTTGATGCCGGTGGCAGTCGTGGAGGCGACGGCGCCGCCTGCTCCTGGGGTTCAGGGATACTGCTTGGGCAGGAGGTGTGGCCTGCGGAGGGCAGCGGCGCAGAAGCGGCTGCGGCGCACGAAGGCGGGCACAAGCAGGGGCAGCAGCAACAGCAGCAGCAGCAGCTGGAGTCAGTTGCGGCGATGCTCGGGCGCATGCTACAAACTCGGGTGGGTGGGTTAAGCGCGGTGCTGCAGCGGGGTGGTGTTTTGGTTGATTTTGGGCTCTGGTATGTTGCGGCGCGGCACCGCTTCATGAAGTGGGTGTGGGCGTGTGAGGGTGGAATGGGTTGGTAACAGGCTGGGTGGGGTGCCAAATTCCGCATACGGTAACCCTAATACCTAAAGTCTTTTTCACACATCGCACACTCATGGGCACGTTATCCCCTTTCTGCGGCCCCCAGGCACCCGTGTTCTGTACCGCTCCCGCCCGCGCTGCCAAACAAGCAGCCGCCGCCGCCGCAACAGCCCATCAAACCCTGCTCGTGACGGATACAAGCGCCTCCTGCGCTGCAACGCTCAGCAAAACCAGCTCCTACATTCAAGCCACCACCACGACCGCCGCCGCTGCGTCCTGCTATTTCACGCATCATGCTTCGGGCAGTGCAACTGCTGCCAACCACCACAACCACCACCTCCGGAACCGGTTTGGGCAGGACAACAGCTCCTTGTCTGCCAGCATGATGGAAAGTGCTGGCAAGATCAACGTACGCCAGGGGGGTGCAAAGGGTATGGAAGGCGAGGATGTGGTCGCGCTTCTGCCGCTGACGACAGGCAAACGCGTCACTGGAGCTCTTTGGATTGCACGGTACGGCAACGGGGGTAACTGTGCGACAGAGGGTACTTCGGGAGCCCACGCTATCAACACCGCCGCCTTTGCAACAACCAACAACAACAACGCTAACAATAACGACAACGGCAGCAGCACCGGTAAGCACGACAATGGCCAAAACACCACCAAGGCCGTCATTTGTACTGCAGCCAATGGCCCTGTGTCAACCGCAGCCGCCGCATCAGCAGCAGAAGCTCAGGGCCCGTGTCCCTCTCTGCTCGTGCACCGCTCTGCGTTACAGCAGCTAGGAATCTCCGTATCCATGTGTCTCATGGGAGCGGCAGATGCACCGTACGTTGCCACATTCGCCCAAAGCCTACGACAGCTGGCCTCCGCCAGCTCCATGCAGCAGTTAGTTGGCGGTTTGTGCGATGCCGTAACTTCACATGTACGACAGCGTTTCCTCCTCGACCCACGGGTCATTGCGGCCTTGGTTCCCGAGCCGACCTCAACCGTTGGCCTTTTGTTCAGCTGGGGCGCCGCCGATGCTGCGTCGGCGTCCGCCGCTGCAGCCGCAGCCGCCGCGATTGCATCCCGTGGCCAACCCAAGCTGCTCACACGCACAATGACATCATCAATGACGGCGACGACTATGGCAGCTGCGATCACAGCGTCGCACTACAGCAGCGAGGGCCGTCGAGAGGTTGGTGCTGACGCTATTGTTACTGGCGGCGGCGGCGCCGCGGCGGGTGGTCGTTGTACGGCAGCCGGGCCCGTAGCGGCGCTGCTGGGTGAAGAAGTCGTACACATCTTGGATCGCGTCAAGTCAGATACTCTCGCACGAACTGTACGGCATGCTCCCGCCATTGCCGGCTGTCGTACAGGGGCCGGTCGCAGCTGGAATATGGAGCGTGGAGACGTTCCCATGGCTAGGCCGGTGGGCAAGTCAGGGAACGTGTCCCGAGTTGTTGCGTTGACTGCGACGATGACCTCTGACGGCATGGGGGCTGCGATGGCTATGGGGGGGGCCGCGGCTACGGCAACCGGAACCGGCGGCGGCGGCGGTGGCGGCGGCAGCACAGCCGCTACCTCAGGCAGCTGTATCGCATTGCGCGTAAAGCCGTTCCCGCTGGCTCAGACGCTCTTACGGCATGTAATTAAGAAGAGCGGCGGCTACGCCGCCGGCTGCATGGATTCTGGCAGCGTACTCGCGACGGCAACGGCCATAACGACGGCGACTATCGCGTCAGTGGCGGCGGCGGCGATGGATGCGGCGGCGGGGTCAAGCATGTTCCGTACAAACGGCAGCAGTACGGCAGCGCCGCACAAGGCCCTGGCGGCGGTTGTAGAGGACGCCGCACTGCATGTTCAGGACCCCAGGCAGCCCTCCCGGGACATCCTCATGCTGCTATCAAACGCAGTTGCGGCCGGCGGCGGCGGCGGCCGGGGCGGTGGCGGCGGTGGACCGTCCTATAACGGCCCCTCTTGGGGCGGCGGCGGCGGCGGAGTTGGAGGAGGGGGGTCATTCGGAAGTGGAAGCCAGGGGAGCTCTTTCACTGTCGGCCGCCGCTGCGGGCTGACGTCCCTGCTGCTCCTGGTGTTACCCATCGTTGACGGCAGTGGCGGCAGCGGCGGAGCAGGCGCAGGACTAGGAGGAATGGAGTGCAACGGCATGCTAGGGTTGTACGTCACGTTTGCGCAACGGCTGCCGCAGCAATTGCTGCAAGAGGCTCAGAGCCACCTGGGCGAAGTGCTGGAGGCGCTGTCGCCCCTTGTGTCATGGAAGATGCTCCAGGAACTTTCTCTGGAGCTAGAGACCCTGACCACAGCGTCGCCTGGGTCCTACGCGGTGGTTGAGACGTCGCCTCCGCCGCCACCACCGCCCCTGCCGACAGCTGAAACCGCCGCGTCGTTCCTGCTTCCGCCGCCGTCGTCATTCTCATACTCGCCGAAGAAACCTGGCCGCCCCAGACCGTCTCCAAAACAGCTTTTGACGCAACAACATCAACAACAACAGGCCCAAACCCGTGAGCTCAGCCTGCCACAGCTGCCCGCCAGCCTTGTCGGCGGCCTCTCCACTCGGCCTTCTGGAGACACCGCTGGCGGCGCCGCCGGCGATCGAATCGTCCCGGTTTACAGCACGTTGATGCAGTCTATGCTGTTTGATAGCAACCGGCCTGCGGGAAGCAGTATCACCACTGACATTATGATAGATACGAATGGAGCTGGCGGCGCAGCCGGCGGCGGCACTGGCGGCGGCGGCGGCGACCTTGGCGGCGGCACGCTGACGTCGATGATGCTCATGTCGGTGCGTTACAGCGGCGCTGTGGTGGCGGCGATGGCAGCAGCGGGGGGCTCGAATGCAGTCGGCAGTGGCGACGGCGGCGGTGGGCTGTACAACAAGAACACCAATGTGATAATGATGGAGGAGCTGGATCCAGGTACGTACGGCAGTTTTGTTTTCATGTTTTTTGCGCGTACGACTTGCTTTGTGTACATGTGGGAGGCACTTGGCGCAACTTTGTATTAATGCATGTTACTTTTGACTTTTCCCGTCGCGTGTTACGAAACCTGACCGCGAGTCCCATTGACGTGTATGTTGCTTATGGAAGGTATCGCGCGCTATGTTTTGGTCCGTGGCCTGGAGACAAGCTTAGCAACTTGGCGCGCTTTTAGCGCCTCACTGCATCGTGACTCACTGCATCGTGTTCACCGTGCCCCTGACAATGCCCCTCCCTCCTGTTTCCGTCCTCCTTCCTTTGAAACCTGCCCCTCATATCTGTAGTCCACAACACACTAAGGGCGCAGATGCCTTTATTGGTGGCTTCGCTGCAAGACAAAATCAACAGCGCTAAAGCGGAGACAGCAGCCGCTGCCGCCGCGGCAACTGCAGCAGCTACAGCAGCAGCAGCAGCAGCGGCGGCGGCTGTACACCCGACCAACGGCAGGTGCGTTCCACGAGAAAGGCACTGCCAGCGCTTCCTGCCAGCTGGGCGTTGTGAACTTAATGCAACTGATGAAGGCAGCCCCTGCGCTTGATAGAGCCAAGGGTGAAGGCGGTATTGTCGCTTGGTGGAGCCAAGGGAGGGCAAAGGGTAGAAATGTGAAAGCGAAAGGAGTCAATCCTCAGTGTGCTCAATGGGGCTGGCGAGTGCCCGCATCAGTGTCCCGTGGGTCCATCGCAGGAGCTTGCACGCTGCAGCTGTGATGGCAGCATGGCTTCCAGCGCAGCCCGCAACATGCCACCTTGCCCCTTGTGTCCTCATATCACGTGTCCCCAGACTCCTGCATAACCTGTGCGCATGTACGGCAACTCCCTACCCGCCGTACGTACGGTCATGATAACAGCATGACGCCCTGACGTACAGACGCCTCCCTACGGCAGCCTTACCGGCCGCTTACCGGTATTAACTCCCATGCAGCCCACCAGGGCATCCACATCGTCATGCATCTGTGTTCCCCCCGCAGGGCCCCCACCGTCGGCAGCAGCTCACTCCTCGCCTCCGCCTCCTCCTACTCCTCTCTTTCCCCACGCCACTCCAACCTCCATCCCCAATCACAACACCAACGACAGCAGCATCAGCAGGTGGATCCCTTCCTAGGCGACTTAGCGCTGTTGGAGCTCAGAAGCCAGCTGGGCCACGGCGGTTGTGCGGTCGTATTCAAGGGCACGTTGGGGACCCTGGACTGCGCCATAAAGGTGGGTTCCTGGCTGGTGTGTGCTTGGCCAGCTGGCCGCGTAACGGGCACTGATGTCTGCGTGTGTCTCCTCGAGTAAGCTCCCGCAGGGCTGTAGGTGTCTCTATTTTTCGTCCGTGTTTCCATGCAAATCAAGTCATGCAAACCCTGATGCATGTGTCCTTGCAGCATGTGTCAAGCAAGGAGCTAACGTTCTGCTGCTGCCACACCCTGTTTCCCCATTCCCTCCCTTCCTGTCTTCCCTCCCATTCCCTCCTAAAAACTTGATGAACGAACGAACAACGCCATGCACAGCTAATGGAGATGCCCGAGGTGGGTTCCGTACGTGTGTTTTCCGTGCATCTGTGTTTCCTATAACCCTTCATTCTACCGAACCTCCTTATACCGGTTCCAACCCTTTAGTACACCAAACGTTTGGAAACCCTTGAGCCCAATCATCGTCAATAATCCCGCCATCTGGGGTCATCGTGAATACACACTTCCAGTGGTTCCCAGCCGACGTAACGATCCCGGCGTGCCAGCACCCTCTGCAACCGGGTCTGCACTCCTAAAGCAGCCAGCATCCCGGTTTTTTTACGCGAGCATCCACCCTCGACCCTTTACCCCTTCCACTTCCCCCGGCATGTTTACCTCCAAAGATCAACGACACCCTGGACCTAGACGAGTTGTTACTGGAAGCCACATCAGCGGCCGTACCAACCACCACCACCAACAACCCCTTCAGCAGCGGCGGCAGCGGCGGAGCACCTCCCACAGGAAGCCCACATGATGACGCAACAGGCGGTGGCACAAACACTGCTGCTGCTTCCAAAGCTGTAGCTGCTGCCAATGGTGGTAGTAAAGACGCTGACGATGTCGGCGGCAGTGCTAACGGCGGAGGAGCTGCAAGTAGTGTTAGCAGCGCTGCTGCTGCCGATGGTGGTGGTGACGGTGCCGCTGCTAGCAACGAGGTTCAGAAGCAGCTGGGGGCGCGGCGGGCGCTGCTGCGCAATGCCATGGAGCTGGCGATCATGAGCTGCATCAGCCACCCAAACATTATGCAGGTACGTGGGGAGCCGGGGGAAAATTTACACATGTGAAACAATCCCATATCCCGACTCATGCAGTGACCGCATTCGAAGCCGGGAGCCTGGGGGCAGGTTGTTGGGGCGTGTTGGGTTTTGGTGGAAGTGCATGCAGGTGCGGCTAGTTGTGGGGCGTGGGTGGCCGGGAGAAAGTGGAGGGAATACAAGTATTGTCACACTACCGCCATCACGGCACCGCTAAACCATCGCTCGCCATCCCACGCACGGCCTCTTTCGTTCATGCACCCTACCTCTTCCCACCTCACGAACGCCCATCCGCTTCCCACCCACCGTTTTGGTGTGCTATCATTCAGGAATGATTACCCTCCTGTTGCTGGCCCGCCTGGTGTTTACATGCTGCCTGCAGGTGTACAGTACCTTCAGCAACGTCACGCTGCTGAGGAAGGTGATGCCAGACGGCTCGCAGCGTTTCCAGCTGACCCCCGCGAAGCCGGGAGCAGATGAGGATCCAGGTGCGCTGCGGAGGGGTTGTGGCGGAAGTGATGTGGTTTTGTGCAAGCAGGGGGTTGCAGGGAGGAGCCGGATAAAATCGTGTACTGGTGTGTGGTGTTGGTCTGTGCATGGGGGGTAGGGGACAGGTCGGGGAAGAAGTGTTAGTTGGTTGCGTTTGGGGGGCGCATCATCAAGTGTAGGGAGGACCCATGTTCCGCAACCCTGACAATGCTGCATGGGCATTACTGGAGGAAAGCAGTACGCTTCATGTGTCGTGCAATTTGGTTCGTACATATGCCACCATGCATCACCTGATCATCAATACCGTACGTAAACCTCTGTACGCCTCTTTCATAAAACCCGTAGTATGTTACTGTTGTGTTACAGTATCGCGCTATGTATGTCCCGCATTGCTTTGTCTGTGCCTTCACAGAAGCGCCGCCAGTTTGTGTGGCGCTTGTGTGCGAGTGGTGCGACCAGGGCTGCCTCGCATCCGCCTTGCAGCGCCGTACGTTTCCAACATTGTTACCGGCAGCGCTCAAAGGCAGCAGCGGTAGCAGCAACATGCATGGAGGTCTCATCCTGAGCAACGGCGGCAGCGGCAGCAAGCAACACGTGTTGGATTACAAGGTGAGGAAGGAAGGACGTGGCATTATAAGTACCAGTACGGCGGAGGTTGCGGTTGCGGTTGTTTGAGCTCGATTCCAACAGGCCTGACCCATGGGTCATTACTGCTTCCCCCGCCCTTACTTTGCTATCTTGCAGGGCATCCTGATGACGCTGCTGGACGTGGCCATGGCTCTCCGCCACCTGCACTCCCACAACCTGGTGCACAGGGACGTCAAGCCGGCTAACGTGCTCCTCAGGAGCAACGCCACCGACCCACGGGGCTTCACCGCAAAACTCGCAGGTGGGTTGGGTGAAGAGGAAACAACAAACTGGGGTGAAGAGGCACCAACCAACTAACCGTGTGGTAACTAGCTGGGGGAGGGGGGGCCAAAGACCATACCAAACCATATGAAACCACAGGTTGGGGCAATCCACTGGAAAGGGCAGGGGAGGGGAGGATGGGGGGGGGGTGATTTGCATGGGGTTAGTATCCCGGTAACCCAGGTCCGTGTCTGACGCAGCCTTTGGGAACAGCGGTGCCTTTGTGGTGTGGCCTTACATAGCCGTCATAGGGGGTTGTTGGTTCGAAGTGGTAGATGTAGGTACGGTATAGCGAATATGCCGCTAGCCTTGCCTCTCCAGCATTTCCACTCCCCACCTGCCCGATAACACAAGGAAGCTGTGCGCTCCTTATTAAACACACCTTCCCGCCCCGCTGGTTGCCCCGTAGACTTCGGCTTTGCCACGTTGCTTAATCAGGTATGGTTGTATTTACTGGGCTTACTGGGCTGCCCCGTCCCCTTGCCTTGCCCTCTTAGCTTGCACTCATGCGCACCTGAAAGAGGGGGGAAGCATGGGGAGTGCGCTTCGCTCGCCATTCCTCTTCCTTGCCTCGCAGCCCGGTATTGGCCGCCGCCATGAGCCATCCATAGCCTTAGAGCCCCCTCGCCTACCTGCTACCAAGTCCTTTGCCTGACCTTTAACCTCCCCCTCCTTCCTTGTCATCATCTCGCTATTTTGGATGCTTGCTTCTCCTTGTGCTACCCGGCGGATTGTCCGTAACGGTGGATTGCCCTGCGACCCTGCGACCCTGGAATGAACCAAGCAGCCCGGAGACGAAAGGAGCGGTGGACAGCCGTTCGTCTATGTGGATGAGAGTTGCGGCACGTAAGTCGTTTGTGACCTACTTACAGCGTTATAGGTGTGGCCTCGTAGCGTGTTGTGTTGACAAAAACGGTAAAACCATAACGAACATCCCGGCTATGCCGCTGGTCCTCTTCACACGCACGCTACCCCCTCCCTCCGTTGCTATACATGTCATTTATTCCCCCCTCCTTCCCCACTTTGTTGCCATGAAAACACGCACAGGGTCACTCACATGGCTCCCGAGTCCTGGTCCAAACGTGAGTACGGCAGGGACTTTGAGCACCCCCCCCGTACCGTCGCTTTCACCTTTCACCGCAAATTCGTTTGCCTGCTACTGGCCTGTATTGGACCATGCGTCACGGACTCTGCGGTGTAATGTTACCACCATTCCAACAAAACCACCCAACCCCAACGCAAGCAATGCTTTCCTCAACCTTGTCATGAAGTGAAGTCCATTAGCAAACCCTATGTTGCCTGTGACGAGTTGAATAACGCTTGCTGATGTGTGCATGTCCCTCTTTCATTCCTATCCCTTCTTTCTTTGTTGCGCTCCGCAGCCTGCCGCTTGGATGCAAGCTGCGATGTCTACAGGTGCCTGGGGTGCGGGTTGTTGCTGGGGAGGTCGAGATAGAGGGGGGGGAACAGGAGGCTGACATCAAGGGAGCGGTTCGTTGGGGGAGGCAAAATGTATGTTGACGACTTCATGTGGCGCCTCTTGGCTCCTTCACGCAGCCGCCGCATGCATGGTGCCCTCCCTTCTTGTTACCAAATGCACCAATAGTTGGACATCACCCTCTCATCACCCCTTTCCCTCCCTCTCCTACCACCCCATCGGCCTTGCTCCTACGGTCTTCTGCGCCAATCCTGCTTCTTCCTCGCTCCCTTGTGGCCTGGATGCTGCAGCTTTGGCATCCTCATGTGGTGAGCCGTGGGGGGAAGCGCAGGGAAGACAATTGCCTTCGCCCTAAAGCCGTTGCGGACCCGCCACCCCACAATACCGCCGTACCCAGGTCTGCTGCAGCGTGTACCCAGTGCCTCATCCTGGCCCTTCATGCATCCTTAGCTGCTGCATGCATCCTTAGCTGCTGCATGCATCCTTAGCTGCTGCATGCATCCTTAGCTGCTGCATGCATCCGTGCAAGTATGCACCCATGCAACAAGTAACGCCCCAACAACTCAAACCCTTACTTGCGACCCACGCCTTCCCATTGTTACTCGCCATCCCCCCCCAGGGAGCTCACAGCGGGTGGCCTGCGCCCCTATCCCGAGGTGAGTATCGTAGACAGCAGGACCCGCCCAGCAGGAGGGGTTCGTTGGGTGTCATGTATGGGGGTTGGGTCCTTGGGTGGGGTTCTGCAACCCGTCACCCAGGTTGCATTCACCGTTATCAGTCACCCTCTGCAATACCGGTATAACGGTTGCATTCCATGTCAACGTAAATCTTACTTGACGCGTGCAAGCATGTGCCTCCTCTCGTCCAGCAGACGCAGCCCGGCAACATTCCGCGCATTGTGCGGAAAGGTGCTCGACCGACCTTTGACGAGAGCGTGCCCCTGCAGTACAGGTGAGAACTGGTAAACAAGCAAGCAAGCAAGCAGTCCAAACATGCAGTTTAAGTAGCTCTAGCATCACGAATTCGCATACATTTGCTGCTCATGTGCGATGTACCTATTTGCTGATGCTCTGAATACGGTACATATACCGTACCGCACAAAAACCATGCGTACCCGCCTTCCCCAATATTACCGTACCCTCCTCAATCGATTAATGAGATCGATCGATCGATGACTTAGTTCGTCGATATCAATGCTAGTCCGTCGCTACCTTCCATCCTGCCACAACGTAAAACCCCAATCGTAACTAACAGGCTGCTTGCCCAGCGCTGCTGGTCAGCCGAGCCCGGCCACCGGCCTCGCGCCTACGAGCTCGTAACGACCATCAGTCAGCTCCTTGCCAAATGGACTTAAGGTGGACCCGGCAGGTAGGTGTGAGAGTGCACCGTCATGGCCGAACCGCTCCTTGCTTGCCAAGCAAGATGGATGGAGCAGAAATGGATCCAGCAGCTTGAGGCGAAGACGTTTGGTTGGGACTGGGTGGGTGCGGGTTTTCTTTCCGATGTGGACTGTTACAGAGGGTGACGATGACGACGCAGGAGAACAAACAAGGGAGGGAGAACTGCGAGCCTAGGTTTATGGTCCGTAGCGGTGAAGTACGGGCTGTTGTGTTATGAGCTGTATTATGGTATTTGAGCCCATAGCGGATCAGGAGCATCGGACGGGGGCGTGGGATGGACAAGAATGGTGGCATCAAAACGTCGTGATAAAGGTGTTTTTTATGCACGGGGTTGCGGCACGCTGACACATGGGGGAGGGATGTAGCTGGGAAAAAAGGGTAGCGGGGTTAATTTTTGAACAGTTAAACCAATTCCCTGCTAGATTCTACTTACTTCTGCCTACAAGCGCTAATATGTGCCTGCGAATATTTAGTAAATATGGTTTTGTGTCGGAAAGAGGGAATGGGCGGAGGTGGCTGGGTGGTGGGAATCAGTGCTTTAATCAATTGCCAAAACAAGAAACTCCACTTTTATAAACCTTGGGTAGGTAATGAATAATTGCAAATTCGGTTGGGAACCAAGGTATTTGCTGCTTTGCCGTTTCTGCCTCTTCTTGGCTTTTTGTGCACACACGGATGGATACCGGTACACGCGCACAGTGCGTGCATGTATGGTTGCACACACATCATAGGTTGTCAAACCTCGCAAGTGTTCGTCTGTCTGTCTGGCTGGTGTTACAGGTCGCCAGTAATAATACAACGCACGTATTTGCTTGCTTAGCTAGCTAGCTCCGCTTGTTTGTGGTGGCGGATTGCCCGCCTTGCTTGAACGCTGCCTCCGAGACATGTTTTGTGGTGATTTCCTTCAATCGGCATGCTGTACGACTTTGGCTCGTGTGCATGTACGGCATGTGGCACGTCTGCGGCTGGATTGGTTTCTCAATCTGAGGCTGGACGTGTTGTCTGCTGCTCTTATTCCCTACCTCTGGTAAGGGCATACAGCTGCCTCCCACGGTCACGAGCATGGTACGTTGTACCGGTTTGGTGCTACGGTAAAAAGGATTCCTGTGATGGCTCCGTATCGCGAATGCCTTGCTTGCATTATTTTGTTTGGGTGTCATGTGCGTTGGTTGTCTGGATGGTGGTCGGCGATTATTAACTGCTGGAAATGCTGGTGGTGGTGGAGTGGAAGGTCGAGGTGGCGTCCGCACGAGAACTGTTTTGTTGTGTTGGGGGTTGTATTGTTTTGTTGTCTCTTTGCGAGTGTGTACTACGTCCAGGGGAGCTACGGAGTTGTATTATTATCAGTATGGTATTATGAGCGGGTGTGTGTGGTTCGTGCGACCCATGGGTCATCTAGTACTGTGAAGAACAGGAGGGTTTCCCTGCAAGCAAGGGGCGGTTCTTGTGCTATAACCGCAGCCCTAGACAGGGCCGATGCAGCGGCAGCCAATTTTGCATGTTCGGACTGGCCGGAGTCGTTTGCTTTGGTGGCAATGGGTATGCGCGTGTATGGGGCAGCAGAAAGACTGTGTATGGAGTTTTAGCGATGGTGGCCTAGCCGATCACTTTTCCTCCAGTGAGGGGCGCATGTGGGAGTGGAGGGGGCCGAACGGCGGGGCAGAATGTGCGTTTTCGGGTGTTACAGGATGTCTTTGTTCCTATGTAGGCATCGAATTGAGGTGTGGGCGTAAACATGCATTACCTGTCGTGCTAAGCTACAGGCAGACATGAAAACCGTCAGTTATTGATGGGGGGAGTTAAGACAGAATACGAGGGAAGCATTTGTGAACCGAGCACCCTAGCGCTATACTTGCCTGAAGAGAGGAGTGTACGACAAGAATGAAGCTGATTGTACGACAGGACCCCAGAGTTGTACGACGTAAGCGACTGACGAGCACGCCATTGCGGGTGCAAATGTCCCTTGCGACCCCAGCTAAATTGGCGCGGTTTGGTGAGTCGAGGAGTGTGACCGGATTGCGCGAGCATCCTACACGAGTATGACGTCTATCTGGGAGTGATGGTAGGCATCCTATCTCTGGGCTGTAGAAGGCTTGTGTACGGCACGTTCATATTCGTAGTATTCGTGTTTTGGTTGTGCTGCCAAACATGTGTCCTGATTCATGCAGCGTTCCATGGGCATACAACGTCCTAGGGAACCTGGAGCACCTGTCGTTGTGCATATTTGACCGGGATCGATGATAAACATTCGTACCGCATTGCTTTGTACGGTATCTGATTTCCCCGGGGAGAGATGCTACGATCGCTAGAGCATAGTAAGGAACAACCGACATGGCGGGGGGGAGACGGCAGCTTGGTTCAACCTAGGCGGCGGGGTCTATCTGCAGCTATCTGTTTGGTTGCTGTGTACTAGGTGTGAGTGCGCCTTCCTTTGGTTTTAAAGAGGCCCTTGACATGTGTCGGCGAACTGTAATACGAAGCAATCGTGGGTGCTGCCCTTTAAGGCATTTTACATTTCTAGCGACACAATTATACAGTCTATTTTACTTATACTTCGAATAACGACGGCCAGGTTCCAGGCACCCGTTTCACTTTATACACGCTCCCGGCTGGTGAGATATGCACCTGAGACGATAGCGTCTATACATGCAGCAGGAAGCAGAGGCAAGGTGAAGTAAGGATACCCCGATGGGGATCCATGCGGGGGAGCAGTCAGATCAGCGCACAAGAAACGCCCATCATCATCATCGTCGCTATACCCCCACGTGCCCACCTGCACACATCTCCCACCTCACCTCGCAGCTGATCACGCCTGCCGCATGCTGCTCCTACAGTGCCCAAGCCAATCCAAGGCCTGTAGAATAAGCGCTGCATGTGTGCATGCATGTCTGTTGGGTACGGTCACACGAACATGCATACGCTGGCAACGCATGGTTGCATGACCTCCGTGACTGCTGTGTCGCCAGCCACAACAGCTACCGTAGCGATAACCATGATTGTCTGCATCGTTGTCTCCAAGAGACAATCAATCCCAAGCCACCATGTATACCGGTCTACACCGGGGGCCGCTGATGGCGAACCTCATGCCGACTAGTGCCTCCTCGGCACCCGTAGGTACTACCTATGCACAGACTCCGCACCACCCCCACTCGCACATACAGCTTCGCCGCCGCAACGCAGCCTCAACACACTGTAGAGCTCCCTGCATTGCACCGCCTGTACACCTCCCAGCTCGCTAGCAGCTCCCCCCACTTGCTTCATCCGCACACCTCCTCTTCGCTAACCATGACGTCCTCCACAAGAATGGCTTCTACCAACCATGATTCTATGTCCCAGGGTGTCTACTATACATTAATAGCCAGGGCATCCACTATACAGTAATAAAATATACACAGGCCACATATCCCCTACCTCCACGCCCCTACATATCCGGCCGGCTTGTTGTCAGCCCCACTCCTGATGGGCCCAGCCGCCGCCGCTGCAGCTCCGCCGCACGATCCTTCAACGACCGCTTCACACCACCACCACCACCACCACCAGCAGCGGCAACTCCAACAAGGCCGTTACCCAGCCCAGCCGCCGTCCCGGTGTGACCCGTGGGTCGTGCAGCCCCGCCGGAGCGGTGCTGTGCGGAAGCAGATTTCCGAGCAGCGGCCGCCGCCAGTGCCGCGGCCCCAGGAGGCATCCGGCTGCTGCTGCTGCCGCTGGGTGCACCTGCACCTGCAGCAGCGTCACTAACACCAGCCCCTCGGGAGGCGCCATTCGCAGCACCACCACCAGCAGCGGCCGGAGTGCCAGCAGTAGCAGCAGCACAGGGGACACCGGCTTTCCGGTTGCCCGACGAAGCAGGCTCCTGTGCGCCACCGCCACAGCCGCCCCTGTCACTGCCACTGCCAGCAGCCTCCCCTCTCCCACCTGTTGCTGACCCTGCCCTAGCGGCCTCCAGCGGCAGCCGTCCCGCCTCCACCGCTCGAACCTTCACAGCCGCCCCCGCCGCCGCAGTCGCCACCTGCCGCTTTACCACAGCAGCAGCCACCGCTGGCGCCATCCCTCTTCCCCCAATCCCACCAACTGCAGCGACAGCCGCCGCAGCTGCTCCTGCTCCTGACGCAATCGCAGCTCCTCCTGCGGATGCGATCCCAGCACACCCAGCCCCAGCAGCAGCACCCAGGAAGATGTCCTGCTCCAATATGCGCTTCCTTTTCGCCTCCGCTCCCGCCTCCGCCCGCGCGGAGCTCGTCAGGAAGGCCACCTGAGCCGCCAGCCCGTCCGCCTCCGCACCCGGCAGCAACTGTACGACACCCGGCAGCCCCAGCGCCACCCGCTGAGACTCCAGTGCCGCTGCCGTACGCTTTTCTCCGCGCAGGGAGGCCCTGAGGGCCCGGTTGAGGGTGTAGGGGTCGGCTGCCCGCGCATCCGCCATGTCCTGTATGGCTGCCAGGCGGGCGGCACCGCTGAGGGCCTTGGCCTTAGCGTCCTGGTGGGGGGGGCAGGCGAGGTGTGTGCAAGACAGGCAGGGAATAGTGAAACTGGCCGCGAGGAAAGGGAGAATGGAGGGGACAAAGAGAGAGCTTTGCTTTTGGTATTTTACCCTACCGCCCACCTACCTGTTGATATTCCAGGCGGTAGAGCGGGTCCCGCCGCCTGCGCTCCCGCTCCTCCTCATCCGGCAGCTCTATCACCTCTGCGTCAGCAGCGGAGTAGCTCTCCTCCTATACACGTCGACCAGGACAACAGAACAAGGGAGGAGCGGGTGGGGAGTGTAAGGAAGGGGAGGGAGGAGTGGAGGAGATGGGCAAAAAGATGGGAGAGTTGGCAGCGCATTGAAGGCGGCGCCTAGGAGTGGGACGCTGGGCTTGGGTAATGAGGATGCAGCTGCTGGGATTGCGAAAAGCGCTCAAGAAAGGTTCGAAAACGTGAGAGGACAGAGTCCATGAGTGGAATGGGAATCGGGACCGGGTATGGCCACGATTTGTGTTCAGCCAACACATATGAGGTATGAGCGTGTAGCTGTGTGTGTGCTGCGCCTAGGCTGTGCCGCACAACCTGCGTCGGCGCCATCCTGCCTCCTCTCCCCAGTCCTCACCTTTTTCCGCGCGCCCTCCACCACAAGGTACTCCGCATTCTTGGGGTCGGTCTGAATGGTGATGCGGCAGCCGCAGTGGTGGGTCATGCAGAACTGCAGCACCTTGGTGGAGTGGTAGTGGCCGATGGCCTTCTTCTCCGCATTGAAGCGCTCGCCCTTGGCGATGTGCTCGCCGCACTTGTCGCACCATATGTTGAAGGGGATTTCGAACCTGGAGGTAGGAGGGGTAAAGAGGAAACAACGAATTGACCGTGTGATAAGGGGGGTGGGAGGAGTGGGCGGAAGGGGCGGGAGGAGGAGGAATGGGAGGAGGCGGCAGTAGCAGATGTGATGTGGGTTGGTAGGAGAGACATCAAACACGCCGAGATGCGAACTGGAATTGGCTTGTTTTGACCGATGGGTCAACGTCGACGACATACCCCGTAACACCACCCGTTAGCTGGGAAGGGCATTGGGCTCCCAAGCACGCCTTGCACTGGCGGGCGCCCCCAAGGCCTACCTGATAACCAGGATGCCCTGGTCCAGCTTAGCTGCTCGCTCCCGAAGTGGGTGTTGGCCATTGTACTGCGCGTGAGAAAGGGACGGGAGCGATTGGGGTTTCAGGACACAGCACTATGTGCGAAAATAGCGGGTTGCCATAACCCATCGCGCACGCGTTTGAGTCAAACAACAAGCAAATGCACGGGAACTCATCAAACGCGGCTAGCCTGGATACCTAGATGCCTAACATAGATGCGTTCGCGGAAGAATTGGCAACCTCTAAAGCACACTCTGAAACCCGATACGCTTATCTGACCCTAATAACTTGCCTTATTTAATGTTTGGTGCTTCTTAGGGTCGAAATCTGGTGGGTAGTAAAAGTTGTCTGCTCTGGCAGCTGCTAACGAAGACATCTCGCAACTACTTGCGCAAACTAGCTACCGACTCGGGGTGTTGTGGTCAGTTAAAAAACGATATCAGCAGTTGGGCAAAGCGAAACATGGAATGAAGACAAAAAATATAGCGTAAACCCTATTGCAACAAGGCGTCAGCAGAGTACGCTGTTTTTCGGCCTAGGAACTCCACACCTGCCAACAGGTACAACACGATTACGACGCTTGATGTACGGCTGGGACGAGCGCGCCAAAGACCACAGCGATGGGCTGTGCAAGCAAGGTGAAAAGTCACCGCGATTCCTTTTTGGTATGTCTTGTTATGGCATGGCCTAGGCCCTCCCCTTCAATTGCTGCTTTAGGCTAATGCGACTGGGGTGTGCAAGCTGGAAGCAAAACGAGGGACTCCTGGACCTGCCAGTAGAGCTCTCTGCGCGCAATCTTGTAGCATACACCGAAGACGCGGCATCTTGAACATTATACCCTGTGTTAATCGCCCTGCCGCTGCCGCAACTTTGCGCATGACAGCTGCCATGGCCAAAGTGAAATCCTCCACAGCCGACGAGGCCAAAGGCAAGTCATGACCCCATTAATACAACCGCCAGCTACCACTCAGATTGAAATAGCCATGGTAAACCGCAAGTCTCCTAAGCAGGGAAACGAACCGTCCGAAACCGCGTCCCGTACAACATGGGCATGCTGTCCGTCATTAACGCACCTTTCCCGTCTTCGTTCTGCGTAGGCACCCAAAGGCGAGGCGCCCGTATTAAGTCATCTCCTCAGGGCATCCCAACGGATGACGCTGTGGCCATCGGCGACCCTGCAACCAGCAGCGGCCAGAAGGCGTCTGCTCCAAAAGGCGCCAGCCGCCGCGGCAAGAAGGGCAGTGCTGCCTCCGTTACGCCCACCATCGCCTCAGGCTCTGCGGCAGGAACACACAGTGGGCCATGGTTCACCGAGCAGCAGCGTGAGGAGGTGCGCACTGAGCCGAATTGGGCGGGATCCATGAGAAGAAACGACATGCAATTAAGGCCAGACCTTGCCAGGTCGCCAAGACCATTTGTCACAGCTAGACAGCGGTTCACCTCTCGATTTATCCTTGCAAGCCGTGTCTTTTGAGATGAGCCAGTCGTGTGACCTCCACTGGAACCATCTGATAGCTATCAGATGACCCGTGCCTTGTTCTGCATCTCTCACAGTCATTCGTTACCTCCTCGTAAAACTCCTCGCTAACCGGCTTACTACCAATTCCTACATCCCTACCCCTGTAAGACTCGCATCCTACCTCTCCATCCCACCACCCCGCAGTACCGTCGTGAGCTGCTGCATTGGTACGACCACAGCCACCGTGTGCTACCCTGGCGCCGTACCCCGCACTCAAAAAAGCACCTGCTGAACAGCAGCGGCAGCAGTGCGGAGACCTCTGCCGCGGATGCAGGTGCTGCTGCTGCTACGGGTGCTGCTGCGGGGGCTGCTGCGGGTGCTGCGGATGCAGGTGCTGCCCCCCCGGACCTGCCGCCCCAGCAGTTTGCGTACTGGGTGTGGGTGAGCGAGGTGATGCTGCAACAGACGCAGGTGGGCCCCCCGGGGGTGGGCTCCCTGCCTCTTGTGTACTCCTAGTCAGCATACACCATGTGCCCCCTTGCCTCTCATCATGCCAGTCCAGACATATCACCAAGCACCCGCAGCACCCGGGACCCCCACCTTCCCATGCCCCTGCCCCTCTTCCCCCTGTCCCGTTTCAAGTCCGCCTAGACACACAATGCCCCTCTCCCTCCCTCCCTCCTTCTGCTATGCTATGCTCTCTGCCCCCAATCACTCTGCTCTCCCCCCCCCAGGTGGCCACCGTGATGCCGTACTTCCGGCGCTGGGTGGCCAAGTGGCCCACCGTGGCGCACCTCGCGGCGGCTGACGTGGAGGCGGTGAACGCCATGTGGGCGGGACTGGGGTACTACCGCAGGTGGGCGGGAGGGAGGGAGGGAAAAAGATATTCCATTGTGTGTGGGGGGGGGAGTACAGGTGCATAGGGCGGTAGGGCCACTAGAACTAACAGGTGGGTGAGCGGGCGGGGAGGAGAGTGTCGGTATACTGGGGCTCGCTAGTCAGATAACAGTTAAGGAGCATAACTGGCCGCGAGTAGGAAACGTCTGTGGTAATCGGACCGGTCTGTATGTATGTGTGTTGAGAAAACTGGCCGCGAGTAGGAACCTACTGTATGTGTTTTGGTGCGGCGCGTGTGTCGGTGTGTGCACGCACAGGGCTCGATACCTGCTGGAGGGGGCTCGCTTTGTGGTGGAGAAGCTGGGCGGGGAGTTCCCAACCACAGCTGCTGAGCTGCTCAAGATCCCAGGTAGGCCGGTGGGCATGCCGGGATGCCTTATTTGCCTGGGGCTGCATCTCTGTCCATTGCACATGTGTATACAAACGTGCACATACAGACCGCATATTATGTGTACAATCACAGCGGGGCAGCTTACCACAGTCTCTGCCATGTGCTTTTTGAACAACGTACCGCCCACCCACAAAAACCAACGTTCCGCCTCTCCCCTGTCCCCTTCCCCCACGCACGCTCCTCCAAGGCGTGGGTCCCTACACCAGTGCTGCAGTGGCTTCCATCGCCTTCAGCCGTCCCTCAGCCGCAGTGGACGGCAACGTGGTGCGAGTGGTGAGCAGGCTGGCCGCCCTGCCGGGGGACCCCTCCCGCCTGGCCGCCTGCCATGCGGCGCTGGCGTTGGAGCTGCTGGACCCGGGGCGGCCAGGCTGCTACAACCAGGTGAGCAGTGGGGGGCTGACCCATGGGTCATGCTCTCATGCATGACAAGTTTTTATCATGCATGGTGGAGCGTGGGCGGGCATGGTCAGGATTGAGGTTACGGTAGAGAAAGGTGAGTGGTACAGTCAAACACTGGTGGTTAGTCATGGGGTGGTGGATGGGAGGGCAGCAGGGATCTGTGATCCCTGTCTACTAACAGTACCTGTCCTTCCCAGTTTTCGTCGGGTATTCACATGCTGCATGCTGCACCCGCACCGGCACCCGCAAACCCGCGAACCCACGCATCCTCACCCGCTTCATCAGGCGATCATGGAGCTGGGTGCCACGGTGTGCCGCCCCGTGAACCCCGACTGCGCTGCCTGCCCGGTGCGGCGGGTGTGCCGGGCAGCAGCCGCCTGGGAGACCTACCTGGCGGGGGGCGGGGACCCCGACATGGAGGATGCGCCCCGAGTCACGCAGTACCCCGGTCGGAAGGCCGTCAAGCAGAAACGCGAGCAGGCGGTCGCTGTGACCGTCCTTGAGGTGATTTGCACCCGGGAGCACCCGCAGCAGCAGCAGCAGCCGCGGCAGCAGGAAGGGCACAGCGGCCAGCCTGCTGTTAACGACGGCCAGGTTCCGGCAGCAGCAGCAGCAGCTGGCGGTGCTGATGTGGGTAATAACAACGGTGGCGGGAATAGCGCGGTCGCTCCACCACGTAAGCGACAGAGGACGATGGAAGACTTTGCACTTGCAGCAGCAGCCCGGAAGCAGCGGCAGCAGCAGCAGCAGGACACTTGTGCAGCAGGTGGAGCGGGTCCTGGGGGGTCAAGGACGCCTGGTGGCGGTTGTGATGATGGAGGTGGTGCTGCTGCTGCTGCTGCTTCGGGACCGGTGTCCTCAGCTTGTGCAGCTGACGTGGGGGTTTGTGGCGAGCTGGAGGCTCTGCTGGCTCGTGGGTCCGCCTGCCGGCGCTACCTGCTCACCATGCGGCCGCAGGTGGGTGGGCAGTGGGTGGGGCTGAGGGAGCGGACTGACAGGTGGGAGTGTTAGTGCTCTCACTCTCAAGTAGTGCTGAAGAAAGCAAAGAAGACAGAAACCTGTTTTTATAGCGGCGACACATCATCAGGTGTATAGGGCTGTGACTGTGGGGAGGAGGAGTTTTATGGGTACATGTATGGCCTTTTTGCAGGTGCAGGCGCTTGCGCTTGGTCCCTCTCCATACCCTACTGCTCTGCTTCTTCCTGTCCTGTCCGACTAACCGCTCCCTTCTTGTCATGTGTTGCTTCTTGACTGCTTGCTTGCTGCGAGCAGGGTGGCCTGCTGGCGGGGCTGTGGGAGTTCCCAGGTGCGATCAGGAGGGAGGAAAACAGTGTGAAGCAAATAGGAGGGAGGGGTGCAAAGGGAAGAGAACGCGGTTTGGAAGCGTGAATTGAGACAGGGTGAGTTGTTTCCACCACTCACGCTACTCGGTAGGCTTGTAGGGGCTGGTGACCTTTTGGGGGTCTACCTTTGCAAAGCACTCACTCCGAGCCTGTGGCATCCTTTTGCCATTTCCCCAGGGGCGGTGCTTCAGGATGTGACGCCAGGTGATGGCGGCGGCGGCGGAGATGATGAGGATGCTGAGGCTAAGGGGGATGGTGCAGCAGCAGCAGCCACCACGTCTGGTGAGCGCCGGCGAGCATCTGAGGAGCTGTTGTGTCGGCTGCTGGGGCCAGCAGGCCTTGCCCTCACATCATCATCATCATCATCATCGTCACTACCACCGGCATCAGCACCAGCAGCAGCACCATCTGCAGAAGCGGCGCCTGGCTGTGACACGGGTGCTGTCTCTAGCAATCTTGCCAGCGGTGTGATTTCTTCCTTGCAGAAGGATCAGGCGGTTCAGGAGGCGGCTGCACAGAGGCAGCAGCAGGGGCTGTCAGTGCTGCGGGTGCTGGGCCGCCATGATATGGGCACCTACGTGCACGTGTTCAGCCACATTCGACAGACGAATTACGTGCAGCGCTTGACAGTGGTACATGACGGTGATGTGGCGTCCCTGGAGCGACTGACAGGGGCTGCCTCTCCTGTCGGTAACGGCGTAGCAGTGGAGGGTGGGGGCCAAGATAGCCCACCTCGCTTCCCAGGCCGCCTTGCTGTGGCAGCTGATGCGGCTGGCGCTGCTGGTGCTGGTGCTGCTAAAGATGGCACCCCAGGTGAGGATGCTGGTGGTGAGGAGGGTGATGACGATGTCGTGCTTGTGGAGGAGGTCGACATGCCAGCAGGGAACAGCAAGGCAGCAGGTGCCACTCGCAGTCGAAAGGGTGGAGCCTCCAGCAAGGAGCAGGCAGCCACTGCAGTGGTAGCGGCACAGGCAGGGCAGGACAAGGAGCAGGCTCTGGCCCCGGCGCTCATGTGGGTCAGCAGGCAGCAAATCGAGGGCCCGGGGCTGGGGCTGAGCTCCGGAGTTAAGAAGATGCTGCAGCTGGCCCTTGGTGGCAGCGTGGCCGCAGCAGCAGCAGGCGGCCGCGGCGGCAGCAGCAGGAGTGGGGCAGGCAGTGGTGGTGGTGGCGGAAAGGGAGCCAGTGGCGGTGGGGTGAAGGCAGGCAGTAAGGGTGGCAGCGGCGCCAAGGCTGGCAAGAAGTAGGCATATAGACATGGTAATATGATACGTATTTGGGTCAGCCAGCAGAAGCGCTTGATGGTGGAGATCTGTAGGTGCCTATTGGCAGGCAGTGGAACTGTAGCACAGTAGCAGGTTGGGGGCATGATGTTATGAAGTGCCACAGCCGCCGTCTTTGTACGATAACTATTGTACGTTTACTATGCCAGCAAGAAGTGTACGGGTACAAGGATATTGGCACGGCAGGTTATGGAGACACCTCCCTTTTCGTGTTCCATGTGCTTGTAGGCTTCTGTCAGATGGTGAGGCAACGCGCTCAACATTCATATTCAAGGGACGTGATACCTATTGCATTCAGGTGTATTGCTCAGACCAGTGAACACAACGCCTGTGAAAGCACTGACGCCAGCGGGCACAGCGTCCGACGTGCAGCATGCCCTTATGCGCGAGCCCGGGTGTAACATGTGCGGTAGTACCTATACGTGGCGTGCATGTACGTGGTAGTGTGCAATGCATGCACGTCAAAAGAGGTTTCGCACAGACTTAGTCACCCTTTCCACCCTATCCCGAGCAGAGACTGCAACAGAAGTCATCACCAGAGGTCAACACCAAAGCAGTCTACGTAGCCAAACTGTACATCCTACCTAGACAGGTAGTACAGGTACATGCACACCTCCAAACATGCGACCGCCATGTGCGGCCGTACCTGGCCAATTGGGACATGGCAACCTATGATAGGGACTCTTGGGAATGGCAACAACGGTGCAACTATGAACAGCATCGACCAGGTTGACTTGGAACACAGTCGAGCATCAGCATGTCCACAGCCTAAAGTCTAAAATGTGCATGTTCCGCACACGTCGTGTTGTCCGAATCGCCCAAAGGTGACATCAAGATATCATGTAGACAATTCTGGACAAGATCCATAAAAATTTGGAACACTCGCAAAAGGTCCTGGGGAGTTGCGGGAATCGAACCCGCGACCTCTCGCACCCGAAGCGAGAATCATACCACTAGACCAAACTCCCAGGAGGAGAAGGGGAGTTGCGGGAATTGAACCCACGACCTCTCGCACCCTAAGCGAGAATCATACCACTAGACCAAACTCCCTGATGACAAAAGCTTGTGTGTAATTATTGATGGCCGCAAGGGACGCACACATGCCCCTCCCCAGCTGCGCTCTCCTGTCTGGCTGCTCCCCGACAGGACGTAACAGCGCGCAGCACCGCAAGCCCACCACCCTACCCCGCCAACGTCATACCCCGCCAACGTCACACCTAACCCTCTATCTACCTCAGCAGCTTCACAGGAGTACATGCTTACAGCATGAAGCCAACGAGCTTAGGGGCAACATGCATGTGGGCTGCACTGGCACAAACGTATTCCTGGCTACCCATCAAGCGTCCTACACTTTCGTCCCGCGGTGGTCTGCCAGTCATTACCCCCTTTCCCAAGCGCCCTCACGCGTCGTCATACGTTAGACAGTTGTGGAGCCCGCGGACTCACTGAGAGGATGGGCGTACGGTATCAAGTTGTGACTTGCAGACTTGCAGACTCGTACGAAGAGGGAAATGTCCTCCGAGCCTTGCCGCACATCTGCCGAGCCATCCAGCTTGATAACAGTCCGGCTCAGACAGCAGACAACTTAGCGGACAACCCCCACAAGTGGTCGGATGCCTGTGAGTCATGGCAGCACTTGCGAAGCTAAAGAGGCACAACTTATTTTCCAGGCCGATTAATTGAAGAAAACGTCCAAGGAGCAATTGAAGAACGCGGTCCTGCTTTGTAGGGTCTTCCTTAGGCCCAAGGGTCCGGAAGTGTCATTCAACAAACCAGGTTCCCAGCCAGTGAAAAGGGCCTCCCCGTCGGCGTCTTCCGCATACAAAAGGCTGTTCCTTGGTTAAAGCCTTGGGAAGAAAGCAAGGTTCGCCGCAGAACACTCACCTGTTCCTGACCTCGCGCACCGTTTGGCAGGATGAAAATCGCTCAAACCAAATCACGGGGTTCCCTTCAATCAACGCCGAGACGCAGCAGCTGCTGCATTTAAGCTCTGCGACGCCTGGCGGCTTGGCGTCGAAAGACATTGTCGCAAGAGTCGAGAGCTCAAGACCCTGGTTCGAGCTGGCATCACTATGCATGAACAGATAGGTATATCAACATATTATTAGGTGGTAATCCTTGTTATGTAGTTTTGTCACGCAAGGTGCGCATGTGGTCCATTTTTGGTTGGTGTACGGTCCGGAGCCCTGACCGTCGGACGCTGCAACCTTGGACAGCTGTGGCCTCGGGTGCGCACATCAAGCACACGCCAACAACATCAAAACAATATCGTGATGAACAATGCCAAGACTGTATACCCTTACATGCAACGCTCGCGGCATCGGTTGCTGCGGCGGCGAGACGAGCTTGACGTGCGCATGAACCGCCTCGCTCCCCGCCTGTCCACCTCCTCCTTCCACCTCTTAAGAACCACGCTCAAACATCGCCACAGCGGCCGCGGCAGCAGCGTTTTCTTAGGCGGCGTCTAGGAAATACCATATGGCTGTAAAACAACTGCTTCCATCGTGCGCCCCTTCATACCCCTACACGGAATGCAACATCCCGTACATGCGCATGCCCCCACTGCGCCACCTGCCCATACCCACCGGCTCGCACGCAGTCCTTATACCCTCCTCCTCCTCCTCGTCCGCAACCTCGTTCACCGCCCCCCTAGCGTCCCCAATGCGTCCCCTCTCGCGTCTCGAAGGACCCGGGGGGGGGCCAACCCCCGCCGGATCCACCCCCCCATTCCCTTCTTCCATACACACACTCCCCTGTCACTTCCTTCCCCCGGTCCCCCCCACCCGGCCCCTCTACACGAACTTGGCCCCCTCATGGTCCAACTCCACCACCTGAGAGGGGGGCGGGGGAAGGGAGGGGTAAAAATAAGGTATAGGGAAGGGGGGGAAGCCAGATATTCTAACACACTAAGTCAGCCTTCCCTCCTCTTCGCACCCCTCTTCCCTCCTCTTCACCCCCTCCCCACCTGGGCCGTGTTGATCTCCAGCCCGCCCGCGCTCCGGAATGCCGCACACATCGCCTCCGCCACCCGCGCCCCCACCGCCGGGTCGTCTACGACGGCCACTGCCGTGGGGCCGGCACCGCTGATGGTGCAGCCGTAGGCACCTGGGGGGGTGGGGGGGGGAGAGGCAGGGAGGGGGTATAAGGGGGGAAGATATATGAAAAGTGAAGCAAGGGGAGTACCAAGAGTAGGGAGGGAGAGGGAAGGAAGAAACGCAGGAGAGCTGCATGAGAAGGAGAAGTGACGAGACAGGGCGAAACGGACAGAGACTATGAAATTGGACAGCTCGGGTTTTCAGCGGCTGTCCCTCAACTCCCCCCTGCTCCCCCCCCCTCCTCCTCGGGATATGGGATTGGGACTCGTTGTTTCACTTATTTAATTTTTTTCCTCCCTCCCCCCTGCTCTCTCACCCGCCTCCTTTGCCGCCTGCTTGACTGCCAGCATGCCGGGTATGAGCGGCCCGCGCACCGGCTCGATGATGACGTCACGATCCAGCGACTGCCCGATCAGCGCCACGTCACCGCGCAGGATGCCGGCAACCTGGGGGGGACGGAGAGGGAGGGGAGAGGTAGAGGGGGCAAAAACATTATATAAGTGAAACAACGAGTCCCAAACCCATATCCCGACAGGGGGCAGGTAGAGGGGCAACGGGAAAGGAAGCGAGTGAGGAGCAGGTCTCAATCGGTCATTATACGCCACAACACATGCCGTACATCACACGTCAGGGTCAGTGTCAGGGTCAGTGTTTCCGCGGCTCAGTTTGCCTAACTCCCCCTCCCTTCCCCCCCTCCCGCCCGCCTCACCAGCGCCCCTCCCTGGCAGCAGTTGTTGATCATTGCCTTCATGCCCACCTCCTTCGGCAGCACCGCCCGCATCTGAGCGGTGGGCGCCTCGAAGCGCGGGTTGACCAGCACGAAGTACAGCCGGGCGGCGGGCGGCAGCGGCAGCTGCAGCAGCTCCACCGGCTGGCCGGGGGCGCAGGACCTGGGTGCATGGGGTGGTGGGGGGGGGCGAGGCAACAGCAGCAGCAGCAGCAGCGGGGGAATGCAGCGGGGAAGAAGGTTACAAGAGAAGCAACGCAGTGAATGCATTTCCCGGATTTGGGTTACACCGCGCTACATAACGCAGTTGTCACGACTTCTGCAGCGCGCCCCCCCAGCTCCCCCACCTGATGAGCACGAAGCCGCCCAGCAGCGAGGGCCCCACGTTGTCTGCGTGGTAGCCGCTCACCGCCGCCTCGCTGGCTAGGCCGGCCAGGATGAGGCGGTCCTGGGGGGCGGGGGGGGAGCGGGCCTTCGTGATCAGCATGAATGGGGGAGGGGCGGGGTTACATGGTTCGTTTCTCCTCCGTCGACCCTCGTTCACCCCCCCTCCAGTACCACCTCCCCCCACCTTGCTCACGGGCGCCCCGAACAGACCGTTCACCGCCCATGCGGCCGCAGCGGCGCTAGCGGCACTGGAGCCCAAGCCACTCCCCAGGGGGAGGCCCTTTGGTGGGGGCAGGGACGGGAGAGGGGGCGGGGAGGGAGAGGGAGGGATAAGAAAAAGGTAGAAGTGCAGGGGGGCAGTGCAGGGGGGCACCCGGCCGCCCTCTCCTATCCCCACCGCTTTGCCCTAACCCGTGGGTTTCCTACCTCTGTTTTGCTGCTGTGGTCTTCGAATCCCTAACCCCCCCTTCTAGCCATCTACCCCCCCCACACCCCCGCCGCCTACCTTGTTGAGTGTGAGGCTGACGCCACACGACACGTCCCCGATCAGCTTGAGCGTCTCGCTGGCCGCCACCCCGATGCAGTTCTTGGCGGGGTCCAGGGAGAGGCGCCCGCCGTCGCCCTGGGAAGGGGGGGAAGAAGGATCCCAAGGTGTTGAATGATGATAGCAAACAGGGGGCACGGGGCAGGGAAATGGGGCAGGGAGGGACATGTTTAGTCGGGCAGGAGAGATGGGATATGGGAGGGGGCAGAAGGGTTGCGGGGAACAGGGTCATGCCAGCCGTACCTGACTTCCCTTGATGTCAGACGGCCCCCTTATGTCGTACCTGGATTCCCTCAATGACGACCTGGCCGGGCTTGCCCGGGATCACCTTTGCCACCACGGTGTCACCTCCGCCCTGCGGGGATGATGGTGGGATGGATGACATGGGCACAAAATGCCTGTTTGACCCAACGTGATTTGGGTTTGGCTGGGTGTGTTTTTATTATGCGGCCCTTGGAGTGTGCAAAAGTGGGTAGTGGGGATCGATCGCCTGGTAAGCTTGCGTTCGCCTGGCCTGTCATTTTAGTAATCCGGGGCATGCGAGGGCAGTAGTGGCCGGAGGACGCGCGAATGGGGTGATTAGATACCTGCACAGCGCAGCCCATCCAGTCGAAGCCGGGGCCCAGGTTTGCAACGGTCGCGGGTGCGAACGCGGCGCATTCGTTCTTAACGGGATCTATGAAGACCTTGCCGCCAGCAGAGACGTGAAGCCGCGTGCAGCGAGATGGACGGCGGGTCTGTACGCAGCGCCTGGGGGCGGAGTCCGCGTAGCTGCTGCGGCGCTGTTGGTGTTGCAGTTGTTGCCGAAGGGCCATGTTTGCTTGCGGCGCAGGGACCAACTAGTAACAGGTCTAGCAGAGAAACGCGTCGCCTTTATATACGCTTATTATGTACAAGGTAGCGGGCCTTCCACTCCTAGTATCTTGGTTAGCAAGAAAGGGCTACTCTGCAGGGTCGGCCGACGACGATACAGGTAGTAAACAATGCAGGGACCAGACCTCCGGATTGATTAGCGTGTGCTTAAGAGGCACCTGTTGCCGACAATCGCCATCCTGTTCCTATATCTCAGAGTGTACGGCGTTTGCTCTACCGGCATTCGTGAAACTCTTCATTCCATACTGCCGCCTTGCCGCTAGTACTACTTTTACTAGAACTCTTTAGCCGGCGTAAAAACCTTTCACAGCCGCCATATCCGCCGCCAGAAAGCGGCTACTAAAGCGCATTGTGCTCGCGATTAACAGACGAAGCCTGTAATGTACTCTTCGTAAGCAAGCGACAGCCTCAGGGCCCTAGTCCGCGTGTGCGGCTTTCACAACACAGAAAATGGCCGTAGATGTGTCAGAACATGCACGCTTTTTTGACCATTTGGTTGAGTTAGTGCCAGCGAGGTACTATTACGACGATGACTTTGCGAAATTGAATCCCCGCTACCTTGCCAAGGCAGCGCGAGAGGCGCACAAGGCCGACGTCAAGGCCAAGGCGAAGGAAGCCAGGCGTGACAAGTTTGACCCCAGCAAGGCGGCAACCACGCTTGACTTGCAGCGGCAAAAAGCCCAGTCCAAGCAGGCAGGACAGCCCGGCGTTGGCGGTGCTGAAGAGACTGCAGATGGCGCAGGCCCATCCACATCGGGTCGCAAGAACGTAGCTGCTGCACAAAAGGCTGGCGCAGCGGGTGCTGCTGCTGCCTCAGATGACGAACCAGCTGCTCCTGCGGCTGCCGGACTGCAGCTCCAGCTTTCGGGCGGTGCAATGAGCCGGCAAGAGCTCTTAGAGCGACTTCACAAGAAGGTCCAGGTACGTGCTTAGCCCTTGCTAGTAAGAACCTGCTCCTGCTCCCTGCTCAAGGGTTGCAGGAAATCCCGCTAACAAAGGCCTCGCATGGCAGCTATGCGATCTACCCAGGTTTACACCCCACAGCCACACTTTCCCTAGCACGCCCTCACCGTAACCTCCTCCCATGCACAACACGCACACGCCCATACACATCTCCCCCCTCCCCTCCCCGCTTTCCTCCCCACACAGGAAGCCCGGGAGCGCCGCAAGGCGGCCAGTGAGACCGCCAGCAAGGCCAAGGAGTGGCGCCAGAACGCGCTGCGAGACAACGCAGCAGCCAAGCAGCAGCAGGAGGAGGAGCAGGGGCAGGGGAGCCAACAGACAGGCGGGAAGAAGCAACAAGGAGGCAAGCAGCAGCAGCAGCAGGGCGGGAAACAGCAGCAAGGACAGCAAGGTGGTGCCAACAACAAGGCTGGCAAGCAGCAGCAGGGGCAGCAGCACGCGGGTTCGAAGCGCAAGGGCGGGGAGGGCGAGGCCGGCGGCAAGCAGCAGCAGGGGCAGCAGCAGCAGGCGAAGAAAGCGCGTCGGGAGCAGCAGCAGCAGCAGGGAGGGCAGGCGGCGGCAGGGAAGGAGGAGGCGGATTTCAAGTTTGCAAGGATCGAGGTGGAGGAGGGTGAGTGCGGGCAGGCGGCCGAGAGGGAGGTGGTTTGAAGGGAGGTAGGCAAGGGTGCACTTGTTATCCTCCGTGACCTTCGTAACCTCTGTATATCTCTGTAACCCTCTCTGGATCCCCTCTTACCCTCCCGTCTCCCTCCTCTCCGCCTCCCCTGCAGGCGGTCGCGCCGGCAAGGGCCCCCGGCGCCCGCCCAAGCAGGTGCTGTTGAAGCAGGCGGAGGAGAAGCAGGCGGAGATGGCGGCGCTGGCGGGCACGCAGGAGGGCAAGGTGGGTTAGGGTGTGTGTGTTTCGGTGGGGCCTGGAGGGGAGAGGATGGAGGCAAGGGCGCTGGCGGGCACGCAGGAGGGCAAGGTAGCAGGGGTTGCACGGTGGCATGGTGGGAGGAAGGGGGAGGAACGGCATGGGCGGGCGTCCAGGAGGCGGGTACCGGTATATTTGCCTCGCTCCACCCTCGCTTCACAGGGTGGACACATGAACACATGTGAACACATGTCCTTCCCTCCCTCCCTCACCCCCTCCCTGCAGGCCAAGGCCCACGCCGCCTCCTTCCAAGCCGCTCTGGCTCGCGCCTCGGGTGAGAAGGTGCTGGACGACCCCAAGCTGCTGCGCCGCTCGCTGAAGCGGGAGAGCAAGCGGAGGGAGAAGAACAGCAAGGCGTGGCAGGTGGGCGCATGGGGAGGGGGGGAAGGGGGCGGGAAGGGAGGTATAGGGAGGGAGGTGGAGGGAAAGGGGTACAGGGAGGGAGGGGAGGTATAGGGAGGAGGGAAAGCTGCACAGCTAGGCCTGACCGGAAGGATGCGGGCTGGGTGTTGAGGGAGGACACCTCAACCGCTGCTGAGACATGGCTCCTCGCCTGCATGCCTGCATGCTGGACATGCGGAGGGGTTGTGCCGCTGCCACCTCCTGGCCCCCCTCCCTACCTCCCTCCCTACCTCCCTCCTACCCCTATCAAAAACGACCACACGAAACCCAAAATTCCCTGCCTGTGAGCGGAATATCCACCTCTCCCTCCCTCCCTCTCCTCCCTCCCTCTCCTCCCTCCCTCTCCTCCCTCCCTCTCCTCCCTCCCTCTCCTCCCTCCCTCTCCTCCCTCCCTCTCCTCCCCACCCAACCCCCCAGGAGCGCAAGGCCGCCCAGCAGGAGACCCAGGCGGCACGGCAGACCAAGCGAACCGAGAACCTGGCGGCGCGGCGGCAGACCAAGCTGGACAACAAGAAGGCGAAGCGGGAGAAGAAGCTGCTGCGGCCGGGGTTCGAGGGGCGGCGGGAGGGATTCATTGCCACGGGAGGGGGCGGAGGGGCGGGGGCGGGTGGGAAGTGAGTTAAGAGGCGGAGGTGGAGGGGGGCTGGCGGGGGGCGGAGGGACGGAGGGGCGGGGAGTAGTAGGAGGAGGAGGGTGTGAATAGGGTGATCGTGGTTTTAGTGCTGATGCGGGGGAGGAGGGGGCTAGGGGGGGAGGAGGAGGAGGAAAAGGGGGCTCCCGTTTTTGTTTTCTTGGAGTGAAGGGCCGACTGGTCGCTTCCACGTCTTGCCAGTAGAAGCGGCATAGCGGTAACTGAAGAGGGACTACTGCTGTGAAGGAAGCTGCAGTACGATGTTGCGCTGTTGCTAGCAGGATATCAATAACCAACCCCGTTCCGTCTTTTGCTGGTGTGCCGTCTAGGCCTGCCTAGGCTTTCCTTTCCTGTTGTCCGCTGCTGCTGATGTGTTCGGAAAACTGGCCGCGAGTCGTCCGCTGCTGCTGCTGTGGGTCCGGGTGCGGGTGGTTGTTTGCGGCGTTGTTTGGTGTGCAGCGCCGCGAGTGCACCGCCGGGCCGGGGTGGCCTCGGGGCAGATGACGTGCGTGTGTGAGTGGGGATTAGATAAACTGAGCCGCGGAAACACTGACCCAGACCGTAGGTTACCGGAAATTGCTTGATGGTGTTCCAGACGTCGAAGTATTGTAACCAGCGTCGTAAGGGGGGGGACAGGAGGGCACTTGTGTGCTTTAGGGTTGGGTTAGACGGGGCGTGTTTATTCGTTTAGCACACCGTACCGCATACCGTTTAGACAGGCAGGCCGGGTTTTGGCGGTTCCCTCTGGAGACCTGTGTGACGATATATGTGTGTGCAGGATACACAGATGTGTGTCGACAGTGTCAGAGAGATGTGTTGGCTGCACAGGTTGTACGACGGACAGGAAAGAGAGATGCGTACGACAGTAAACCTCGTCTGTTACAATAGCAAGTAGAGAGTGTCGGTGCAGTGCTTCGGATTAGAAGGCAACAGCAGTTTCAAGCTCCAACTTGTATACCAACTTCCTCTTAAGAAGAAAGCTTGGAACTTAGGAGGGGTGCAGTCCAGCCAACACACCTACACCTCAGATTAAACATCGCTTAAAGGCAGCTGTACCGGCCGCACCCTGTGTATGTGCATTACACCTGCCTGTGAGAACACACACACACACACACAACCCAACTGCTATCCCAACTGCTTGCTCTTGTTTCTACTCAACTACACACACACAACCCAGTATGTTCCTACTCGCGGCCAGTTATTTTAACACAACCATCAGCATCACTGACATGCGTCGTCACTCGTCACCCGCCACTCTTCTTACATCCAGCAACAGCTATTTAAGCAGTTTTTGAATTACGGTTCAGGTTTGGTCACCTCTGTTTTTGCCTGTACTCGCGGTTCACATGCGAACCTCTCCCAATTGCCTGCTCTTGTCCTACTCAACTACACACACACACTCGCGGCCAGTTTTCTTAACTACACACATCCAGCTGTCCCCGCCTCCAACTGCCTTGCCACTATCGCTCAGAGCGTGGTCATTCTCCTTCTCCGCCCCCCAACCTCTTCTCAATTCTGTCCCTCCCCCTTCTCCCCCAGCTCCCCCGCTCCCCCCCGTGTGCTGCCCACCAGCCAAGCCAGGTAGGAGGGACTGCCGCCCAGCACCGGCAGCGCCAGGACCTCGGGCTCCTGCAGGGGTGGGGGGAGAGGGAGGGTAAAAGGAGGAAACTGACGAGCTAACGAACTAACGAGGGAGGGTGGGTTGGAGGGGGTTGGGGCGGGGGGCAGTTGAGGGAGGTGGGGTTGCCCCGGGGGCGTCGTCTGGTGGCGAGGTGGCGAGGGGCGGAGGTGCGCAGGCAGGGGGTTTAGGGTGTATTAAAATAACTGGCCGCGAGGCGAAACGTACTGTGTTTAGGGGGTGTGTGTTTGCCCGCACCTGGTAGGGGTGGTGTGCCTTGATGAATGCGGTGAGCTCCGGCAGCAGCGGGGAGCGGCTCTTGACCACCAGCAGCATCTCGGGGTCGCTGTTGACCTGGGGGGGTGGAGGGGGGTGCGTTTCCTATGGGTTTGCTCCTGACTCCAGCCCCCCCTGCAGCAGCCCTCTTCTCTTCATGTCCCCTCCCCACCCCCTCCAGGCTTTCCCTCTCCAGGTAAGTTTCCCGTAACGCGTCCCGATAACATGTATGCTCGTATACCCCATATGCGTGTTGCTTTGCATATCGTGACCGGCGGCGCGGCGCATGTCTCCCTAGTGTTACCACGCAAGGCGGCTTCTCCCCCAAGTCGTCTCGGTTTACGGTAAGCAACGCTTCGGTAAGTAATTTGAGATGCGTGTCTTTAGAATAGTGTCTCAAAATGCACTCACTGCATGAGTCGGGATATGGGATTGGGACTTAGTTGTTTGCATTTCTTATATAATTTTTTACCCCCTCACCTTGCCCTCCCACCAGTACACGGAGGTCACCCCAGGCAGGATGTTGACGCATGCAGCCAGCCGCGACTCAACCAGCTGGGCAGCTAGGGTGCGACCCACCTGGGGGGCGGGAGGTGGGGGGCGGGGGCTGCGATTAGAGGTGGGAGCGCCCATGGTGCATGGTATGGTGCGTGTTTCCCCTACTCTTTCCCCCCCTCCCCCGTAGTTGCTGCACTTCCCGTTTATTAACTACCGCTCCCCCCTCCTCGCAGCGGCCCCCCATGCCGCGTTAGCACCCCCCCGCCGTGTATGTGTGTGTGTGTATGTGTGTGTAGTTGAGTAGGACAAGTTGTGTGTGTGTAAATAACTGGCCGCGAGGCGAAACGTGTGTGTGTGTTACCTCCGCATTGGGTACGGTCACATACACCACGATAGCATCCGTGGAGGGGGCGGGGGCGGGGGAGGCGCCACCACCCGCGGGGCCACCCGTGGTTTCGGTTGCAGCGTCGGAAGAAGACATGCCAGCAGCAGCACCAGCGGAGGCAGCAGCTGTGGCGGTGGTGGTACTGAAGGCCCGCGCGCCCCTGCGGCCTGCATAGCATACAAGTGCGAGGCAGTGGCAAGGAAGGGTAAAGACAAAAGGATGGTGGTAGGAGGCGAAGGGCGAGAGCGGGGGAGCGAGAGTGGAGGAGGGGAGCAGCGGGCGGGCGGGCGGGACATGTGCGGGTAGAGGCATGTGAGGGAAGGAGGGAGGAGGAGAACAGAGCGGAGGACAGGCACGGATAAAGTCGTTTTGGCGGCACGCTGAGATAACGCACAGCTGGCCACAACGATACCATTCCGGGGTGGAGGTGCGGAGCAACTGACGAGGCAAGGAAAGAGCCGTGTGACAAGGCTTCGCCATGCACAGGGAAAAAAGAAATTCCAATGTGTGGTGTGATAATGATACAAGTTGGAAGGGGGGAAGGGGGTCTCCTACAGCGTTCAAATCTGCAACCCTGGCACCCACTGACCCAACTGCGGTAACAGCGACTCTGCCCCGCTGCTGCTGCTGACCTGCTGCTGTCGTGGACCCCGGCTGTGCAGGAGAGGTGCAGCTGTAGCAGCAGGAGGAGGAGGAGGAGAAGGGGGTGGAGTACAAGGACGTGAGGGGAGAGACGGCGGCAGCGGACGAAACGTTGGGTTTCACACCCATGATTGTTGCTGCTGCCGCTGCTGCTGCTGCTGCTGCTGCTGATGATGATGATGATGATGGCAACAGCTTGAGCACTTGGCGGCGGCGGTAGCTGAGAGGGGTGCCGCATGCACGCACGCGGGGCTCAGCTGATAAGCGCATGCGGAAAGGCGGTTGGTGTGAGGGGCGTTGCTGGGGTGTTGCGGTTCTGGAGGAGGAGGAGGAGGAGGTTGTTACTCCAGCGGTGCAGCAGCGGTATGGTCGTATACCGGTAATCCAAGCGGCAGTGCAGGCGGCGGGAGCGGCAGTGGAGGCGGAGGAGGAGGGGGCGGAGGCGGCAGCGGCACGTCTGATGCCTAGGAGGGCTGCGGAGCGAGTCGCCATGGGCTGGGTCGGGCTGGGGGGGGGAGCAGGGGCAGGTGATGGGGTGGAAGAGCTTGGAGAAAGCGTGTGTAGTTGAGTAGGACAAGAGCAAGCAATTGGGAGCGTGTGTGTGTGTATGTGTTGGGGTGGGAGGAAGGGTCAGAGATTGAGCTCAAAAAGGATTGACTTCGCAAGAGAATAATGCAAGGAGGGGGTTTTAGGGAATGGGTCATGTGAGCTGGGGGACAGGGGAGGGGTGCATGAGGCGGATTTAGGTGGAGCGTAGGGGTGGGCGGAATGTGTGGGAGGAACGGGTGAGAGGATAAAGCAGGCTGCAGCGCTGCAGACGGGCGGTGGAGTTGATGACAGCGGGTGTTGGAGATGGAAGTAGTGCGGGAAGCATACTGATAATTTGCCAGCAAGGTATAAATAAAGCATGCGATCCCACACCCCAGCGAGGCACAGGGGAGAGGCATGTTGGCGAGGAGAATGACCAGGCCCCTCAATCGAACGTTTGCTCGCACGCTGGCAATCCATATCTTAGTACTTCGTAATACTCCGTACCTTCTGAGTTTGAGTTGTGCAGGTACCACGCGAAAGTCCCAAGCGCGAGGAACAGGAGGGCAAGGATGTGCGCAGAGCTGCGAGGGAGCGCCGCTTGCATATACTCGACAAAGATGGAACTCGCTGCAAGGTAAATAGTGTCGTGTGATACTGACTGTAGCTTGCGTGGCGATTTAGATGCTTGCGCTGCATTGGGACAGGACGCCAGTTTGGAGTCCTCAGACATTTTATCTGGCTCCCTGGAGTCTTCGGACAACCCTCCTAAAATGACTAGTTATCGCAATTGCAAATACACCGAGGAGTATGTTATAACGTTATATAATAGTATCAATTGTCCTCTGCCTTCAAATAGGTGTGGTCGACATACTTACCGCATGCACAATGTGCCCAAGCAAACCTAAACGCCGTGCCTTTGTTACGCGCTAGCTGTTGTGGAATAAGGAGCTAGGCATATGAGATTTGTTGCTTTAGTATGTTGGCAAGTCACTGCTGAGCCAGTCGTAACTGGTTGCGATGGTTAGTTGTAGGTGGCCGCGGAAGCACCTTCCGGCGCTCACAAGGCACCTATTAGGAAGTTATTATCAATAACTATTGTTCTGTAGTTTGCCTGGCTGGTGGCTGTGTCGTGCGGCGAAGTTGTGAGTTGACTCCAGGGACCCTAATAAAATGTCTGAGGAGTCCCGTACGGAGTCCATTGGGACATGTTGCATTGCCGTACAGGCCCATCGCGGGCCATGTTGCAGGAACATAGATGCTTGTGAGCTTTGAAGCTGATTGGCACTGCTTCTTTTTGTAGTATTGCGTTAACGTCCAAATGCTTAGTCGGCATCAACAGTAACTGCTTGCTGTGCTTTGCACCAAGGTTCATTATATATTAAAGTTACCTACATAAAGTTATCTCTGTGCGAGACGTCAAAGCCTCTACGCATAACTGTGTCTGCCAACTGCATTTGATGTTGCCATCGCCACAGTTAGCACCGCGAACCCGCCGCAACGGCGATTGAAACTGGGTATTGGCTTTTTATATAGTAGAAAGGGGCAAAGGAGGCTGCCGACTCTGCCCAGTTGGACACGATGTCACATCACGACTCCCAATGTCCTGCTGATGGCGACGCCATGGAAGCAAGCTTGCTGGCGCTGTCGCAGCTGCCCCCCGGCCTGGTGAACCTTGGCAACAGCTGCTATATGAACAGCGCGTTACAGGTGTGACGACGTTTTGCTATGTCGGATTCCTTTCCAATTAATCGCCCCGCAACCTATCTCACCCTACTCATGCACACCGTGCTATCTTTCCCTCAATCCCATACCCCTTCCCCCTCCGCGTCAGGCCCTCGCCTCCTCTCAGCGCTTCTGCGCTTACATCTCGGAACGAGCCCAAGCCGTACAGTACGGCATGGCACGGATCCAGGCAGCCGAAACAACCACCGCAACAGCAACAAGCATGCCGTATACATCTCATCACCAGCAGCAGCAGCAGCCGACAACCAGCTGCCACAAAGCCCCTCCACCTCGTGTGCCCAGGGGTGCTCCGGTATTGCGTCCTCACCAAGAAGGGTATCAGCGGGCGGAGGAGCAGGAGAAGCAGGAGGAGGAGGAGGAGGGGGTCTCACAGGAAGAGGACACAGCAGCAGCAGCAGTGGTAGCAAGGCCAAACGCAGTAGCGTACACAGCTGCTTCGCCGGCAGCTGCCTCGGCGGTAGCACCGGCAGCAGCAGCAGCGACTGCGGCTGTTGCAGCAGCGGCGGCGCATCAAGCAGCGGCGGTAGTGCTACAGCCACTAGTCAAGGCCCTCTGTCGTACATGGCTTTGGCTGAAAGGTAAGGTTTTGTAGTACCGTACTACGACAGTAAGGGCAGATAAACCCGGGGTAGACTAGTTGCCTGGTTCCTCACCCTTTCCTCCCTTTCCTCCCAACCGCGCCTCCAACCGTCTTACCCTCCACCTTCCCCTCCCGGTTGCGACTTCAGGTTGGGAGCCCCCTCCACCCGCGCATCCCCCTCCCCCCCCGCCCCCGCCCCACCTGCGGCTCTCCTCCTACACGCACGCAGCTCCCAGGCGCACCTCCCCCAACCAACATACCGGTAACCACCAACGGCCCAAGCAGCAGCAACAAACTGAGCTACAGCGTCTAGCCGCATGCCGGCTGCTGCTACAGCTGCATGCCGTACTGCAGGCGCTACAGCCGCGCTACAGCCCACAACAGCAGCAGCAGCAGTCGGGCAGGAACACTGGTAGCAACTGCGGACAAGGGCTTGCGACCACAGCTGGGGTGGGTACTACAGCTACAGCTACTGCTGCTGCGGCGGCGGCTGCGGCTGCGGTTAACCCCTGGCCTTTGCTTCGAGAATTGAGGGACCGATGGGGCGGTGTGTTGCAGCTGGGGGAGCAACACGACGCGTCGGAGGCGTTGGGGGTGAGTGGGGGAGCGGCGGGGTGATGGGATGACCCATGAGTCGGTAGACTTGGAGCCTGGATTCCTGGAGAGACCGGAGAGTATTGAAGTGTGGTGTATCCTGTTCAGTAAAGTTTAAGCCTGTTTCCCAGCCGTCTGGTCTTTCTCCCCGCTCCCTCCCCCTGTTACCTTCTCACCACACCCTCTCCTCCTTTCCCGCATTCCCCTCTTTTCTCCCTCGCAGTGTCTCTGCGACTCCCTGGATTCCGAGCTCGCCATGTGGCACCTCATGTACGGCAGGTGGATCCAAACACCGCCACTGCTACAGCCGCTGCTACAGCCACCGCCGCTGCCGGGGAAGCACCACTCATTGGCGTCAACGTTGGAGAGTGTACGGCAGGTCACTACGGCAGCAGATGCGGAGACGGTGGCGGAGGTGGAGGTGGAGGTGGAGGCGGCTTCCGAGGAGGAGGATGGGATGACGTCTGGGGCGGGGGTGTGTGGGCAATGCAACGGTGGCAGTGGTGGCAGCGGTGGCAGTCACCGCCTTGCGAGTGGCGAAGTCGGGGCCGGAGGCGGCGGTGGGACAGCAGGCGGCGGCTGTAGTAGCAGCAGCAGCAGCAGCAATGGCGGCAACAGCAACAGTAGCTATGTGATGGGCAGCAGCAGCGGGTGCAATGGCGCCAATGTGCCCCTTCCTCCTAATCCTGCCCCTGCTGCACCCCTGCTGCCGCCGCCCCCGCCGCCGCCGCCCCCCGCCAGCCCGCTGAGGGGCCTGATGCGCACCTGCTCCACCTGCTGTGCGTGCGGCAACAGGTGGGGAGGGAGGGGGGGGGAAGAGCGTTAGGGAGAGAGGAAAGCGAGAGGGGGTGGGTGCGTGGGGTAGCAGGCGGGCCTGGGGAGGACTGACCCATGGGTCGCCCACGACGACCCACGAATACAAAACACACACATCCGCGGTAAAGAGAACTCGTAACACACAAATGCAACAGCAACGCACTCCTCATCCCTCTCCTCCGTTCTCCTCATCCCTCTCCTCCTTTCTCCTCATCCCTCTCCTCCTTTCTCTTCCCCTCTCCCCGTGGTATATATTCTTCGACCCATGTGTGTGTTAAAATAACTGGCATACATGTGTGTGTGTATGCCGTACAGGTCCCCCACCCACGTGGAGCCCTTTTGGAGCCTGCAGCTGCCCCTGCCGCCCCCGGGAACAACCCCGCCCGCCCGCAACCTCACCTCCCACCCCTCCTCCACCACCTCCACACAACCCGCAACCGCCGCCCCCTCGCACCCATTGCACTTCTCCTCCCACACACTGCCACACCCGCTGCTGCTGGCACAGCAACGCCGTATGCACCCCCACCCCCCCCACCGCCACCCCCACACTCACCAGCAGCAGCTCACGCTGCGCGACTGCCTGGCGGGTGCGGTGGTGAGTGAGGAGGTGGTGGAGGGGGTGGTGTGTGCTCGGTGCAGCCTGGCAGTCGCACTGCGCAGGGCGGGGGTGGAGGTAGGGGCGGGAGGGGCGGGAGGGGCGCGAGGGGCGGGAGGGGCGGGGGTGGAGGTAGGGGCGGGAGGGGCGGGAAAGCGGTCAGGGGCGGGAGCGGCGTTCGGCCGTCAGAATGGGAAGAAGAAGGCAGACGTGTCGAGTCAGCATGTGGTGGATAAGAAGGAGGAGGAGGAGGAGGGAGGAGGAAGCGACAGAGTAGATCCGCTGCTGGGGCGGTTGGCGGCGCTGGTGGGCAGCTCCGCCCCGTTACCTGATCTGGACTTGGAGGAGGAGCTGGGTAGGCTGGCACGGGTGGGGCGGCGGGTGGGAGGGCGAGGAGGAGGGGAGCAGGCGGGTGCGGGGGTGGGAGATGGAAAGGGGGAGAAGGAGCCTGGCGAGGATGAGGATGGTGAGGAGGAGGTGGAAGAAGGGGAGGAGCGGCAGCAGCAGCAAGAGGGGAGGGGTGTTGTGCTTGTGCGTACTCGGGCGCTAAGGCAGACGGTGGTGGCTCGCGCGCCGCCGGTGTTGGTGCTGCAGCTGCAGAGGAGCGTGTGGGACCCGCGGGTCGGTGGGGTGGTCAAGGACGGACGTCATGTGGGCTTTCCGCTGGTGCTGGGGCGGGAGGAGGTACGGCTGCTGGGTGGGGGGGCAGCAGAGCAGGAGGAGGAAGAGGAGGAAGAAGAGGAGGAGGGATGTCGTACAGCGACCGTCGTACAGCAGCAGCAGAAGCCGCCGTACATTCTGGTAGCGGTTGTCGTACACTATGGCGGAGCGGATTCGGGGCACTACCTGGTGTACCGCAGGGTGCCAGCAGCGGTGATGCTGATGGCGGGTCCGACCCATGGGTCATCTGCAGGGTGCGGTTCGGGAGGTGCGCGTGCTGCGGGCAGCGGGCGGCTGCCCCCGCCATCTCCGACTCCTTATTGTCCTGCTTCGTCCTTCTCTCCGTACGGCAGCAGCGGTTGTTGGCTGCGGGTGTCCGACTCGTGCGTCACTGGGAGCAGCGAGGCGGAGGTGCTGGCGCAGGCGGCTGCCGTACTGGTGTACGAGCAGGCCCCCTGATGGGATGAGAGGAGGATGGTGAGGAGGAGGATCAGGGATGAGAGGAGGAGGCAGCGGCGGCGGCGGCGGTAGAGGAGGAGGAGGAGGAGGACCTGGGTATGGTTTGATGAGGGACGTTACAGCTCATAGGGGGGATCGCTACCTATATTTAATTGCAGAACCCGCGTGGCTTGCTTGCCGTACCGGTGTACGGCAGTGGCTGTGCAGCACGGAGAGGTGAAGCTGTGGTTCTTTTTCTTGCGGGACGGCGGTGTTTCCTCCTCCTCCTCCTTGTGTGTAACACCACTCGCGCCATCGGCTCCACACGTGCATACGCAAATATACACAAGTAGCTTGGTTACTATTATACAGAAGTACATCGCCTGTACATGAATAACCTATACATGTAAAGCCCTACACACATATAATGTTACATGACAGGGTGTGGGGCACACCACCGCTGCTGTGACGAGTTTCTCCCCCATACGTACTTCGGTGACCCAGCCTCCCAGCTCGCTAAGGCTCTAGCCGCACTCCCCTTCCCCGCCACCTACCGGCAACTCCCAACCGCTAACTCCCAACGGACCTGCAGCCCTACTCCTGTTGTAGTCTCCCCCCCCCCCACCTCGCACCACCAACCTGGGACCAGAAATACACACACACGACACCATCTTTCGGCAATCACAGTACGTTTCGCCTCGCGGCCGATTATATTAACCCACCACAAACGACAAGCCTTCTCTTTCTTCCCTACATACCCCTAACCCCATTGTGTGCGCTAGTCCGTGGTTTCCTCTGGTTTGGCCATCATCCCCGACCTCCTCCCCTACATCTCTACGTCTCTACATCTCTCCCCCTACAGCAGCCACAGCCAGCCCAGGTACGCCCCCGCGTTGAGACCCAGCAGCATGCTGAGCACCAGCAGCTGCTCGACCACCTCGGCAGCAGCGGGGTGGGGGGAGTGGGAGGAGCAGGGGTGGGGGTGGTGGGAGGAGTGGGAGGAGGAGCAGGGGTGGGGGTGGTGGGAGGAGGGGGGATAGGAGCAGGGGTGGGGGTGGTGGGAGGAGGGGGGATAGGAGCAGGGGTGGGGGTGGTGGGAGTAGGGGGAGGAGGAGCAGGGGTGGGGGTGGTGGGAGTAGGGGGAGGAGGAGCAGGGGTGGGGGTGCGGAGGTGCAGCGGGTTTGGGGAGGAGCGGGTCCTTCGTGGACTGCAGGGCGGCATCCGCCTCTTCCTCCTCCTTCTGCTCCTCTTCGTCCTCCTCCTCCTCTTCCTGCAGTAGCTCAGCAGGAGCGTTGGCGTTGCGGCGAGGGTGCATGGCGCTTCTTTTGCTGCCACCACCATTGCTGCTGGTGGTGGTGGTGGTGGTGGTGGTGGTGGTGGAGGTGGTGGTTGCAACGGCGGTGGCTGGCCCCAGAGTGAGGGCTTGGGTGGTCAGGAAACTGCAGCAGAGACATGGCAGCAGCAGGGGCAGCCGGGGCAAGGAGGGAGGGAGGGAAGGGGCACCATGCAGCAGACGAAGAAAGAGGTTACGGAAGGACATACAAGTGAGCGACGATCGAACACGACATCATAACCCCATGAACACCCTCACCCCGTCACCCCACCCTCACCCCGTCACCCCACCCTCACCCCATCCCTCACCCATTACTGACGCCCAGTGCCACCGTCAGCGCCGCCATCACCCCCGCCCCCCCGCCGCCCCTCGCAGCCGCCAGGAAGGCGGGCAGCGCCAGGACGCCCCGCAGCGCGGCAGCTGCCAGCAGACCCATGGGTCGCCGCAACGGCCGCAGCAACACCTCCCACTCCACCACTACCATACTTCTCAAGGGCCAGCGCCGCGGCTGCAGCAACCTCTCTCCCTGCTGCTGCTGCTCCTTCTCTCGCAGCCTCCCATCGTCGAGAGCGGGTGCGGGTGCGAGTGTGGGTGGGGGTGCGAGGGGGGGCAGGCTCTTCCCCAGCAGGTCCGCTGCGTTGAATGCGGAGAGCAGCAGCAGCGGGTACCAGTCACCCAGCTGGGGGCTCTGAAGGGGGGGGGGGGAAAGAGGGGAGGGGTGCATGGGAGGGAGTGTATGGAGGGAAGAGGGCATGGGACGTGGGGGGGGGGGTCAAGGACCATACGAAACCGTAGGAAGCCACACCCCCACCCCCCACACCTTCCATTGTCTGTCCCACTCGTCCCTCTCCTCGTCCTCCCTTGTATCATTATCACACCACACTTTGGAATTTCATTTTTTTTCCCCTGCCCTACCTTGACATCCTCCGCCAGCACCCCGGGGAAGATGGCCAGGGTGACGGAGTAGGTCAGCCCCAGGCAGCCGCACGCAGGCCAGCACCGCCGCAGACAGGCCAGGACGGGGGACGTGGGGCTGCCACTGGTGCTGCCATTGGTGCTGCCAGCGTGTACTTCTGCAGCGGGAGGGTGGTAGCACTGTGGGGAGGGGCCGGACCCGCCCACTGACCCATGGGTCGTGGAGAGCGGCTTCTGCAACACCTCCCTGCTGGGTATGAGCTCCACTTTTAACAAACCAGGTGATTGCGGCTGCGGCTGCTGATGTTGTTGATGCTGCTGCTGCGGTGACAGCAGCGGAGGGAGCAGCAGCGGCTGCTGCTCTGCACGACTGCGGAGGTGTGGATGATCCACATCATCGTCATTACCATCGTCGTCGTGACCCGCGACTTCTTCCGCCGTACTACAGTCACATTTCGGGCCTCCACCACCATCCTTCTTGTTAGTTGCATCCGGTTCTTGTTGTTGTTCTAGCTCTCCAGTACCTTCATCAGTACGACAAGAGCCCAGCTGCTGCTGCTGCTGCATTAGTAGCCCCTGGTGGTGGTCGCAGCTGGCCAGCAGGCGAGGCAGCAGGTGGTCGTACACCAGCAGGCAGCTCAGGGACAGCAGACCTGGGAGGGGAGGGAAGGGAGGGAGGAGGTGGGGGAGGAGCGGGGGAGGAGAAGAATACCCAATGTGCTGGTTATGGAAGAGAAGGGGAAGGATTTGTGGGCACTGGCAGGAGGAATCCTCCACGTGGCTGCATCCACGTAGACCCCGCAGGTTGGTTCATAGCACAGAGCAAATCGCAGCTAAGCACCCTTCGCCGCTCCTTACTCTCCTCCATTGCATCAGATGCCCCTTTCGCAACCATTCCTCCACCCCCCCATGAACCTCACCCCTCATCCCTCACCCCACCTGCCAGCCCAAAGTACAGCCGTGTAGCGTTTCGCAGCCCCGCCAAGTCATACCCCTCGTCTGCAGCCCCTGCCCCTCCCCCTCCTCCATCGCTCCACGCCGCCTTGCATCCCAGCCTCAGTAGGCACACAAGTACCCCCGAGCTGGCGGTGCCGCTCACCAGGGCCTGGGAGGGGCAGTGGGGGAGGGGATGGAGCAGGTGGGGAGAGGGGTGGAGCGGGGGTGGGGTGGTGGTGGTGCAGCCCTCGACCGCATGACTGATGGGTGCTGGATGTTGGGTGGGTGGCGCTATTTATCCCATGCAGCTACCCTCAACCCCCCCTCCACATTGAGTGATACACACACATCCCTCCCCACCCCCCACCTGGGTAATACTCTTTCCCCCACCTGCATGCAACCCTGCGGCAGCTGCGCCACCAGTCCGAACAGCGCCCCCTGGCTCAGCCCGTCACACAGTCCCACCCCCACCACCGCACCACACACCGCCAGCAGCCCCCACAGCGGGGCGGCAGGGGGGGGCGGGGGGGAGGGGGATGAGAGGGAGGGGGAGGGGGTGGAAGCGGCGAGGATGCTGCTGGGGTGGTGGAGGTGGGTGCTGGTGATGGCGGTGGTGGCGGTGAGAGTGGTGTTGGTGTTGGCGCTGTGGGGGGTGCGGGGGGCCATCAGGACCGCATCTAGCTGGCGAGGGAGGAGGAGGAGGGGGTGGAAAGGAGGGAGGAGGTGGGTTTACTTGGGAATGGAAGAGAGGAGGGTATTTTCAACTATCCTTCCCCCCCCCACATATACACCCTACCGCTTGTGGTTTGGTATGGTCTACTACCCACCCCCCTCCTCCGCCCCTCCTCCGCCCCTACCAGCGGCACCGCAGCCATGGCCAGTGCGAAGCCCGCGTAGCCACCCCGGATGCGGGCAGCGGGGGACAGCAGATGCGGGTAGCTGCAGGGGGGGGAGAGGAAGGGAGGTCAGGGGCCCCGCCCAACCCGTTGCCGTACACCCTCCCCCAACCCGTCCAACCCGTTGCCGTACACCCTCCCCCAACCCGCCCAACCCATTGCCGTACACCCTCCCCCAACCCACCCAACCAGGTGTCGTACGTACCGTATTCCCAGTCCCACCATGGCCGCACACACGGGCAGGTAGCACACGGTGAACAGCCGGTCCGTGTGATAACCCTGGGGGGGGGGAGGAGACGGGGGTGAAGTAGAGTGGGGGTGTTGGGAGGGGGGAGGGAGGGGAGGGGGAAGAAGAGGTGCCCTTCCTTCCTCTCTTTACACACAGCCGGATTCTGTCAACCCTATACACATCGACACAACATATACTCTCAGCTCAGCTCAGCTCAGCTCATATACTCTCAGCTCAGTTTATCACAAGTTCACAAACCGATACACTCATCATCCGTTCATGCCCTGCCGCTACCGGCCCCTCCCCCTCCCATGACGCTGTGCCTTATCACACGGTCAGTTAGTCGTTTCCACTTTTTTGTTTTCGGCCCCCCTCCTCCCTCCCGCGCCTCCTCAGCCACTCACAGGGTAGAGGGCCTGGAAGTAGTCGGTTGCTGTGAGCAGAGCGTTCCAGCAGCTTAGAAGCCCCGCCCCCAGCAGGAAGAAACACCAGCGGGCGGAACGCAGGGAGGAGGAGGAGGAGGAGGAGGAGGTGGAGGTGCGGGGCTTGGGGAAGGAGGAGGGCGAGGTGGTGTGATGATGATGATGATGAGGGGCGTCGAGGGAGGAGGCAGGAGCTGTTGCGGCAGGGGTGTTGTTGAGGATGGTGATGGCGGTTGATCCAGCTGGTTCGAACTGGGGTGGAGGTGATGGTGGGTTGTAGTTGTTTGGAATGGGATGAGGAAGGGAAAAGGAAGGAAGGAGCAGAGGCGGGTGGTCAATGTGTGAACGCGCTGGCGTTGGCATGAAGACTGTTGGTTGGATGTGGATGGACTTTGTCTGTGTGTCTGTAGAGGAATATGTACATACCTCATCAGATTCGTGCACGCGTACGTAACGCGCTTGCGAAGTTGGGTGCTCCATTTGTCGTCGTGGCAAGCAAGCAACCTACCCACACAAACTTTAAGCAACTAGGATGCGCCTAAGCAAGTAAGCATTGTAGGAGAACCATTTTTATGTTGCAAGTGATGTACGTCAACAGTATTTGGCAGCGCCTGGAGGTGAAATGAAGGCCCTAACGACTGTGAAGCCTGTATCTAGTGCGCTTGTACGCGCCTACGTAGAACCATCCTTCCCGCTGAATAAACTAGTGACAATTTCCGTATATATAATTTCTTTTAGCGCCAAGAGTAGCGAACTTAGCGATGTCGCGTACCAGCATACGGCAGCTTAGTCAGAGTGCCGGATCTTGAATCCATAACCTGGCAATTCCAGCAATTTCAGCTCTCGATTGCGACAGCTTCAGCTATGTTGTACCACTACCAGTGGGATTGATGGGAGACGCCTCAGGTTTGGTTTGGTTTGGGTTTGCTTAGAATGCGAAAGTTACAAGGGGGACCGAAGCTCCTGACGCTTAGACGACTTGCTGACAACGATCTCTCCCCACTGCGTGCCCCTGTGGACCCTTCGGCAAACCGTCCTAAGAGCGCATATCCGGTGCACGTTGGAAAGAAAACTCTTATATGCCATGTCGTTTGTATCATTTAGCAAATGGATTGAGTTTTTGAGCTGGTAGCGGGTTCCTTGGGGGATGGGTGAGCAGGGTGCTTCTGAGGTGGGATTGAGGGAAGATAGTTTTAGGCGGGGCTCTGTATCGGCTGCAGGATACCGGCAGAGAGAGTTATGGTCTTGGCGCTGCGTTTGACGCGGGTGACTGAGGTAGGCGGCGGGTCGACGGGTGCAGTTTGTCGTACACCATCATGCAAGTAAAGTAATCCAAACGTTATCATGAGCGCTATCTTGCATTACATTGCTTACCAATACAAAGAGAATCCAGACTTCTTGATGCTTTTATAGTCTTTGATTTTCTGGCGTTCGGCCAACGGTAGCTAAACATGCTGAACCAGCTATCACCTCGCCGCGCGGCTCTTCAGGGCCGCGCATTTCAACCAGCTAACACTCGCCGGTGTAGACCGATTGCTCCCTTGCGCTCTGTGGCAGTTGAGGCTCCTGCGACTCAAGCATCAGCTGTCGAGGCGCCCAGCTTTCGTGCACACCTGGACTTTAAGTTCATAAAGGAAAATGTTGACATGATTGCAATAAATTGCAAGAATCGTTTAAGCAACGCGGACCCATATAAAGTCGTTGCGCTATACGATGAATTTGTGGCGCTTAAGTCACAGGCGGACAGCCTGCGCGCGGAACGTAACGAGAACAGCAACGCGATGAAGGTATGACAAGGAATGGATCAGGCCGCTCTCCTCAACTTTATTTTCCTTAAGGGCTCCCTGGGCATGGGAATGCCACATCTCTCTACCGGGCTTGACTTGCCTGCCTGCCCTGCCCCGCCGTGCTGTCATACATTCGCCCGCCCTCCTCTCCTCCCCTCTGTCTGCCCCTCCCTGCCCCCAGGCCAAGTTGGACCCCGAGCGGCGTGCGGCGCTCATCTCGCGGGGCCAGGCGCTGAAGGAGCAGCTGGCGGAGGTGGAGGGGCGGCTGGCGGGGGTGAGAGGCTGGGGGGAGGGAGGGAGGGGGTGAGGGGCGGGGTGCTGCTGCCCACCGCATACTCCAATGCATGATTCCCTTTCCCCCTTCCCCCCCATTGCTAAGTCTCCGAGTTGCGTGATATTATTATAGTGCCTCCGAAGGTTCTCATTGCATGAGTCGGATTTGGGATTGGGACTCCGTTGCTGCACTTATACTTTTCCCCGCCCCCCCCCAGGTTGAGTCCTCCCTGCAGCGCGAGGGGCAGCGGCTGCCCAATCTGACCCACCCGGACGTGCCGCTGGGGGGGGAGGGGGAGGCGGTGGTGGTGCGGGAGGTGAGGGGGGTGCGGGGGGGAGTAGCCCCCCCCCGGGGGGGGCGGCGGGGGCGCCCGAGGGGACGAAGGGGCGGAGGCACCGCGCGTGTGGGTAACGAGGAAACAACGGGGGGGGGGAAACTACCGGTAACTGATTGGCGTGTGATTTTGGCGTCATTATGGGTTGCGACACGTGAGCCAGTCCGACCCGCATGTGTGGGTGGTGGGGACTGTGTCTCCTGAAAACGGCTGTGTCTGTTGTGTGTGCAGGCTGCAGAGCCTGCCAGCGGCTCCCTTCCTCCCTCCCTCCCTCTCCAGTACATGCTTCCTGCTGCCCTGATCCCCTTCCCTGACCCCTCTCCTCCCCTTTCCCTCCTCTCTGCTCCGCCTATTCCTCTCCCCCCCTCCCCCTCTTCCGTGTCAGGTTGGCTCCCCCCGTGTGTTTTCCTTCCCCCCTCGCGACCACGTGGCTCTGGCAGAGGGGCTCGATATGGTGGACTTCGAGGCGGCAGCGGAGGTGGGGGAAGCAGGGGCGGGGGGGAGGCGGGGTTGGGTTGGAAGGGTAAAAGTAAGGAAACTGATGAGGTGGCGAGGGCGGAGTCGGCCGTCCCTAGCAAGCGGGCTGGGGGGATTGAGCTGGGTGGTTGTCTGCTGCCGCTGCTCCTGCTGTCGTCGTCTGGATGAACGCACGTGCCCTTCTCTCCCCCTGAAACCAAACACAAACCCAAACCCCAACACCCACACCTCCCGAACCCCCAACCCCCCCCCCCAAGGTCACGGGTCAGAAGTTCTACTACCTGCGCAATGCGGGTGCGCTGCTGGAGATGGCGCTGGTGAACTGGGCGATGAACAAGGTGGGGAGCAGGAGGGGGGGAGGGGGACAGGAGGGGGGGTGGGGTAAAAAATTATATAAAAGTGAAACAACGAATCCCAATCCCATATCCCGACTTATGCAGTGAGCAGGGGTGGGGTGGGGAGCAGGAGGGGGGCTGCAGAGGGCGTCTCGCGACCATTACCCCAGCGCGACCCACCCAACCCCCCAGCACGACTGACACCATGCATGTGCATTCACACAGGCCCCTGCCTCCCCCCTGCCTCCCCCCTCCCGCCCCCTCCCGCCCCCTCCCGCCCCCTCCCGCCCCCTGCCTCCCCCTCCCGCCTCCTCCCGCCCCCTCCCCGCCCCCAGGTCGTGTCCCGCGGCTTCACGCCCCTCATGACCCCCGACCTGGTGAAGGCCAGTGTGCTGGAGAAGTGCGGGTTTCAACCCCGGGGGGCGGGCACGCAGGTGTGGAGAAGGGGTTGAGGGTTGGGGATGAGGGTTGGGGGCCAGCCGCCGCCTGACTCCATGCGAGGGGGAGAGGCGCCCCGCCTCCCCCACAGCGCTGATCCCCCTCCTGCCTCCCCTCCCTCCCCATCCCCCCCCCCTCGCAGGTCTACTCCATCTCCGACTCGCCCCTCTGCCTGACGGGCACTGCCGAGGTGCCGCTGGCGGGGCTCTACATGGAGCGGGTGCTGACCCAGCAGCAGCTGCCGCTGCGGCTGGCGGCGTTCGGGCACTGCTTCAGGACGGAGGCGGGGGCGGCGGGTGAGGGGAAGGGGAGGGTGCAAGAGAATCAAACCCGTTTGTTCCTCTCCTCATGCAATGCATGTGTCATCTTCTCTACCCCCCACCCACCCACCCCCTTTCCTCACCCGCCCCTCGCCCCCCCCCTGCTGCCCTCCCCCCCACCCAAAAGGCCTGGCCGGCAAGGGTCTGTTCCGTGTGCATCAGTTCAGCAAGGTGGAGATGTTCGTGCTGTGTGAGCCCGGGGAGTCGGAGGCGACACATGCGGAGCTAGCGGCGCTGGAGGAGGAGATGTACGGCGAGCTGGGGCTGCACTTCAAGGTGGGGGGATTACGGGTTCCCCCAATCGCTCACTACATGTTGTGATGGACTCAAATGCTTCATTTCTCTTATGTAATTCCCCCTCCACCCCTCTTATCATTGGGTCTACTTAACCCCGATACCCCCCTCCAAACCCCTCATCCCCTGGCCCACCCCCTGCAGGTGCTTGACATGCCCAGCGGCGACCTGGGTGCGCCCGCCTTCCGCAAGTACGACGTGGAGGCGTGGATGCCGGGGCTAGGGCGGTACGGCGAGATCTCCTCCGCCTCCAACTGTACGGACTACCAGGCGAGGCGACTCAACATACGATACAGGTGGGGGCGGGGGTGGGGAGGGGGGGGAGGGTAGATGGAGGGGATTAGGATGGCTGGGCAGCGGGAAATGCTGGGTGGGGAGGTGTAGCAAGGCTACCATTTGTAAGAGAGAGTCCCAAAGGGAAGTCTCCCGACATTTCGAGAGGCCATTTTGTCCTACTCCTTTCCCTTTTTTCTTTCTCTCCCGCAGGCCCGATGCCTCCGCCTCCGCCTCCTCCTCCCCCACAAGCAGCGGGGATGCCGCCGAGCCACAACCCCAGCAGCACACAGCCGGACACAAGGACAAGAAGAAGGGCAGCGGCAGCGGCGGTAGCAGCAAGCCTGAGTTCGTACACACCCTGAACGCCACCGCATGTGCCGTACCCCGCATGATTGTTGCCATTCTAGAGACGCACCAACAAGAGGACGGGAGTGTGGTGGTGCCGCCGCCGCTGCGGCCGTACATGGGGGGCTTGGAGGTGATAAGGCCCCCGGGGCAGCAGCGGCAGCAGCAGCAGCAGCCGGCTCGGGGGTGAGATAAGGGCCCTTACGGTGCAGCAGCAGCAACCGGCTAGCAGGGGATTGTGATAAGAGAGTTGGGGCGTGTGCGTGTTGAGAGAGCTGGCGGCGAGTAGGAAAGGAACGTACTGGGCGTGTGTGGGTGTGTGGGGGTGTGTTTTAGGAGAATGGGCAGGTGGGATATCGGTGTGCAGTGGAAAGCAAACGATTGTTATGTGAAGGGGCATGGACGGGAAAATGGGAATCGGGTTCATGGGAAGGATGCAGCTTGGGTTGTTGGTTGGTTGCTAGCGGGGAAGGCGGTTAGCAGTTGGCGGTTGGTTGGTAAAGATGGGCGGCTGTGAGCGAAGAGAATCTGCGGCGCTTTGGAGGGTTCGTTGGACTTGTTTGTTTTCCTTGTTGACTTGGAATGAAGCGCTGGTCATTGAGGGCGAGGTGAAGGCGGCGAAGAGACATGGACACGGCGGTCATGCCCGGCCTTCTGTTGTCTCCTTTATCGCCGTAATAAGATGAGGGTTAGGAGGAGAGGGCTTGAGGATGAAGTTGGCACGACGTGCTTTCCTTGGAGGTTACCAGCAGTACCGCTGCTGCTACTTGGGTAAATAGTAAATGCTCCAGTGGTTGTGCGCAGAGGTGCTGAGGTGGAGAAAGATGTATTGCAACAGGGGCCACTCCTGCAGGAATAGGTGTTGTGGGTGTTCACGTATCCGCGCATTGTAGATGATACATTGATATCTTGTAAACTGAAAGACGATGCGAATACTTCAACCTGCCACTAGCTGCCACGACGGCATGAAGCTTGATATGCAGGGTGCGCAGATGTGTTTGGCGCACCAGATCCAAACCTTGGTTGGTTGGTGGGCGTTAGCGGTGGGTGGAATGTGTAGCTCGAGTATGGCGTTGAAATGAGGAGATGGGAGCATGATGGTTGTTGCTGCAGGTAGGTGTGGGTGCAGGTGTGCACAGATGGGTAGAGTGCGGGCGCTGGCAGGCACGTGGGCGGTTGGTGTCAACTTAAATTACGTGCGCTACCATCCGTTAAGGCCGCAAATATGCTAGCAGCGAAATGCGTTAAGCTAATAATTAAAGGCTTACCAGGCAACACACGTTTGTTTACAGAGGCCTAAACATCGGTCAACGGCGAGGCACATGGTCTTCTCAAAAACGCCGTTACCGCTGGATAGGCCGTGCATAACCTCTGTCCTTACTGTACATATCATCAAATTGATGCCGGACATCACTCCGCGTAGAACTTCCCTCCACTCTGCCTGGACCCCAGCCAACGCTGCGCATGCATGCCCGACCAGCTGGTCACAGGCAAAGCCTGCTACAAGCACGCTCGCCAGCGTACTTGCGCCCAAATTGCATCCCTATGCAACGCGTCCCCTCTCCGCTCCAAAACTAGAAGACTGCAAGCCCATCCCGATCTCCAAGCCCATTGCTTAATCGCGCTTGACGGAGTCGAACTTGGACACAGCGGTAATAGCAATAGCAATAGCGCCCAGCACGGCTCCACCGGCGACCAGCGAGTACAGGAAGTTGCGGAGCGAGGGGGTGACTGCGGCCTCAGCCATGGGAGACACGGTCATAGCCGCGGCAGAGGCAGCGGTCAGGCCAGCAACCAGCGCCTTCTTGTTGATCTGGGGCCGCTCAGCGCTGCAGAAAATATAATTTTTTAGTTAGCGGTTGCGTTTTGATAAGTATGCAAGCTGCGGACATATAGCGCACATCGACGACCTTACCTAGCGCGGACGACCATGCGAGCAGCAGGGCGAGCAACCGCTGTATATACATAAAACCAAGCTTGATTAGTATGGGCTAAGGCGGGGCGGGCTGATGGGCGCCAGTGTTACAAGTAAATGGCTTACCCACGCGGCGAGTGGCCGCCGGGCGGACTGCCACAGCCTTCTGGGAGACGCAAACAGCGGCCATTTTGCTCGCTAAAAGTAACAAATGGAGCGAGGTGTTGGTGGCAGAGCGTGTGGGGTGCTGTCGCAAGGGACGGGCCAAAATGATAAGAGCCCGGAGATCTCACTATAAGGCCCCATTCCGTACAGAGTCTCCAAACCGATTTCAAGCTTGCGCTTTCACTGGCATGGTATAAAGTTAGGTTGCAGCTTGTCATATTGCTGATGGAACATACGCTGCTGGTCTTCCTACTATACCTGCAGTCATTTAGGCATTGACCCTGGAAACATACCTTGGAACGCTCAGTTGCACCCTTATTTTCATGCCTTCGCTTCAGTGGCTTCAGGGTGCAGATGTCTTTGCCTTCTGGTGGCCCCTACTAGGTCTGCACGTTTCGCCGATGCCCTTGCTTGCCTCGCTCACAACAATAGCTGCAATACACCGCTCTACAGGCACCCCCTGCAACCCTTTGCAGGCACCCCTTTGTTAGGCTTGCACACTATTAAGAAAGCTAACATCATGCGGTCCATGCCTCGTGCATGCCATGTCGTGCGTTCCTTCTGTTGCCGGCGGTTCCACAAGTTACATGTCATAGGTGGATGCAACAGATGCGTACCCTTGTACCAGACTGTGTAGCGCCCTCGACCGGACACCCGCTCGAAGGTCATGCTCAACATTATGGAGCACAAACGTACTTGACCAAGATGCCCTGTTGTTATAGCTGCACCGGTGTAGCCGGGCTTTCTGCTTACTCTGCCCAGGCGCCCCCGGACGTCCAGCCGCACAGTCCTGGGTTAGCCTGCAGACGTACGCACCAAGCACCCCCAGCGACTACCCTCTTCCTACAGAGCTTCCCGTTGCCGGAGACCACCCCCGGGAGAGTACCATTCAAGCACCAACTGCATCACATTCCCCTCTGTGGCCCACACGCACCCCGTCTGCCAGCCTCACATTTGGGTCAGGGCCTGCCATTCCTCGACGCGCTTTGGCCAAGGTACACGCACGAAAAACCACTGCATCGACTCAACACGCACACACGCGGCCACAGTACGTTCCAACACACGGCCAGCTTCCTGAACACACACCCGATCCCAACTGCTTGCTCTTGTTATACTCAACTACACACCCTCTCGCGCGCCCCTCTCGACTCTCTGCTCCGCATCCTGTTTTTATCTCCACATCCCCTCACAATACCCCCACTACCCCCATGCGCACATCACCGCCCCCCTCTTACGCCCGGTTCCCAGTGGGCCCCGTATACCTCCCGCTCTGCGTCACCGTGCCGTTCGCCGACGCCACCGTCCACCCGATGCCGCCCACCGCCAGCACCGCCGCGGGCGTCACCAGCGGCGCCAGCGCGCCCCCACCTGCGGGCAGCGGCGGGCGGCAGGCGTGCAGCAGCGCCAGTGCCGCGGTGAAGAGGTTGAGCGCGTTGGCCTGGTGCGCGGAGCCCAGCGGCACCGGCACGTACTGCAGCAGCGTGTAAACACCCAGGGCGAACTGGGGGGCGGGGGCGGGGGAGGGGGGGAGACAGAAGGATACCCAATGGTGGGAAGGGGAAGCGGGAGGGGTTAGGAGGAGACCAAAGCAAAGGGATCCACAGAGTTACGGCAAGGCAATGGGGATAGGAGGCGGAGCTCCCCTGCATCGCAACCCCGGCCACCCGATGCCCGGCCCCATGCACAGCCCAGCGTGCGGTGTGCCCCCCCCCCCAAAGGCCCTCGAGAAGCCTCGTCATCCAGTTCGTCAGTTCTCCTTAGTTTTACCCCCCATAGGCCCTCTCTCTTTCATTTCACCCCCCAGACCCTCAGCCGCCCCATCCAACCACAACCCTCTAGTCGTCACGCACCACCACACAGCCCCAATGCCTCCTGAACCCCATCCGCGGCCCTCCCCTTCTCCTCCTTCCCCGCGCCCCCCCCTGCTCCCCCCACCTGCGCCGCCGTCACTCCCGCCAGCGCATGCAGGCAGGTGGTGGCGCGCCCCGGCAGCACTCCCCCCCGGTATCGCAGCCAGGAGGCGCCCACCGCCAACAGCGTCAGCGTGGCCAGAGTGCTGCGGGGTGGGGGTGGGGGTGGGGGTGGGGGAGGGTCAGAGATCTTACCAGAACCACAGGTTAGGCCAAGGCAACTAGGATATAGGAAGCAGTGGAGGGGGGTGCGGGCAGGCAAGAGGGTACCGGTAGCAGTAGATGCAGCGAGGTTGTGTTGTGGTGGGATCCAAACGAACAAGGTGTGCAGGGGTGTGTGCTGTGGTGACGATCAGGCCGTTCAGGCCGTTTCGCCTCGCGGCCAGTTATTTTAACACACACACACACCGGTACAAGGTTCATTTTGTCTCTAACTCTGTCCCCCTTTCCTCGCTCTGGTTCATGCTTCTGCGCATGGCATTACTCGCATTACTGCGGCTGCTGGTCCTGGTGCTGACTACGGCGTCTTTGCTCGCAGGTACGCAATGCGCGTTTGCACGCATGCATGCACAGCATTGTGGTGTCTCGTCTGCGTGACCAGAGCGGGGGCTCCCGGCGTCGAGTTGGTCAGCCAGCTAGGTTGTCAGTAGTCATTAGTTTTTCCGACACCATCAGCATCACCGACATGCGTCGTCAACCCACTGCTCTTCTTACATCTAGCACCAGCTTAGCAGTTAATTAGCTATATAGTTCAGGTTTGTTTTTTCCACTGTTTTTCCTCTGTTTGCTTGTACTTGCGGTGCACATGCGAACCTATCCCAACTGCCTACACTTGTTTCCGCTCAACTACACACACCGGTACAAGGCCAGTTATTTTAACACACCGGTACAAGGGATCCACACGCGGCGTACAGGTACCGTATGTGTCACCTTGGCGGCTGCCTCCTGGCTGCCTCCCCTGTCTCCCTCCTTTTCTCCTACTTACTTCCCCTCCCCTCCCTCCGCTCACTGAGTCGGGATTCGGGATTGGTACTCCGTTAATGCACTTATCTATAACTTCCCCCCCCCTCCCTCCCAGCCCTCCCACCCCCCCCCACCCCTACCGGTGGTTGAACTGCACGGCTGCTGTGTTCTCAAACATGTTGCGCAGCGGGGTCAGCCCCAGCCGCTCGTCCCAGTACTCCTCGGGGAAGAACTCATCGCCCATGAGCGGCCAGGTGTTGTAGGCGCGACCCGCGTCCATGCCTGGGGGGCAGGGAGGGGGGCCAGGGAGGGGGCGGGTGGGTAAAGTGAGCCGGGAGGAAACACTGACCCTGACAAGAGTGGCAGGGGGCAGGGGCCGGGGTTGGAGGCGGGGTAAAGAGGAACGAGGGAGGGAGACAGGGAAGGGAGGGACCGAGGGGAGGGGAGAAGGGTCCAGGAGAAAACACACCACGGGTTGGGGTATGGGGCAAGAGGTTCCTAGCCGAAATGGTTCCTACTGGCCCCCTATCGCAGCTCAGCTCATCTAATCCCCCCCTTCAACCCCCTTCCTGTAGTTCTGGCACATCTCACAAACAGCCTCAAACTCCCTCAATCCCCCCTCCCCCCCTCACCAGCCACGAACGCCCCCGATGTGGCGGTCACCGCGATGAGGGCGGCCAGCGGCAGCAGCACCCGCCGGGCACCCGCGGTGGAGCGCAGCAGCGACTCGGGGGCTCCGGAGGTGGCGGGACGGGGGTACAGCAGGTCTGCGTGTGGGGGGGGGGGATAAATGAAGAGTGCAGCAACAGGGGAGGAGGGGGAGAGGGCGGGAGGGGATGAAGGAAGGACAAGAGCCAAGGTCACAGTGGCCAATACACATGGGGTGGATGTATACGCAGAGCCCGCGCCCGCAGCCTCCCTATACCGGCTCTTCCACACTTCCAACACATCCCGTACAGCCCCCCCCCCCCCCGCCAGCCCCCCCTGAACCCACCCAGCGACGTCCACACCAGGGTGGCGTAGATGGCGAATGCGGACACCAGGTGAGCGGCCAGGCGGTAGGGCGACACGCGGGGGGCGGCCCACTCGTGCTCGGGCTCCTTTGGGGGGGAGGGAGGGAGGGAGGTGGTGATAGGACAGCGGTGGCACAGCGGCGGCAGCAGCAGCGCCACACCTCCAGGCGGGAGCTGTGTTCCCCCCCCCAGCAGGCCCCTCCGGCTCCCCCTCCCCGCCCCGCCCCTCCACACCCCTTCATGCCGCCACAGCCCACTGTGCTACCGCTACCGCCAGTAGCCCCCCTCCGCCACACCAGCCCTGCCACCCCCATGCCCTCAACGACCTCCTGCCCCTCCCCCCACTCCCCCCCTCTTCCCCCCTCCCCGCCCCTCACCTCCAGCCCGCTTCGCACCATCCACCAGCCCACCAGCCCCTGCGTGCCCCCCATGAAGAACAGCAGCCCCAGCCGGCGGGCCAGCGGGCGGCCCACCCAGCCGCGAGCTGCGAAGAAGGCGGCGGGCAGGGCGAAGGCGAGACCCAGGAAGCGACCCCACATGCTGTGAGGAGGGGAGGGAAGGGCAGAGATGGGGCGCGGTGGTGAGGAGAGGGTTCGATGGAGGGGACGAGTGGCTTGCGGAAGGGAGGGCTGCAGCTCCCGTGTGTGTGCCGCCGCCGCCTCCTCTTCATCCTCACACGTGTCTCTCATGCACCTTCCCGCCTGCTCCTCCACCAACGCCCTGCTGCCCCCTCCCACCACCCGTGCGTGCAAAACACCCCTCTCCTCTTCCCCCTGTTGCTGTCCTTGCTGCTGTGCCTGTTGGAGTACCCACTTGGATGGGTGGGCTTCGCCTTGACGCCCAGCCCCCCCTCCTCTCTTCCCCGCCCCCGCCCCCTCCCCCCTCGTCGGCTTGTTTGTCAGCCTCCTTCAACACACTGGGTATTCTTCTCTTCCCTCCCCCTCCCTCTCCCCCCCTTCTTACCGGTGCGCATACTCCATCCAGTAGATGAACTTGAACTCCTCCAGTGTCATACCGCGGTGGACCTGGGAGGGGGGGGGGAAGGGGGGATTAGGCAAACTGAGCCGCGGAAAGGGGGTTGTGGGGGAGGGTATCCTTCGCCCCAAGTCGATTACCTCGGGTCACTGTACCCGTGCCTCCCACTGCTACTCGCACCCCCCCTTGGATCCCCCCACCTTCAAGTACTCTGGGCTAGCCTTGTACTTGACAAACTCAGCCTCCCACTCAGCCTCGCTCATGGGGGGGCGCTCACCTGGGGGGATGGGAGGAGAAGGGAGGGCAGGGGTTGGCGGGTGGGGAGTTGCTGGGCGGCTAACATCCCGTGTGGTTGGGGAGGGAGGGAGGGAGTGTAGCATGCATGGGGGATGTATGCTTTAGGGCTGGTCAGGCGATGTGGGTCAGGCGGGATCGAGAACGATGGAGCACACACCGCACACCTCGCACCACCCGCATCGAGCTGGCAGCTGCCTGCCCTCTGCCACATGCACCGCATGGGCCGGGCCCTCCTCTCCCCTTGCTTTGGGGCCATCCCTAACCTGTGGTTTCCTACATGGTACGGCATGGTCTTTGACCCCCCTCCCCTCCCCCCTTGACTCACCCGCCAGCTTCCACTCCGTCATGCTCAGCCCCGACCTGGTCAGCCGCGTGATGCCCCCCAGCACCACCATGCTGTACACCCACGCAGCACACACCGCCAGCCACCCAGCCAGCGCCAGCCGGGCGCCCGAGCTCAGACCCGCGCTCAGGGCGGCACCGCCGTACAGGGCGCGGGGGGCAGCCTGGGGGAAGGGAAAGTGGGGGGGGGTGCATGGGGAGAGGGGAAAAAGGGTGTATATAAGGATGGCGCAGATAGGTACATTCCCTGCGTTGCTGCACTTATCTATAATCCCCCCCCCGCACCTCCGCGGCCGCCGCAGCAGTGCCGGAGGAGCACAGCCGCGCTGTGGCGGGGCGAACCAGCCGCGACCCCGCCAGACCTGATTGGAAGGAGCGGAGGGAAGGGAGGGTAGGGGGATAGGATTAAGACGAGGCCACACAGGAAAAAGACAAGGGCGGGAGGGCGGGAGGAAGGGAGGCTATCCGCCCATCCATGAGCCTTGGCTTGGCTGGTTTGGGTCACAGGCTCTGTGGGTTCGGCGGGTTCACCTGGTTTGGGTCACAGCCTCTTTACCCAAAATCCAGCAGTTTACCTGATAGTGCCTAACAGCTGCCACTCCCTGTACTACTCCTCCCACTCACCCGCAACAGCCCGCCATCCGGACACAGCGGCGGAGGGAGCAGCCTAGAATGCGAATAAGGGAGCCGTGGAGGAGGGGAAAGGAAGCGTGGTGAGTGAGGACATAGGACGCGGCTTGAGAGGGAGGACCAGGTGTGGCTGGTATGTGGCCAGATGATGTGGATGGGGTTGGGAATGGAGTACAGCTAGGAGTACGTCCGCAATGCTGCTGCAGCTTTTGTGGGTCTCAAGCTTACCGCGCCACGGGAAAGCACGCCTCCAGACATTAGCATGCCCTGCGCCCTGCCCGGAGCACTGGCTGCTGTTGAAAATGTGCTTCGCAACATCATGGCACGGGCTTCGCGGATGACGGTGCTGAAGGCCCCAGTTGAAGAGCCAGCTGCCTGGGAAGACTGGAACGGCAGAAACCAAACAGGTGCTCTGCCAGCGGCTTGGCCAACGGTACTAGCTGATGCTGAGCATGATGATGATGAATCAACCGCGAAGCGGGAAAAGCGCCTCAGCAGCGCTAGGCCACGAGAACCCTGCGAGCCTGACATTCTTCTATATCCAGCGGCTTGTTTTGCTGGCCTGCGTGCAAGGGTTGTGGCCCGGTGTGTCGGGGGTGATGGAAGTACGCACGTCGAGAAAGTCGGTAAAGTGGAGGGCAGGCTTGTGTTACAGTTGATATAATGCCACTTACTAGATCGGCAAAAAGACGGGGCTGTTCTATTCTAGACGCGACGCCAGCCTGTTGACAAGTTAGTTACGCTATAATCAGCAGATTGGCTGCTGGCAGTTAATAAAAAACGCTGTGCCAACGTAGCGCATGACTCGCTCCTGAACGGTGATTGACCGTGTCCAGTCGTTGCAGGTACAACTTGCCGTAACAACTTTTACCCCTGGAAGAACGACGCCTTCTTTAATCGTTAAATATGCACGAGAAGAAGTTTTTTATTACAGTTAGCTGCTGGTACCGACCCTCAGAACACTTGCAATTTCTCCGGTCCCATGGTTCGTTCTGATGTGCAACAAGACACTGTAGGTCGACGCTAAAGCATTTCACGCAGCAAGACACTGCAGGTCGACGCTAAAGCAGTTCACGCAGCAAGACTCAACTCATTTACGGTACCATACCCACATACCAGCAGACGCCCCAAGCAAGTCTGCCTGTCACGCACATTACGGATTAAAGCATACGCCACAATCCGTGACCTCAGCCCCCGTGTTGACCTCGCGGCGTCTCCTCTTCCTGCGAATCCCTCCTTCCAATCCTCCCTTTAAAAAACCCTTAGCGTGCTGCACGCATCAGCTCAAAGGAAAGTGCGAATGTACCCCGCCAACACACCACCACCACCAAACCTTTCCCACAACACAACCATCGCCTCACACGCCTCCCAAGTCCCCGTCAACCCATATGCCAGCTCGAGCCCTGAGCCTCCCTGCTTTACTCCCCACTACAATCCCCACCACCACTTGCCTTCGTACTAGGAACGGATGTGCGACCACCTCTTTGCCCCCACTCCACCGCTACCACGCAACCACCCCTTGCCGCCACCACCTCCTCCTCTTCTCCTCCCATAACCCACTACCCACCATCTCTCCCCTCCTCCGCCTCCTCTCCCCACCCCGATCTCATTCTCATTCAGCACACCGGGTATCCTTCTTTCACCCCTCCCCACTCCCTAGAACAGCCGCACCTCCAGCATGCCCTCCCGCCGCTGCGGACAGTACCAAGCCACCAGCCTCGCCGCACCCGCCACCCCCGGCACCGCCAGATCCAACCCGTACACCGCCTCCGCCAGCCGCCCCCGCATGCCGCCCAGGTGGCCCAACAGCCTGCTCCTACCGCTGCTGCCGCCGCCCTCGGCCGCAGCGACAGCAGCAGCGGAGGAGGCGGAGCAGGCGCCAGCGCCAGCGCCGCTGCCTTCCTGCGGCGGCCGCAGCAGTGGGCAGTTGCTCTCCAGCCTGAAGCGCCAGTCGGCAGAGAGGCGCAGCGGGCCCAGCAGCTGCTGACAGAGGGAGAGCGAGGCGCAGTGCCAGGCACCGGTGTCACCGATGGCGAAGGCGGGGTGCCGGACGAAGGGGGCTGCTGGTAGACCGGACAGCCCCTGCTGGGGACGGAGGAGGGCGGGTGCGGGTGAGGTCTTGGGTCCCCACAGGCCCGCGTCCAGTTGCACTGCCAGGCGCGTAAAGTCCAGGAACCAGCTGCTGAACCGGCCGGCTTGGACCTGCAGCCCCGCACTTGCAAAGGGGCGCATGGCTCCCGCGGGAGGGGTGCCGCTGCTGCTGCCAGCGACGGAGAGGGGCGCTTGTGCGTGCGCTGCGTGCGCGGAGCTGCTGGTGTTGCTGTTGCCGCTGCCGGCGGTATAGTACGGGTCGTTGAAGCCGTTGTTGGGGACATTGTGGTGGTTGTGGTCGTTAGCTTCAACGATGTTTCCGCCGCCGCCGCCACCACCGTTGCCGGCAAAGGAGGACAGCAAGCGCTTCAGTCCCCAGTCTTGCAGCCACGCAACCCGCATGGGAAACAGATGTTGAGAAGGGGCATGGGGCTGTTGGGAAGATGCAGACGGAGGGGCTGACCCATGGGTCACATGGATGAGGGGAGTCCGGGCGGTGACGCCCACGATGCCCGCCACTCGGACGTGCGGCTCCCCCACGAAGGAGCTCCAGGGGGTGGCTGGGGGCACTGCTGGGGGGGTGGAGAGTTGGCAGAAGGGTTGCAAGGTTAGGGACTTGGGGTGAAACATGAATAGGGTAGTGAAAAGGGATCTGGGTCAAAGCCACGCAGCCTTGCTATCCTAATGCGTGTCGAACGACGCAGCCGTGCACCCAAAAATGCACCTCTCCCATGTCCTAACTAGGAACCGCACCTGACTGCGCCTGCTGCCCCATTGGCAGCCAGGGCCTCCGCATTCGCCTTTCGCCGCCGCCGCCGACGCCGTCGCCTTGCTCCAGCTGCTCCACTAGGCCGCCGCCGCCGACCCACTGGGTCGCATGCGTTACGTCGTCACGCAGCCGGCTCAGCGACTGAGTCGCGTCGATCAATGACTCTTGCACTTGGTTGGCCGATGGCAGCGACACGCCGAATGGCGCATTGACACCGGCGGCGGCAGCGCCGCCGCCAACTCGGCCGCGGTCGCTGTCGTTATCCTCGTCGTCGCCGCCGCGGGCGCCGCCACCGCCAATGCGAGAGAGCATGTACGACGCGGCCTGCCGTACTGGGTTGTGGGGGCCCAGTCCTGGGGAAGGAGGTAACGACGCCGAGCCGCCGCCAGTGGCGGCGACGGCAGTCGTATCGCCAGCGCCGCCGCCGCCAGTTGTTGCCGCCGCCGACGCCGCATTGGCAGAGGTCGCCACCGCCTGGTTCCGTCGCTGAAACTTCTTGGGCGCTCGCCAAAGGTAGCGCTCCCCTTGTACAGCTGCCGTGCCCTGCGAGTTCCGAAACCAACAACACGCCAGGTGTAGAAATTGGAGTGAGATAGAGAGGAAAAGGCGGGATACGAACAACGATATGTACCCATACGTTTGCCACTCTGCAGTCCACATCTGCCACTGCGACACGCATCTGCCGTACATTTGCCGTACCTGCAAGTACACAGCGCTGCGAAGAGACCAGTCCTGACCAACATCCGCACCCGCCGCCTCCCCATCATCCCGCAGCTCCTCCGCCGCCTCCGCCAAGTCCCTGCTCCCGGCTCGACGGCTGATAGGGCTGCCAACCGCGGCAGTTGACAGTTGTATCGCAGGCGGCGCCGTCACCTGCAACACGCCACACCGCCAGACGAATGGCGCCCGAGACGCCGCCGCAGTCCCCGCCTGCAGACCCAGCAGCAGCGGCGTCCGTGCAGTTGCCGTACCCGTACCCGTACCCGTGCCCGCACCAACACTAGCCTCATTAGGACACGTTGTTGCTATCGCCATGCGCTGCCCTAGCGCTAAATCCGCACGTGTTTCCGTGCCTGCTCCCAAGCAGCGAGACTTCAGTTGACAAGACAGCGACAGCGGCTGTAGCAGCAGGGAGGACAAGGAGGGGGCGTGGACGTACGACAGTTGAGAAGCAGGTGTGGACGAGCGTGAGGAGGGCGCAGCAGCAGCCCAGCGGCGGCCTGCAGCACTGTTGGTCGGGGGCGGATGCAGACTACTGCTGCTGCTGCTGCTGCCCGTGGCGGTGCTGATGTTGTTGGCTAGGCCGTTTGGGGCAGTTGCGAGAGCGGCACCGATGCTGTCGCTGTTGCCGACCAGCTGTAGGTGTTGTTGGGCTTGTTGTTGTTGCTGGCGGTTTTGGCGGTTGCAGAGGCTCCGATGGGAGTCGGCCGGGGGGCTCCAATCCAAACGAGAGCGCAGTACTGTGTGCCTGCAACCAACATAACCAACAAACACAGCCAGACTAACCCGTGAATGAATTATTTCCAGAGAATGCGGCCTGTAGTAGCGGTACACATGCATTCCTGTCAACCATCCCTTCCACAGAAGAGGCTCTGACCCAACAAGTGCGTCACAAACCCGAAACCGAACCAACCGTTCACAATCCCAGCAACCAATAACTAACCTGCTCAGTTGCACTCTTGCGGTTGCTCCCAGGCTGTAGCACGACGGATCCGCAACCGCCGCCAACTGGGTCACCAACAGTTGTCAGGAAGCGACCCATGGGTCCACACCGCATCACCCATGCGGGGGTTGCGAGCAAAGCAGACAAGGCACAGGAGTCATTAATAGGGGAGTTGCAAGGGTGCTATGTGCAAGATATGGTGTTATGTTTATGGTATAGGCAAGCAAGCCCGTCTGGGTCAGAAGTCAGAAGGCATGTCACGCTCACAGCGTTGTCCCCCTCTAGCCCAACCCCATCCCCCCCGGCCACTTACCATCTCTGCTGCCCTGTTATGCCTGCTCCCCGTGTCGCCCTCCGCTGCTGCCGCCAGCCTCCCCAGCCGCATCCGGCCTCCCAGCACAGCCCACCAGCCCTCCCCGCCGCGGATGGGGAGCATGCGGTCGATGACCTGGGGAAGGGGGGGAGGGGTGAGATTGCGGGGTGAGGTTACAAGAGGTGATGGATACTCCTCCGCACAGGGCTGGAATAGGGGTTTGCGGTGGCAGCCGGGTATATTTGATGAAAGAGAACCATGCTGCAATGGTGTTAAGAGGTTATAGCGGGGAGCGAAGGAGGACATGTGAGGAAACAATCTACCGTTAGAAGGAGGGGGTGGAGGCCGTGCGTTGGGGGCCGCGGCAATGTCTGCCGCAGGCAAGCATGGATGCATGCTAGGCTGAGGTGAATGGGCAACGCGACATGGGCGGGAGTCACAATCCGCATCGGAGCTGGCTTATTAAGGGGTTGAATAAGCCGCATGCTATTTGACCGGACGACTTGTGAAACATGCAGTCTGGGCAATCGCGCCCATCCGTCCTACCATTCCGCCCTGGCTTCCACAAAAGGATGGCAGCCCGGGAGGCGATGGCTGGCCCGGCAGCTTTAGCGCTTGGGTCGCTAGGATGAGATGGGGTCGTGATAAACCCGAACCAACCAAGAGAGGCAACGGCGAGGGATCCGAGATCGACATGGCACCCGAGCCATCGGGCGCCGACGTGGACGCCACAGATGGTCCCCAATACTGAGCGGCCACTGTGCTACGGATCTGGTGGCCTAGCATTGCCTTTTCGGGAACCAGGTTAAGGGGCGTTGCTGACGTAGTAAGGGCCGCAGGTGAGCTGGGCGAACCGCCTAAGCTAGTCGACATTGTCATGTTACTTTCTGACAGTTCAACCTCAAGCGGCCTAGCCGTGGGCATTGTGAAGTAAAGGAGCGTCAAGGCTTACAACCGTCAGTGTCGCTCAACAGCAAAGGCATAGTTTGTTTCAACGCGGATTGTGCTGGTGATGTGCTACAAGGCAAGTTAGCAATGCAAGTTAACTGATCAACTCATATCGGCTTTAATATGCAGTACTAAAATGCACGCCTTTGCCGACTCTTCTCTCCCTTTCGCCAACCCCAGACAGCAACACGCATGCATGATACCATACAAATTGTAAGGGGTTGTCGTCCTCTCTTTCAATGTTGTTTGGCACGTCGTACATTGGGCCCGAAGAGCACATGTTGATCTTGATGGCTGTTTCAGCATTTTCTTCCGCCGTCCCAGTAGCTCTAATTGCCCGTCACCATTTCTATCAAGCTAAGCAGCCATGGCCGTCGCTATGCGTGCCCAGTGGTGAGCGCTCTCTTCATCCGAGTCATGCCCAATACTTGCACAGCGCGGCCTAACGGCCGGACGTCTTTGCTCCTTGCTTAAAGTTACCGACGTAATCCACTTTTGTTCGCGCCTAATTTGCTTAGCCAAGTCATGCGCTTGGGTACACCAGCTGACCCACGAATGCTGTTCTGCCTGTCGAACTGCTGCGCAGCGTCAAGGTGCAGGCTCGCCCTGCTCGCGCTAACACCGTTGTGTGCCGCGCCTCGGCCCAGTCCCGCCGTGAGGTCAGTCCTTCTGCATACCGGTACCCATTAGTCCTTGAACTGACATGCAACGCGTCAACCCGTTTTCAGCTGCTTTCAACTGTATGTGAACCAGCGTTAAATGTGTTGGCGATGTCGTTGTTCTTACGAAAACTGCTTGTTCCTGAAGTTATGTGCTTAAGTCCGGTGTCTGCTCCACCTTCGCAGCTGCTGGGTCTGGGTGCTCTGCTGGGCGTTGCTGCTCTGGCTCCCGCCGCTGCTAAGGCCGCCGTGGTGAGAGCGTTGGTTGGGGCGCTGCAGTGACCTGCGTTTATTGCTGCAGGGGGCCAAATCAAAACGACCACTCCAGTCCGCTTTACTTGCTGCTGCTTCTCACACCAGCGCCGCATGATGTGTCTGACATGCTAGGAGGGAAGCACCACATACGGGCACCTCTTGCTACCCTGATGCAAGCCTGCGTAACCCCTCAGCCTCCGCGACCGGACAACCCGGGCACAGCTCCTAACCTGGGTGCACGAGAGATTACGAACAACCCCCACCCCACCCCACCTTGCTCCCATACTTCCATACTCACCACTCCCCTCCTCCCACATCCCGCCCCACCTCCCCCTACGTGTGACTGCCACATCCTCTCCCTCCTCCCCATTCATGTTTTTCCCTCCCATGTCATCCCCCTTCCGCCCCCCCCCATCCCTTCCTGCCAACTCCTACCCCCATTGCTTTGCCCTAACTTGTGGTCTCCTATGGTTTGGTCTTTGACCCCCCATCCCTTCCCACCCCAACCCAGGTCGACGATCTGCTGGCCAAGTCCGCGGCCAACAAGGCGCTCAACGACAAGAAGCGCCTGGCCACCAGCTACGCCAACCTGGCCCGCAGCCGCACCGTGTACGACGGCACCTGCGCCTTCCCCGACAACTTCTTCGGCTGCGAGGAGCTGGCGTTCAAGCAGGGCGGCGTCAAGTACATCGCGGACGACCTCAAGATCGAGTGCGAGGTGGGGCGGACGGGGGGAGGGGGCCGGGAGGTGGGAGGCCGGGGGGGGGTATATGATCAGTGAAGCAACGGCGGGAGGCGGTAGGTAAGGGGCCAAAGACCATACCAAACCATAGGAGACCATAGGGCAAAGTAATGGGGGTAGGAGTTGGCAGGGAGTTGGTAGGTAAGGGGCGGGTGGATACCGTGCCCTGCACTTGCTGGATGAGCCCTGTGCGGCTGTGTCATTGCTGCACACCACAACAGTAAGTCCGCCTCAGTCCTAACAATCCTCCGCCCTCCCCTTCCTCCCCCCTGCCGTACAATTTACCTCCCCGTCCTCCCCCCTGCCGTACAACAGGGCAAGGACCCCAAGGAGTGCGGCTCCAAGTTCACCCTGCGCACCAAGTAAACACACCTACCAGGCTGCAATCACAAACACGCACACGCAGAGCCGGTCAGCTACTGCACACCTACCCGCATGCATGATACCAGCCGCATAACTCGAATACCAGCAGGGGCCACTACTGTTGCCCACTGCGAACAGTTTTGACAAGGAGGAGAGGAAGTGTGGCGGTGTTACCACTTAGTTCAAGGGGTGTGCTCAATTTTGACGTACCAGCACGTTTAGAGCGATGTAGCTACAGCCGAGGAGGCGGCACGACACGGCCGTGGAAAGTGGATTTCGTGGTAGGGTCCGGTCCGGCCGGTTGGCCGGCTGTTGTGCGGCTAACAGCAGTAGCATTGTCTTGGAAAAGGCCTTACGGTCCTTCCATAAACAGAGAAGAAAAAATCCAGTTGGTGACGTTTTTGTTATGAAGGTTCAGCTGCAAACCACAGGCCGGGAGTAGTGCTGGGTTGGTACCTGTCATGGTACCACACACTGTAACGGTACATTCTGTTTGCGGCGTACGAACAACAGCTGCATGTTGGAGCGCACATAGCCATGCAGCTGGACAGTGTCGCTATGCGCTGGGGGCTCTCGGCGCCTGTGCCTGCAGGGGAGACGTAGGAGCCCCGGCCCCTTAACACACACACACACACAGAAGCTGCGTACAGCTGCTACCTTCATATGCAAAAGCATGCCGATAGCCGCCGCAGGGAAAGCCTTTGTTGGAAGGAGCAGTGGTACCTGTGTACCGTAGTCCATGGTAAAAGACGCCTGCCGTTTGAAACGACAAGGTTAGCAACTTAGCGTAACGTGTGGAATAGACTCGCACAGCCCATGGGGATCAAGAGCGCGCAGTTAGGGTGGCGTCATGGGACCTTGCCAAATCTCCAATTCGAGCGCTCGACCGTATGCTGGATTCGGGTCCGTGGGTCGGGAACGCAAACGCTCGCCGATTTCCTCAGGTATTCGACCATATATCACCGTCAAGGATATGTCTATGATAATCTCTACTGGTGCATAGCGCTTCCGTGCTAAAAGGTGGACTAGGTGCAAAACGCTGATCGCGAGCAAATCGTAAGGCCCAGATGTAGGGTAGAAGTTAACCATTCGCTTTTCAAACTTTTTGTGCATGGTCGTCAAATGTACCGTTACTTGTCGCTTATACAGCGTATGAAGTAATCGAGACACGAGGTTGACTCCTGCATATCCGACATATCCGACTTGCAGACATGTTAGCTGGCACGTCAACACCATGCGGCTTACGCGCTGTTTCAACTCGGTCTGCAGCAGGAGGCGTGCTCTATCCAGCATTGCCTACAGGGCCTGCTCGGACGTCGACGTGCTTTGCCCCTTGCCATGACTTCAATGCGCCTACACAGCCTGTCCTATTGCGACGAGCGCGCAAAGGAGTGGTACCAGCAGCTGTCTCTCAAGCGCCGACCACCAACACTGTTGCGCAACTAGTACACCAAAACAGCAAGCCGATGAAAGTCATTATTGCTGGGGCTGGCATTGGTGGCCTGCTGCTTGCTGTTGCGTTATTAAAGCAAGGGTTTGAAGTTCAAGTATACGAGCGCGACCTCACAGCCATTCGCGGAGAGGGCAAGTACCGGGGACCCATCCAGGTGCGTTTCGCGGGGCCAACTCTGCTTCACAATCTGAGACAGCGCGGTGGCTGCCCGTTTGCGTTTAGTTCCTTATGTGGCCACGTTCCTGCTGATCCTCATTGATCTACTTGAAGACTTGCAGCGATGTACCCGCGGTACCTGACCAAGGACCTAGCCGTTCCAACCCCGCGTTGGCTTTTTCAACCTCACAGATTCAAAGCAATGCTTTGGCTGCTATGGAGGCGATTGACCAGGAGGTGGCTGACGAGGTTATGCGCGAGGGCTGCATTACAGGCGACCGCGTCAACGGCCTGTGCGATGGTCTAACGGGAGAGTGGTAAGTGCCTTCACCTACACTCATATAGACAACTTATGGGTTCAGGAGGTGTTTACAACGTATTATAATTTCTGTTACAAACCCTACATCCGCCGCCCTGTCTGGCTCCCTATGTCGCCTTGGTTAGGTACATCAAGTTCGACACTTTCCACCCTGCGGTTAAGAAGGGCCTGCCTGTGACGCGCGTCATTAGCCGCGTCACGCTGCAGCTCATCTTGGCGCGTGCTGTGGAGCGGTGAGTCTGGCGGTCACCGCTGGCAGGTTCCTAGCTAGGCCACATTTAAAGGGTTCTGGGGCACAGCCGGAGCTCGGGCTCGGCACGGGGTTAGGGCTTGGCATGGGGCTTAGCCTGCGAAGCCGCCAGACCTTTGTGCGTAGGGGTTGAGGACCTTCGTGCACGCTGTAGGTTACAGTGCCAGATTATTGCACCGCCACTTCTACTCGCTGTGCGCTGTATGCATCCTCCTCCACGCGTTCACAACCCGCCATCCGACATACAAACCACCCACCCACTATCTAATCTCGGATATGCCGTACATGTACATCCGCAAGATTCCGGATTCCGCATGCTAGACACAAGTACCGTATGTTCTTCTTCACGGCCAGTTACAAAACGCTCAACACCCATGCATGTCAACTGCATGCAGGCTGGGCGGCCCCAGCGTCATCTGCAATGGTTGCGGCCTCCGGAGCTTCGAGGAGCGCACCAGCCCCGCCACCGGCCGGCCCGAGGTAAGAGATACCTGAGGTATAACTGGTTTGCAAGCTTTTGGTGCTGCTCTCATTCCGCTAACATCACCCGACGAGACGCCTGATACGCCAGATTCGCCTATAGCGGCCTCCCCACTCCGCACACTCCACACAGGTTGTCGTACAGTTGGAGGACGGGCGCAGCGCCTCCGCCGACTTGCTGGTTGGCGCTGACGGCATCTGGTCCACCGTGCGGAAGCAGCTGATCGGGGAGACCAAGGCGACGTACAGCGGGTACACCTGCTACACAGGTAAGCTGGGGTGAGGTGGTGAAACCCTTTACCTCCATAACCCTAAGGGTCGACAGCCATGTCAGGCTGGGTGGTGCTGTGCTGCCCTCCAAGTGGGCGCATTGCTTATTACCTTGTGTGTTTACGTCAGCTCGGGCTGACCCATGACCCATGGGTCACTCACTTCCTCGCCACCCCCGCCGTCCCCGCCCGGTGTTGCTGCGCACACGCACCCAGGCATTTCGGACTTCACGGCTGCTGACATTGACATCGTGGCCTACCGCGTGTTCCTGGGCAACGGACAATACTTTGTGAGCAGCGATGTGGGCAACGGCAAGATGCAGTGGTGGGTGGGGAACGGGCTGGGGCTGGGGCTCATGGGTGGGGCTGGGGTGGCTGGTGATGGTTAAAAAGGGGACACTGACGAGCAGCATGACGGGGGGAGGATGGGGGAGCCAAGAGGGAAAGATTTACGACGTTGCAGTGGAGTGATGGTGGCTTGGTTCACCTCTGGTGGTTCACCTCTGGTGGAGACGTAGTGACGGCAGAGAGAAGGTGCGCACGGCTGATGGCAAGGACGAAGCTAATACTTCCTTATCCGTGGATTCCTGACACATCCAATCCATTTTGCCACTGAGCCAACAGCCGGCCACCACACCATGTGCCCCATCGCACAACCACTGCACCCCTCGACTTCCACTCTGCAACGCATGGTGTCATGCAATGACCTGTCATCGCCAAACCACGTACGGTACATAACCAGTCTAGCCCGCATGGAGACAACCGCATTGCATAGGGTCCAATACGGGATCGGGGGCACCTTTCAGAGCGGCTAGGATGAAGCTTTTTTCCTTACAACGTGGACTCCTGACACGTACCTATATATCCATTTTGCCACTGAGCCGCGGTGTCAGCCTTGTGTGTGGCGTAGTGGCGCACGGTATGCTGTGTTTGTGCATGGCTGGGCAGTGGGGGGAGGACGGCTGATGGCAAGGACGAAGCTACATATCTTCCTTATCCGCGGATTCCTGACGCATCCAATCCATTTTGCCACTGAGCCACATTGCCAACACCCACCAGCCAGCCAGCCAGCTAGTTAGCTCGCATGCAATGAAGCGTAACCATGCAAGGAGACCTAGACATGCACCAAGCACTTCACGGGTTGCGTAAACTTGGTGGTGCATGGCCTGCGAACTCCCCGCCTGTGCCTGCTATTGCTGCAGGGGCACCAATGCACCTCTGTTTATGAAAAAGGAAAGGAAAACGGGCGACAAGGATGAAAGCAAAATTCCATTTACACGTTGTGGATTCCTGACACATCCAATCCTATCCATTTTGCCACTGAGTCGCCGAGGTCCTAACACTGGCTTTCAGGCCACAAATAAATTAAGCTAAAGAAAGCCGCAACAGCGACCTGGCATACTATCTCTTCCCCTCCCCTGTACCCCCCTATATGGTCTTTCACCCCCTCTCCTCCCCTCCCTCACTCGCAGGTACGGTTTCCACAAGGAGCCCCCCGGCGGCACCGACCCCGAGGGCGGCCGCAAGGGCCGGCTGCTGGAGATCTTCGGGCACTGGAACGACTACGTGGTCGACCTCATCAAGGCCACTCCGGAGGAGGATGTGCTGCGGAGGGACATCTTTGACAGGTGGGGTGGGGTGGGGTGGGGGGTAATTAGCCAATTGAACAAGGACCGAGACCCTGGGAAGACCGGGGAGGTAGGGGCCGCAAAGGAGTGAGCGCGTGGCACGCTACCCAAGAACCCAGCACACTCCCACGCACCTCCGCGCACGCATCTAGACACCCAACACGGGTTGCTGCACAGGCCATGCAAGCCCCCCACCTTCCCTCCTCCCCACTTCCCTTTCCCCTCCCTCCCTTCCCTCCTCCCCAGGCCGCCCATCTTCACCTGGGCCAAGGGCCGAGTGGTCCTGCTGGGAGACTCGGCGCACGCCATGCAGCCCAACCTGGGGCAGGGCGGCTGCATGGCCATCGAAGACGCCTACGAGCTCGCCCTCGACCTCTCCAACGCCCTGTCCGCAGCGGGCGGCGACGCGGGTGCGGTGGACCTGGAACCCGTCATGCGCACCTACCAGGATAACCGCCTGGTCCGCGTCTCCTCCATCCACGGCATGGCGCGCATGGCAGCCTACATGGCTTCCACCTACAAGTGCTACCTGGGAGAGGGGTGGAGCAAGTGGGTGGAGCGGCTGCGCATCCCGCACCCGGGGCGGGTGGTGGGGAGGCTGATGATGCTGGTCACCATGCCGGGTGTGCTGGAGTGGGTGTTGGGCGGGAACACAGATCACGTGGCACCCAACCGTACGGCGTACTGCTCGCTTGGAGACATGCCCAAGGCGTTTCCGGAGAGCCGGTTTGGGGAGTTCATGGCGAATGATGAGGCGATTGTACGGGCGCTGCATGCGGATTGGCTGCTGGTTTCGGAGCGAGCGGCGACGTCTACCCGAATGGTTGCTCCTGCTGCTGCTGCTGCTCCTGAAGCCGGTAACGGTATCAACGGTAGCCGGCAGCAGCAGGCGGTTGAGGAGGAGGAGGAGGTGGATGTGAACAGCAGTGCGGAGTGCAAGGGTATTTACATTGGCGACGAGCCGGCGCTGGTGGGTCGCTGCGGCAGCGCCTCGCGACCGGCCCTGGCAGTGGACGATGTGCACGTGCATGAGCGACATGCACAGGTGTGGCGAGGGCCGCGCTCGGCTTCCGACCATAACATCATCAACAACAATGGCAACAACAACAACAACAGCAGCAATGTGAATGAGAGCAGCAGCTACTTCCTTCGCGACCTGGCGACGGGGCGAGGTACCTGGGTGAATGGGCAGCGGCTGCCGGATGGGGCCACGGTGCGGCTGTGGCCGGGGGATACCGTGGAGTTTGGGCGGCACCCCAGTCACGAGGTGTTCAAGGTAAAGCTGCAGCATGTGTCGTTGCGGAGTGAGGAGCTGCGAGGCAACGGGTACAGCACGCTGCTGGTGGGAAAGATCCGGGCGCCGCAGCCCTTCCTGGAGCCGGCGTATGAGCCCAAGGCGGGTGCAGGGGTTGGTGCTGAGGAGCAGGGGAAGCTGGTGGCGGCGTGAGGAGAAGGAGGAGGTGGAGAGGGTTCTGATGCAGTTAGTAGTTGAGGTGTGATGAGGCTTGACGTTTGTATGTTGTAAGGAGGAACTTGGCCGCGGGTTGGAAGGTAGTGGATTGTCGGAAGATGATGTTCCCACCAAAATGCCACGGGAGAGGAGGAGTAGGTTTTGTCAACATACAACTGTATGGTTGCTTGGTACAACTGGTTGTCGCGCGGCGGATGTGCGTTGGTTGTATGTGTTATGTACGTGCTTTCAACGTGTTTGTATGTTGAGATGCCCTGTCGCGCGAAGTGGAGCTGTGTGGCTGAGAAGACAAGAATGCTGTTGTCAACTGGGCTGCAAAATGTTGGGCCCTAATGGCTGTGCAATCACGTTATGCGGCCCTGTTTATTCGGCTTACGGTACACACGCAGGTTGCAGCGATAATGCAAAAGCCGAACAAGCCAAACAGGAGTAGTAGTGTTGTGCGTTTTGGCTTGTGATATATGAGTTTTTGGTTCCACAATAGTGCAAGATCCAAGTTGTTGCTTGAAGGATTGCGGAAGGCTTCAGGCCGGATTTTGCGGTGGTTAACGGCGGTTTCAGCGTTCCAGGTAAACGGAGAGACACAACTTACAGAGACGAGCTGTGAGGTTGCTTAACATGGTCTTACCCACACACACAGTTTTGGCAGAGGAGTGGAGTTCACACATGGCGCGGTTTTGATGTTGAGAGAAGAGGGCTCGAGGAGTGTGTTTGTCGTGTCGAGGGTCGTGTTAAGCTGCTGTTGCTGCTGCCGATGAGGGTGGTGGTGAGGGGGGTGCTGCTTTCGTGCGCGCGTTCTTTGGTTCTGTATGAGGTTTGATGCTTTTGCTGCAGATTCTGCTGCTGCAGTTTCTGCTGCAGTAGCTGCTGTTGCTGCTACAGCCACTGTTGCCGTTATTGTTAAGTGGATCGGAAAGGCGAACGCCAGAGGCGAGGGCGAATCGTGATGCTTGAAAGCTGCTACAAGGGCTTCAGCCTGAGCTGTGGAGGAACCTGGGCACCTGGTTTGTGGGAGGGTGTGGTGCAATGTTGCGGAGAGACGGTGTGGTATTTTGTCGCGTGAGGGAACATCCCAGGATAGATAGGCTGATAGGCATGAATTGTTGCATGCATTTACAGATTGTAGGTTTAAGGCAATTTGCTGGAGGTAAGGAAATGGAGTTGCACGGTGCGTGGCTAGTAGAGCAAGTGCGGAGAGGAAGAGATGGGGAGAGAGGCTGGGTACTCGGGTATTTGCGGCTGATGACACACAGCGTCAGAAGGACCGGGTGTGGAAAGGGGCCAGGGGCCATGGGGGTGGTTCGTTACGCTGCTGTGCATGTCCAGCTTCGGTTAACACCGGTATAGGTCCTGAGTGCGGATGTCTACGTGTGTGTTTTGAGGACGGTTTGGTAGTTAGGCACTGCAGCCTTACGTGCACAATGCGAGCTACGCTGCTCGGGAGTGAGGGGCTTGAGAGCTGAAGTAGTAGGATATGTTAGGAGTCCCCAGTCGGGCGCCGGGTGTGGGGACTGTTGGGGTACGCATCGCATGCGACCCTAAGCAGGCCAGGTGGTGTGGGTGTTATGGGATTTAGACACGTGGAAAGGTAAGGATGCAAGCTGTGTTCGTGTGTTTTCCTAATTGTATGTGTTCGGCATTGCGACAAGGAGAGCAAGATTAATGCAAGAACTGAAACAACAACGAGGGTGCCAGCAGGGCCCCACTGCTTGTGCTGGGCTACAACATGTACGGTAGGGAACAAAGACGTGGCTTAGGACATGCCTATCTTCCAAGATTGTAAACGGAGACTGTGTTTCTCTACGGCGGTTCTTTCCCCTTGTTGCTGCACCTGCGGCAAACCAGTAGAGCAGCAGGGCCGGACAGCCTGGAGTGATGCAAAGTAGGCTTAAGGGCCCGGGGGGGTCCTCAAACTGTTACGCCGGAATCAGTTTGCTGCCTGATGTGCTGCTATATAATGGGACCTTACCTCTCCCAAAGCTTGCGTCCTTGCAAGCCAGCACTAGCCATCGGCTTGGTTGCGTGCAAGACAATTGCGTGGCCCCGGGCCCGTGCTAGCCTGCGTACGGCGTTAGGGTCATTTGTCACGGCCGCGCACATTTGTTTTCCGATCCGCATTCCAAACGTGCTCGTAAAGCGAACTCCTACTACTAGTGGTCTAGGACTGAGGAATTGCCCATCTAACATCTCCACACGCCACTTTCGGATAAAGCCCATTCTTAGGCAAGTCTTACATACTGAAATTAAATAGGCACCCTGGCTATGGGAGATCAGGTGGGAGCCTAGCAGCACGTGCTGCATTGCAACAAGTCGTCCAACTAATGGGGAGCAGCCCCGATTAACTTTGGAACTTTCGGATCCATTGTCTGCACCTTAGGACGGAGATGACGGCTCCCCAAGGAGTCGCAGTCGATCTAAAACAAACAGGTAAAGTCGGCGACTATCGTTACAACGGGGTTTTCTCTACTTGCGGAAAGCGGACTTCCGGTTACAAAGGATTTTTCTATTGTTTGGCGTTGCTGCAATTGCAGAAAGGGAAGATCGCTTTCTCGCTCTCGGTCCAGGTCAGTAAATGCAAGGCGGGAGTTGGGAGAGGACACTGGCCGTCTGAAACAAGATAGTATAAATGCCGTTACAGCTTGGCCGTTTTGAAAAAAAATTTAGTTTCGTCATGCATGAAATGCTTGGCTTCTGACGAGGAGCATGCAGTGGCATCTTGCAATCCCAACCCTCCCTTCGCTTCTCCTGCCTCTTCACATCATCCCTCCTCACCATGGCACCAACCACTCCCTCTCATCCTCCTTCCCAGGTCGCGCTCCGCCTCAGCGGACAACAAGTCCCCCATGAGGTCCCGGTCCGCATCCCGATCCCCCCGCTCCCGCTCCGCCTCTCGCTCTCCCATTAACAAGAATGGCAGGCGAGGCCGCAGCCCCAGCCGCAGTCGCAGTGCCTCCCCGGCCGGCGGTAGGAAGGTCCGCAGCCCCAGCCGCAGCCGGAGTCCTGGCAGGAAGGTCCGCAGCCCCAGTAGGTCACCCAAGCGGCGGGCAGGCGGTGGCGGCAGCCGCTCCCGCTCCCGATCCCGATCTCGGTCTCGCTCGCCTGCTAAGAAGCGATCGCGAGTGGGTACGGCAGCAGGCGGGCGCCGCAGTCGCAGTCGGAGCCGGAGCCCGCCGTCGAGGTATCGGCCAAGCAGTCGCTCGCCGATCCCACCGGGACGGCGACGCAGTCCCGTGGGTCGGCGGCGCGGCGGCAGTCGCAGTCGCTCGCCGCCGCGGGTGAAGCGGTGGGTGAGTCGGTCTCGGTCGCCTCCGCGGCGGCAGCGCAGCAGGTGGGAGGGGTGACAGGAGAGGGAGGAAGGGTGGGATGGGGAAGGAAAGGGGGTCAGGAGTGAAGTAAAGGTGAGGGGTTGCGGTTTGGGGCTTATCATAGCGAGGAGCGTTGGTGCGAAGTGTCAGGGGGCCATGGCAAGAAAAGGACGGTTTGAAGCACCCTCTTGGGGCTGCTTTTGTACTTCCGCTATTTCGCTCAGCCGCGGTCATGTGCCGTACGCGACAGGACGAAAAGACTTTGCTTACGGTTATGCTGCCGCCGCCGCCGCCGCTGCTGCTACTGCTGCCGAGGGGCCTGTTACTGGCGGCCGGCGGCGGCGGCGGCTGTAGCCGAGACCCGTGGGTCGTGCGTGTGGGCCATGTGGCATTCATCTCCTGCTGCTGCCTGCTTGGCGGTCCTGCTGCTCCTGCTGCTGCTGCTTAGACCACAACAAAGGGATCCATGCGGCCGCGGCGGCGGCGGCCAGAGAGGTGGCTGCCGCCGCCGCGGCTCGCTACTGCGGCAGCTGCTGACATGCTTGGGCGGCGGCCCAGAGAGGGGCTGCTTCCCTGGAAAGCCCCACACCGACGCACGGCTGAGGATCTGCCTAGCGCTGGGGCCCGGTGGGCTGTTGCGGCCACGGCGCCGACCTTTCGGAGCCCAGCGTGTCCCCTACTCCTTTTAGCAGCCTCGATCTCCCAAAACACACACCCTCATACACAGTTATGCCGACCTTTCGGAGCCCAGCGTACTCTCTTCCCCGCAGTGTTACGCCGGCCCCATGTCCACCCTCTAACCCCACCCACCCATGTCTCCTCCCTACCATGCCCACCATGTGCCCCCTCCCTCTCCCTCTCCATGCCTCGCCCACCACCACGCAACCGCACGACAAACCCGAGGACAGGTCCCGGGACCGGGCTGGTGCTGCTGCTGCTGCTGTCACCGCCGTCAGTCGCCCGGGGGGCGAACGGGAGCGCAGCGGCCTCCTCCCCCCTCGTGACAGGGACCTGCGCGATCGACGCGACGACAGGAACGAGCGGAGCAACAACAACCGGGAGAGTAACCGGGATCGGGACCGGGATCGGGGTGGAAGAGGAGACGCGAGGGATGCCGCCGCGAAGGAAGCCAACAACAGGGAGAAGGAGAGGGAGAGGGAGAGGGAGAGGGACAAGGGGAAGGAGGACAGCGAGAAGGAGGAGGGCGAGAGGGACGATGCGGGTCGGGAGGGCGATGACAAGGAGCGAGGAGAGGTGGATCGGGAGAGGGAGCGGGATCGCGGGCGGGATCGCGACAGGGAGAGAGATCGAGATCGGGACCGGGACCGGCGACGTGAGGAGGAGCGGGAGCCACATGTTGACAATGCCACTCGGGTAGGGTGGGGTGGGGTGGCCTGGTGGTGTGAAAGACCATACCGAACCATAGGAGACCACAGGTTAGGGTAGAGTGACCTGGTAGGGTGGGATATAGTGGGATCTGGGTATGGTCGATGGCGCGGGGCTTGAAGGGAAAGAGAGGGAAAGGAGAGAAGAGCGGAAGAACTCGGCCAGGGAGGGTGGGTAGGCGTGTATACGGCAACCACTGTCTCCGCTTCCCAGCCCTACCCAACAACCCCTCTCCCATTTACAGCTTTTGGAACATCTGGGGCGTCATCACTCTCTGGCACGCTACCGTCACGGTCTACGTCTAGACTGGCACGCTACCGTCTAGATCACAGTCTAGCTAATCCCCCTCTCCGGCCCCCCCCGGCGCTCCCCCCCCCCCCCCCCCCCCCCGCCCCCCCCCTCCCAGTCCCTGGTGCGCGACTGCCTGATTGAGCTGACGGAGCGGCAGCGGCTGCCTTGCAACATCTCCATCCTCAACGACTACATGCGCATGCGGGACAGGTGGGGGGGGGGGGAAGGGAGGAAGCAACTGTACGACATGGTTGACATCAGCATGTGTGTTTTGACGGGAGCCAATTAGCATCAGCCGGATCTCCTCGCGCCCTGGCGCCCTCGTGGCCATTACCCCCGCTTGCTCCCATTCCCTCCTTGGCCCACCTCCCCTCCCCTGCTTGCCGACTACCTGGGTTCCCCCACCAGGAGCTCGTCGGCTTGTTTGCCCGCCTCATTCAACACATTGGGTGTTCATCTTTTCCCCTCCTTGCCGCCCCGCCCCGCCCCGCCCCCCACCACCAGACGCTTCACCTACAAGTCTTGCGGCTTCGCCACCTTCACGCTGTTCTGCAAGGTGTTCGAGCGGGACGGCTGGCTGGAGATGGACCAGGAGCGCAGCAGCGTGGTCATCAGGTGGGGGGGGCGTGGGAGGGTGGGAGGGGGGGGAGAAGAATCCCAAGGTGTGTGGGGGGGGAGAGGGGGGCGCGGGTGGGGTTGCGGGTGTGGCAGTCCCCTTGCTAACCCTTCTCCTGTGTGTTGCCGCCGCGCTACTCCACTTCTTGTGTTGTTTGTTGTGTTTCCGCGGCTCAGCTTATCTAATCCCCTCGCCAACCCTTTTCCCTTTCCTATGTTACCGGTACACCGTAGTCCCCTCGCTAACCCGACTCAATCTCACTATTTCCGTAGCCCGAGTCTAACCCTTTCCTTAACCCTCTGCCCTGTCCCAGCCGCACCAAGTTCGATCGCTCGCGGTCTGGTGGGGGTGGAGGCAGCCGGCGGCGCACCTCGCCGTCCCGGGAGCGCGACCTGTCGCGGGAGCGCCGCCGCAAGCGCGAGCAGAAGCTGCGCAGGCGGGAGAGGGATCGTCGCGACGGGCGCTCGCCGCGAGGCAGGGACCGAGGCGGCGGCGGTGGTGGCAAGGAGAGAGGCGGGGACGGCGGAGACGGCAGGGGGCGGGGCAGGTACGGCGGCGGATGAGATGTAGGGAAGGTCGTGTGTTGAGAAGCAACTGACACCTCAGATGTGACGCCTTGCGATACTATAGTACTTGTAAAAGGCGCTGTCTTGTATGTCGTGTTAGCAAAGCTGGGGCCGTGTCCTGAACACGTGTCCTGAGCACGCCACGCCCTCCCACCTAACACGCCTTTCCTGCCCTACCTACCTACCCGCACCCACCCCCTACCACCGCAGGTCTCCCTCCCGCTCTCGCTCCCTCTCCCGCTCCCCTCGCCGCAGCGGGGGCTCGCCGCCCGCCCCCCGCCGCGTGTCGCGCGACGTGCCCCGGGAGTCCGAGCGCTGGCAGCTGGACCCCGCCCCGCAGGCGGCCAGTGGGGAGGAGCGCTGGAAGATGGAGCCGACGGAGGCATGAGGGGCCAGATGAGGGGGCCAGCAGATGGCGAGGGGGGCAAGTCGGGGGTGAGCGTGCATTGCGGTGGAGTTGAAGGATGCGGGAAAGCAGCTCTGCCCTCTGCTGCTCTCTACCCTGTTCCGCTCGGAGGGTGGGGTGGTAAAAGGGAGGTAGGAAGGCAGGGAGGGGTGGCGGTAGTTTGGTTGGGGAGGCCATGGGAGAAGGGGTTGAGCCGGAGGAGGCATGCGGGCCCCTCTTGGTTGGTATCATGGTAAGGTGATATGCTACCGGACTCTCTCCTGATGGGGAATGAGAGCTAGTGGCGGTGGAGGTTGGGCGGGGGGGGGATAAAGAAAGGAAAAAACGGACGAGCTGTGTGACAAGTTTGGGGAGGGGGGAGGATGCGCGGGAAAGGGTTTAGGAGGGGCCACACGCGGGTGGGTGTTGGGGTTGTTTAGGAGGAGCTCGATTGCGTCCTGCAGCAGCTGCTGCTGCAGGTGATGCAGGCGCTCTCTTACTGCACATGGCTACCCCTTTGATGGGGTCGCTGCTTCTGCTGTGCTGTTGTGCGGCTTTTGCGTTGGCCATGTTGCCTCGCCATTCGAGGGTGCAGCGCATGCATACGTGGAGGTGCTGTAAGGGAGGTCAGGATGCGTGGTCAGGAATTCCCCGTTTGCGTGTTGGTGAGTTGGTGAGCGCGCGCGAGGGCAAAAATCGGTTACAGGATGCTAGCGGTACGGTACGGCAGCAGCCCCTGACAGAGCTAGTTAGGGTTACGCAGCCTAAAGAGCACGGAGCCAGCGTGAAGGTACGTCCTGCTTCGCCACCAATCGCGCCCCCCCCACACACACAAACCACCCCACACAGAAAACCCCAACCGCTTTTATAGACACCGCAAACGCACGTGCATAAAGAGCCTAAGCAGACGCTGTCCACACTTGCAAGCGCGGAGACCTCTCCTAAGGGCACTCCCGTCCCCCACCTCCTTCCAGCTCCTTCACGACTCCCAACCAACCCGTCCTCCTCTCAACCCATTCCCGGTGGCAGCGCCGGTCCAGCCGCCGCAGTGTAGCCCCCATCCACGTCCCCTCCTGCCTCTCCCTCCGCCTCCGCAGCTGCGTCCCCGCCGCCGCCGCCTCCACCAAAGCCCGGCGGCATGACGGGCCCGGCGGCCACCGCGTACGTCCCCTCCTCGCCCTCATCCTCATCATCTCCCTCCTCCTCCTGTGGATGGGGGAAGGACGGGAAGGGCCCGGGGGGTGTTGGTGGTTGGCATGGGAGAACCGTGTTCCCGGCATGGGGCACCGCGGGGGTCAAATTAGACCACATGAAACCATATAAAAACACCCCCCGGGGGGGGGGAGCAGGCGACAGCTGCACTCAAGAGGACACACGTATATACCATACCAATACCTGACTCCGCAAGAGTCGGAAATTGATTCCCCAAGACGGTACGGTAATACCGGTAGGTGGCTAGGCGTACGTACCTGCTCATCATCATCTTCATCCTCCTCATCTTCCTCCATAGCAGCTACGCCCATCAGCCTCGCCCCTCCTGCCACCCCTCCCCGGTGCAACCGGCCGCCGCCCATCTCCACCAAATCCTCCCCCTCATCAGACCCGGACGCCTCCTCGTCCTCCTCGTCATCGTCCTCCGCTGCAATGTCCCGGATCCGCAACGTCCCGCCAGGCCCTGCCGCCGCCCCTGCAGCTTCTGCCTCCGCTGCGGCTGCCGCCTCTTCGTCTTCTTCCAGGAACGCTGCAGGCATGGGTACAATCCTACGCGGCTGCGGCTGCTGCGGCAGCTGCTGTGGTTGCCGTACCGAAGGAGCCGGAGCCGCCCCTGCTGCTGCAGCTGCTGCTCCTGCAGCAGGGGCGGCTACCGGTGCCGCGGCAGGAGCCTCTGCGCGCTTAGAAGAAGCGCCCGGACCCGCTGCGGCTGCTGCTGCTGATCCTTCCGCCGCCGCAGTCCCCGCCGTCTGTGCAGCCGCCTCCTTCTCCTCCTCTTTCTCCCTTCCGTCACCGCCTCGCTCCCCGTCCTCCATCTCATCCTCCCTCACCCCCTGCTGCCCTGCCTCTGCTGCCGCCTCCGCCGCACCCTCAGCCCCAGCCCCCACCCCCACCCCAGGAGGCCCCTGCTGCTGCTCCCTGGTCCTCTCTAGCGCCTGCCGCTGCGCAGGCGGCCGAACCGAGGGGCCCGCCTCCTCCTCCTCCTCGTCCTCCCCGTCCATGGGCCCTAACGCCACTGCTGCAGGCCGCTTAGCCGCCGCTGCCCTCGCACCCTCACCCCAGGCCCCTGCACCTTCACCCCCTCCTCCACCTCCCCCGCCACCACCAGCAGCCCCCCTGTTCGCCGCGCCCCGCAGGTTCCGCTGCTTCTTGGGGCGCCCCGCAGCTCCGATACCGCCACCGCTGCCGCCCTCACCCCCCTCCGCAGCCTCACCGCCCTCCTCGCCCGCCGCCGCTTCCGCTGGTGCTGCTGCGCGGCCCTGCTGCTGTCGGGTCCGCTGGTGGTGCTCCAGAGCTGCTTGGAGCATGGCCACCACCTGCCCGCGGGGGTTCCGAAGGAGGGTTAAGGGTGACGGGAATACAGATACCGGTAAGGAAGCTGACGAGCTGGATGCCGCGGCTTCACCATGGGCGAGAGGGGGAGGGGGGTGCGAAGGGGTGGAAAACCCAACGTGTGCGAGGGGGGGGGGAGCGCGAGGGAGGAGGTGAGGGTGGCGGGAGCCCTACCTCGGGGTCTTTGGCCAGCTTCAGCGGCGTCTCATTGCGACGGGTGGCGGCGGAGGGGCTGGCGTGGCGGCGCAGCAGCAGCTCCACCACCCCGGCGTGGCCTGGGGGGGGGCCCAGGGGGGGCAGCGGGGGGGGGGGCAGCGGGGGATTACAGGGAGGGGGGGACGAGCGGGTATGAAGGGAAGGAGGAGGAAAGAAAACGTGGTAAGTGACAATGCGGCAGCCCAACGCATCCCGCAACGCATATGCTCTGCCCGACGGCGCGCTCCCTGGCTGACGTAGGCATGGGGCAAGGTAGGGTGGGGTGTGGGTTCGTAGCTGCTCGTAGGGGCTGTCATGTGCTCCCCTCCTCCCTGCTCCCCTCCTGCTCCCTGCTCCCACAGCCGCAATGTTTACCTGCCTGCGCCGCGAAGTGGAGCGGCGTGAAGCCCTTGCGGGTGCGGGAGTCCATGTAGAGGCCTGCGGGGGTGGGGAGGGGAGGGGGGGGGAGGAGAATACCCAATGTGTTGGATGAGGCTGGCAAACAAGCCAGGGGAGGGGAGGGGAGGGGGGAGGTGTGGAGGAAACGGGGGCGTGGGAGCAGGGCATGTCAAGGGTGTGGGGGTGGCAGGGAGGAAGATCTACCGCCCTCCCTCAAAAGGCAAAGGTGGGGTGTGGGGAGTGGGGGGGCATGTAAAGGAGGAGGTGGAGGGTAAGGGCAAGGGGAGCCTTCTGCGGGGCTGACCTGCGTTGAGCAGATGGCGCACACATTCCGCGTGGCCCTTTTGCGCAGCGAAGTGCAGCGCATTCATGTCGTCCACCGCCGCTGCCCCGACCTGGGACCCATGTGCGAGCAGCACTTTGAGTACCTCCTGCGCGGGCAGTGACGGCCGAGGGCATTGACCGTTGAGATGTTGCCCGATGGGTCCGCGGTTCAAGCTATCCCATTACCCCTTTCATTTATCCAGGTGAGCCTGATCCAATAACAGGAAAGGTTTATATGCTACTACGGCCCTGGGAGAATCTTTCTCCCAATGGAATGACCATCCTCACCGTATGACCGGCCCAGGCTGCAATGTGAAGCGGGGTTCGATGCAGCTTATCTCGCTGGTTTACATCCGCTTGCTGTACAAGAAGTTCATGAACTGTTTGGAGGTTACCGGCACGAGCCGCATCATGCAAAGGAAAAGCCATTTTGGCTAAATTGGGCGATGCAAGTTATGTGTTTGCCATTAGGTTTCTCCTTTTGGGTGCTGTGGTATGTTCGGTCCTCATCGCTGTCATTCTGTTTTGGACAGTAGAAGGGTCCGTATCCGTTTGAATTGAGATTTCCTACTTATGCATGTGGGCTTCTCAACGTCAGGAATCAGTTATGTAACCAAAGCCCTATGAAGTTCACTTTTTGGGCTTCTTGAACTCGCTGGCCCAAGGGACGACAGCTCGCTGCATAAAGACCAAATGCGTGTTCTGACACAAGCAACGCTTGAGAAGCGTCGACGTGAGGGGTTCAGACAAATATGATACCAAGCTCATGCAGAGCACTCATGGTGTCTCTTCCCCTGCCTTAGGCAGCTGCTGACTATTTCTTGCTGTTCTTATGTTCTGTTTTCCCCCGTGCAATCATACAAAGAGTGCAGCTCAACCGATCAACTTCTACTGCGCATGCAGCTGCGTAACATTCCTGTCCGAGGCGATGTTCCTTGCGTCCCTTGTTGTACGGCTCTGCTTGAACGGCAAAACCTGCACAACGGCTCTAGCTCATAGGCAGCGGCCCCATACAGAGTGCGCGATATACCCATATGCAGATATTACATCTGACTTGAAAGGCGCACCAGCAAAGCAAAGCTCATACATAACGCACAGCCATTCAATAACATGGCCCCTCTTTTACCTTCTTCACCACGGTCTGCTTCATCCCAACGAGGAGTTAACAGAGCAAGTAACGATGAAGTCCCACCTCGGCACCTTCAGGGCGCATCCCAACCGGAAACAGCTCAGGACACAGACGAGCATCTCCTCTCAGGACCGCAGCCCCGGCGGCCTCCGCAGCACCAACAACGGCCAGAGCAGCAACAAGAACAACCTGGTTCAAACCGGAGCGCTCACTTGAGATCAAACGGCACAGGCGCGGCACTTTCTCGCGCCTCAAGCAGCGACGACATTAGCACCCGAGATGGGCGTCGCAGCCCAGCCAGCTCCCTCCATCGAAGCAACACCGCTAACAGTGGAACCGGCAGCGACACTCCCGACACGCTGCTCAACGGCCCGCACCCCAACCCCTCTACCGCCCCTTCACATCGTTCATCCCACCCCACCAACGGTACCGGCAACGGCAGCCACCGCCCACCCAGGCCCAACCACGGCTCCCAGCGACGTCCCCCCAGCACCACCGCCCCAGCTCCCCCCAGCACCGCCACCTCCTCCAAGCGCAGCCAGCCGCCCGCCAGCCCTACCCCCTCCTACACCTCCCCCCTCGGCCTCTTCAACAGTCTCAGCAGCCTAAGCAGCCTAGGCAGCGGCCTCTCCCTACGCCGCCAAACCTCCCTCCTCTCCATCCTCCGCCCCGCCGCCTCCTCTCCCTCCGCCGCCTCCCCCGCCGCCTCGCTGTCGACGCTGTCCCTCCCTCCGCACCCGCCTACCCACCACTCCCGCGGTGTCACCACCACTCGCCGTACCCTCTCGGGCTCCTCCCCCCTGTCCCTCTCCGCCTCCCCCTCCGCCCCGCCGACTGTCCCCGCCCACCGCACCCTCTCTGCTACCGCCCCGCCCCCTCCCTCGGCCTCTGGCGCCTCCTCCGCCTCCCGCACGCCCTCCCCTGGAGCTCTCATCCGCTACGTCCTCACCCCGCTGGTGCTGCTGCCGATAGCCTGGCCCTGGCTGCTGCTGCGAGGCATGCAGGTGCGACCTGCTGGCCCGAAACTTCTAGAAGGCAGCACTTGAGCTCGGCAAAGGACGTTGACACGATGCGCCTACTTTTCATGCATGATCTTCACGCGCCCCTGCCTACCTACCTTGCTACCTCCACCTATACGTTATACCCTCTTCCCCCGTCCCCATCGCCTGTTGTATGTCCCTCGCTTTCTCACCCCTCTCCTCCTTCTCCTCCCCTCCGCCTCCTCCTCGCCCAGGTCTGCCTAGCCGCTGGCGGTCTGGCCGCCTGCGCCGCCGCCGACTGCCTCGTGCTGGCTGCCGAGCTGCTGCGGCGGCACCGGGGCGGCGCGGAGGTGCTGGGCGGCTGGCTGGCCGGGGGGCTGGGGTGGCTGGTGGGGGCGTACTGGGGCGGACTGGCGCAGCTGCATGTGGTGAGGAGGGAGGGGGGGGGAGGGGAAGAGATGTACAGTCCTAATTCCCGGAGCCCAGCCCAGGGGAGGAGGAAGGGGTGTCTTAGGGAGGCTAGGAAAAGCATGCAGAGCCGCAGGGGAGCGCACAAGGGTCCTTGGCCCTTGAGGGCGCTTCTGTCCCATACATGCGTGCCATAGGAGGCCATGACACAAAAAGCACCTCCATCCTCAGACCACCTTTCCCCTCTCCCTCCCCCTCTCCCATCCCTCCCCTTCCCTCCCCACCCCGCCAGGCATGTGAGAACACCCTCTCGCGCATCCTCACCTTTGCCGCGCCCCTCGCCGCCTCCGCCGCCTCCCGCTGCCCCCCGCTGCTGCGGCTGCTGCGGCTGCTGGGCCCGCCGCTTGCCGCCGCCTCCGCCGCCCAGGCCGCCGTGGTGGGAGCCTACTGCTGGGTGCATGACGAGATCGTGCCGGTGGCGTTGGACTTGGCGGAACGGCTGCCGCTGGTGCATGGGCTGCTGCACCGGGCCATGGGGGGTTAGGAGAGAGGGGAATAGAGGAAGATGGGTGGAGGGGGGTGAAGGGGAAAGTAAATGTGAGGGGGGTGGTATGAGGGGAGGGGTAGCTGTGGGGGTAAAGAGGAAACCAAGAGGGGACCAGTAGTGGGGGAGGGGTTAGGAGGGAAGGGAAGGCGTGATAAGGTGTTTCTCCCGGGCGATGGGGTCTTGCACCGGGGCACTGGGGGATGGGTGTAATGGGAAAGGGATGCGTGGGGGATAAGGATGAGGAGCAAGACGGGGAGTGGATTGCTGTGACATTATTTGTTGGGGATTGTGTGTACTAAGAATGCAAGGCAAGTAGTAGCTGAAAGAGAAGGATTTTTTGGTGCGTTTATGGGTTTGAACAAGGCCGCAATGAGGGATGACGTATGGCAGCTATGAGAGAGGGCTAATGCGAACACATTAAAGCGGCAGCGCATGGGAAATGTATGAAGTAGGCTGTGGAACAGTGTACGATAAATTGATATGCCACGTGTGTGTGTTTTTGTGGAGACGAGGATGAGCAGAGTAATTGGTGGTCGAGAGTACGAGGACTAATCATGGCAGTTGACCGTCGGCAGGGTTTCGTAATTACATAACGGTGCCGCACATTACGGCCCATGGGCCTCCTGCTAACGAGAATTCACGAGACGCGATGCAGTTTTGGTGTGTAGATGGCTGCTTAGAAGACTGTGGATGTGACGATGTATCCAAGGGAGCAGCTCTTAACTGCAGCTGATGACTGCACTGGGGTGGCTGCGGCAGTGCTGGTGACGATGGTGCTCGTAGTGATGAAGGTGGTGGTAGTAACAGCGGGCGGTGCTGTGCAGGGACGACAGCGCTACATGTCTGACGGTTGCTGTCAAGGTGTTTTTGGCAATCTTGACCACCCGCATTCGCTCTGGAATGGAGTCTGGCACACCTCTGGCAACAAGTGGCCGCTTGAGGTGGTGCAGGATGTGGACTGTATTTTATACTGTACGGCAATGTACTGAGGGGGATTTGAGGCGGTGAACCGGTGTATGCCGTACATTCGTACGACACGCGCTGCTAGTGTTTTGGTAAGGCAGCTGGGGATAGCCGACAAATGGTTTGCTTCCTTTTTCCTGGTTAATCACAGGTATTCGCTGGCTATCTTCAGGTATTGCAATCTTAATAAAGTTCGGGCGTTAAGCCAATTTGTACAACAGTAGAACTACCGTGGAAGTTTGGGTCGTACAATACCAAGGCCAGCTCTTGTCCCGCATTATGCACATCTTGCTTTGTTTTGTTTCCAATAGTGCTTTTTGGGTCGTGTCCATTCTTCTTGACTAGCCACGGCGACGTGTTTGGGTGAATGTGTATTTGACGCAGGGACTGGTAAGCCGTAGTTTTGTCACTTTTAGGACTCTGTTTTAGCACTGACTGTGTGCCAACGCTTTGTTCCTTTCCTAAAGTGCAGTCACGACAACTCATGCATATCTTTTTCTGCCTCCATATAGCGTCGGACCGGCACCATGCCGCATTTCATGTGTTTGCTATCGTACTTTTGCCGGTGCTGGTGCAGCAGTGCTGTTTGGCTCGCTGGGGCAACATGTTTGTAGATTGTTAACAACAACATGGGTGATACCTTAAGAGTCGTGCGGCCCCATGGGGCCCACATCTGCCCATGTGAACCCGTCCATGTGACCCCGAGGAGGGGGAAGTGTAAAGGAACGGAATTGACCCCACATGGGGTGAGGGCACCTGGCCGGCACTGCCGCTGCTGGCACCGGTAGGTGACATGGCAACCAAGGCACCCGTGGCCATCGCCACCTGAACACGCTTTCCGCCTCTCCTACCACATCCACGCCACTCTCTCTGCAAGCACCTAGCGCCTGCACCTGCTACCCCTGCTGTAGCCGTCCTCTGCCCAACATGCGCCGAGCCATACGTCGCAACTGAGCTAGCTCCGCATCTGAAGGACCCATAGCGCCCTTGTTGGTACCAACACCGCACAAGTCGATGCTACTACTATTATTGCCGTTGCCGCTAGAATCACTGATGCTACTGCAGCTGTTGTCGTACATCCGACCCAGAAGCGCCACCGGCTGTTCGACAGGAAGAAGGAGATCCGCATCCGGCTCGTCATCGTCGTTGCTGCTTGCGCGCTGCCGTACTACTTCCACCGGCGGTACGGCAGTAGCAGTAGCAGCGGGGGGAAGGAGGGCGGGGGGTGGCAGAGTGGTGCTGCTGGTTGGGGCACAGGGTGCCGGCGGGAGGGGACGGCGGGCGCCGCTGCTGGGTTGCAGTCGCAGCTGCTCAAGTTCAGCCTGAGGGCGGCACGGGGCAGGAGGGTTGGTTGGGTTATCCGGTGGGTTGGGGCATGCAATGGTGCAGTACAAGATCAGTACGGCAGTTGCATCCTGAACCAGATACAAGCCCCAAGTTGGGTTCCTTGCCATCTCGAGTAAGCCTTTTCGCGCTGCTACAGGGCACCTAGGTTGCTTGGGAGAAGGAGGCTTAGGGATTGGGGTTAAGGACAAGTACCTGGTTCATGCAGGCACCCTCTGACCAGTGCTTGTTGTCCGTAGCTAGCGCCTACCCATGAGGTCACAAGTCGGTTGAGCCCGCCCTGCACATCAGCACATGGCCCCCTGCTGCTGTTCACACGCCACGCTTAAACCCCGTGTCTGCCCTCACCATTACAAGGTCCACTGCACCCTGCGTCATGGCATCCCCCACGAAGTTCGTGGTGGGGCCCACCTCCACCACTTCGTAACCCGGGTCGCAGCTACCGCCGCTGCCGCCTGCCGCCAACCATCCGCCGCCGCCGCCGCCGCCAGCAGCGGCCGTAGAGGTCATCAGGGGCCCGCAGCCGGCGGAAGCGCGGGAGAGCGGGAAGCCTGCTCCGCGGGTGGTGGTGGTGCTGCTGCTGTTGCGGGCGTGGTTGTACGGAAGCACCTGTGGCAGGATGCGGCTAGGAGATTGCTTGTTTGGAGTCTGCTAAAACATGCACGCATGATACGCGCGTGTTGGTGTCCATCAGGGCGTGCACATGACCCATGGGTCGAGCCGGAGAGGCAGCGGGAGGCGTTTACCCTCAATGGCATACTCTTTTCTACGTACACGCACCCGGCGTACACACTCTGTGTGCGGGCACCTTTCTCTCTTAGCTCTCCAGGTCCTCCCCCACCTCTGCCCACCTTGCGATAGGGGCCCCCGTGTGGGTCCTTGGTCCACACGTCCCGGTGGTGGTGCGCCTCCGCTGCAGCCCGCCGAGCAGCCAGCGCTGCGTCCCGTGCCAGCACCTGCAGGCCGACCCGTGGGTCAATAGCTCATAACGCGCCCTTGGGTCATAACATGCACGGTTCTGTAACCGAGGATATATACGGTACGGATGCATGATACGCCTCTTACCCGCTGGTGACACAGCCGCAACGTGCCCCAGCATTCATTCACGATTTCAGTTTCCCACGATTGCTTACCCACCATTTCAGCATCGGGCGGGGGTGCATCGAGCTCTGCTAGGGCCCAGGCGGTGGCGGCGGGAGCGGGAGGCGCGGGTGTGGTAGCGGGCGGTTTGGGTGCAGCAGCTGCCAGCGCTAATGCTTTTGACACATCCTTGGTGCTGCCGCTGCCCTGGTAGCTGCTGTTGCTGCTGTTGCTCCTATCGAGGTCCCCTGTCGAGTTAACCATGGCAGCAGTCTTGCTTCTATGGGCCCTGGTGCTGCCGCATTCACTCTTTTATCCGCTCTTCTTGAGCTCCGCTGCTGCGCCGCTGTCACCGTAGCCGTTACTGGAGTGTAACCGTCACCGCCACCTCAAGCTGACCTCAAAGTGGTACTGCAGTAAAGATGCTTGTAAGTGCGTCGTACGGATCCCAGGACCGCCGGGACTTGAATCAGCAGGGCAGCACTCAGCAGAAGGTGCTGTTCGGTGGCTGGATGGAACTTCAATCGCTTGGGGTCTGTCCGAGGGCCCTTATCTTGGCCGTTCAGGCAGTGTGGCAAAACAATGAATGTCCATGCTATCTGATACAAACCATATGCACGAGCAGCAACTGGCC